ATTCTCTCCATATCTTATGTTTGATTTTGACTTTTCACAAAGTTTAAAAAATTTTAAGTTAAAGTTTTATTTGATTTTATAAAGCTTGTTACTTTGAATTACTCTTAAGAAAAATAATTTGTAATTATAATTAAAGATGATAAACGAAAGTATGAACCATTTTTCTTTGACTTTTTAAAGAAATATTATTTTGGAACCCGTATGGTATGCACAGGACAGTATTTATGGGATGCATGTATTATTTGTTTGTTATCGTTTTTACGGTTAATTTAGTTTGGTATAAGTAGGATACATATGCATATACTATTTAAATTTATATAAGATTAATTAGATGTTTTAATTATTTTAAACAATTTAAAATTATAATTTAAAAATGCTTGATTAAAGCTTATGGATTAGCAATTAAGAACACCTTTTTGGATATTTAAATTATGCATTTCGTTTGAAATTTATTTGATATGTTCTCTAATGGAGTAGCTTAATGATAATATAAATATATATATATATATATATATATATATATATAACTTGCATTGGGTTACATGTAGCTATATTTATACACTAGAAATTCATGGCACACAATATATATGAATGAGGCTAAATATATAATTGAAAAAAATTCAAAATACTATATAATAATAATAATAATAACAACAACAACAACTTTTACCAGCCAATGATGCTTTGTTTCATTAGCAAGGAGATTTTTTGAAGTCTTTATATTTTAGATTCAAGTCTTATTATCTATGTGGGGTTAATTTAATTTTATATTGGCTTGTTTATTAATTTCTTTCGTTGATCATGTATTATTTGATATGTTTTGAAAATTAATATTTTTTAATAGTTAAAACTGTAAAAAAAATTCAGTTTAGATAATTAAAATTAAAAATTCAATACTCTACCAATAAATTAATTGGTTGTTGGCTATGAAAATTAATATTTGATTGTGCTATATTTTAATTTTACTTGTAATATATAATTTCATAAAAAAACTTTTATCGAGCAAAAATAATAAATTGCATAAAAAAGAGAAAGAAACATATAGGAGATAGTGAAGAGAAAAAAACAGGAAATGTAGGAGGCTTTAGTTACTAAAAATTAGAATGTCACCAACTCGAGCAATAAATTATAGATTAATATAGGCATATTTTCCTTTTGGGGCTCTAATAATTAATATTATCTAGCTGGACATGTTACAATAGTAATTAATTAACTAATCAACACTCTTAAAATACTTAAATGATTGTTAAGACTTCTAGCTAGCTAGCTAGGAATTCAAGAGAATTAGCTAATAGGCATATATGAATTATGGAGTTAATTTGTTATTTACAGGAACTGGAATTATGGTATTATATATATGGGTTTTGTTTAATTTAGAAGTTGAAGTTATTTAAAAAATGTGAGCATAAATTCTAAATTCCAAGGAAAGTAAAAAATTGTTTCTCTCAATAGCAAATAGAAGGTTAATTATGAAACATTTAGGTTTGATTTATTTATTAATTTTTCTTCTTGATTTATAGTAAAAGTTATTTGATTATGAACATTAATTTTTACATGATAAATGTAATTTCATAACAAAAATAATGATATTTTGTATTCGATTATTGTCCGACTATTTTTATAAAGAATTATTTTCTGATTGCTTATAAATACTATGAAAGATAATAAATAATAATTTTATGAGTATTTATTTTTTTATAAATAGTTGGATTGTTAGCATTTAAAAGTAAAAAGCACAAAAAATAAATGCAATTGTGATTGCAAACTCCCAAGGATAAAAGCTAGACATTGCTTAATTAATTCGATTTTTTTAAATTAATTATCCTTTGATCTTACAATATTAGGAAATAGGGATGGCATAGGAGTGGATATCCACTCTTTTTGAAGTATCTGTATTTGAATTCGTTTAATATTTATAATTTTTAAATTTGCTTAAATTGAATATCACTGTCTAAATTTGAATTCATTTAAATAAATATTATGTATTTAAATATCCGAATCTATTAAAATATTAATTTTTATTCAAATATAAAATAAATAATAATTAAATTTAAAATTTAAGTTTGCTCTTAATTAATATCAAATAAAGATTATTTGTTCAAGTTTGAAACTTTCTATAAGTATAAAATTCTAAATATTTTATATATGTAAATTGTTAATAAATTTAGATATCTATTACTATTTATTAAAATTTAAACAGATTCGAATATTGAATATTCAAAAATATTATTTGTATTCTATCTAAATCTATCATAAATAATAAATCTTCTATCCTAATTCATTAATTATTTGTTTATAACTATTCAATCTACCGTGAACAGATTAAACAATAATAAATATCTATTTATTTACTATTTATTACTGTACCTATCCTAATTAATTCTTATTATTTTATGCACATAACAATTTTGTTCTTTGAACATCGTTTTCATTCAACAGAATCTTTCCAAAAACACATACCTATCCTAGGAAAAGTCGAAAAAAACAAGTCATTACTCAATTTATGCTAAAGTACATGGCGTTTGGATGGAAAAATTTTGGAACAAGAAAATTGAACTAAATTAAAAAAAGGGGGGGGGGGTTAAATAAAAGATATGGAGATTCTAAATTTTTATTTAGATGCCAATTAAGTCCCTAAACTATGAATTCTTCCAAATTGATCTTAACTCTAATTAGGTTTATGTTATCTTCTTAGACAAGTTTTTAACTTTAATAGAGTTTAAGAATTCCATAAATTCCACCTCTTGCATTGGAATTTCAAAAGGGATTAATTTGAACCCTCTAAAATCTCTCTTTCAAATTTCAATAAATTCGACAATTATAATTTTTATTTTACCAATTAAAATAATTTTATTTTCCAATTTGGAAAATTTTTTTATAAATGAATTCTCTCATTCAAATGCACCTTAAAAGATATAAATTGTGATTAATTTGGAGAGATAAAACAATCAAATAAATGAATAGAGGAATATATTAAAATTTTAATTAAAATTTTATTTTTTAATACAATTTTCAGAAAAATAGATTCCGATGCAACGATAAAAGATTTAAGGAGATTATGAAGAGAAATCAATATAAATAGATTTTGACACAATGAAAAAAAAAGTTAAAAAAATAAAATTAAAAAAGGTGAAAAAAGAAGTTAAAGTAACTATAAAAAATTATTCAGTAGTTTTTAAATTGAATGTTTGATTTCTTTTAAAAGAAATTAATTTAAAATAATTAAAATTTATATTAATCGACATTTATATCTTTTATTATTATTTTTTGAAATTGACATTTATATCTTTTAGTATATATTTATTATGATGTAATTTGGTTTGGTGTCAATTCACCAATGGAGGTAATGTCACTTAACGACATCAAACTTAATCAGCCACTTTATTAATAGCATAGTTGCAAAATAAAATACCCTACTCAATCATAAATTTCAACCCAATTTTCATCCATTTTAAGATTGATCTAATTAATTTGATATAGTGAAATTTGGTAGTATTAATATTTGGATTATTATTTTATATATAGTTAAAATACTAATTTGGGTCCTTTTTTTTATTAATTTATTGATATTTTTAAATATACTCGAATATAAGATATGTAAGACTTTCTAACTCAACTTTAAACTCCATTAATAATAATGTAATAGCTAATTTTTTTTAAATATTTTCATTAAACAAATCCGAAAGAGGGTGAAGAAGGAGTCAACAAGGTCCAAATGTTTGAGCATTAATAGATGTGACAAAATGAATTCGAACTTGAAATCTCGTTTGAGAAAGTTTAAATTTAAATAAAAAAAAATTTCAAACTCAAGTCAAAGTAATAAAATATGATAAAATAATTATATTTTTTCAAAAATCTAAAAATATGACTTAGATTAATTCAAATCTGAACTCACGTAAACCTAAAAAATTTTAGATACAATATAATTTGAATTTAAAATAACTCAAATTCAAAATAATTTAAATATGATATGATTTAAATTTAAAACAATTCATATTTAACATAATTTGAATTCGAAATACTCGAACTTAAATTCACTCATTTGCCTCCTTTAAACATTAACCCTCAAAAAAATACTTAGAATGATCTATAATCAGAACCTCCATTATATTACATGGATTACAAAAATAAGAAACACCAAATTGGCCTAACTACTAAGTGATTATAGGTTAAAGTGTTACCTGTGGCCTACTTTGATACTATCGAGTGAAAGAAGATAATTTCCAAAATCTAGCACTGTAATTGAATGCTATCTCTTACCTATCTATCTTAGATTTTGTGAGATAAAAGAAAGAATAAATAATAAAATGAGTTAAAATTCAAAAGAGAAAAAAAATTCGAAATATGAAGTAATTGAAATAATTTATTTGTTTTGGATTTTTTGAGAATACACAATAGATTACAAAAGTAGAGTTAAAATAAAAAAGAAAAAAAATTGAAAAGACTCATAAAACACATCACCTAAATTTGATTATTTAAAATATGATATGTTAATATAATATAAATATAATTGATAATAAAATTTAAAATTTTAATGATAATTATATATAAATTTAATAAAATAAAAATATATTTTATATTTTTTTTATTGATCAAATTATAATATAATATTTTTATATAAAATATAAATACATAAAATTTATTATTTTATAAAATATAAATACACGAATGTTTAAATCTATCATGACAGCCGTTGCAGAGGAGAAGACGAGGGGGACCCACCAATCTCATCTAAAAAGTACTATAAACGATAAAACTAACCACTCCCATCGTTTTGTATTCTCCCCCAATTCCACCCTGGCACGTCCTCTTCACCTTCTCCCGATTCCTCCACCGCCTACCTTTTCAACCGGTCAACCACGTGCAACTCACCTGCATTCCCCCTTGTTTCTGTGGTGCAACAAATTAAAGTTGAGAAAGAAAAATAAAACTTGATATTATTAATGTTATAATAATAATAATAATAATAATAAGAATTATTATTATTTGTTTGTTATTAAGAAAAAATAAATAAATTTCTTGGTCTTGGTGTTGTTGGTGTTGGTGGTGTTGTAGTATTTGGGTCTTGCACTTTCTTTGTTTTCTTTCTCTCTTTTATTTCTCTCACAGCAAAATCTGACCCCCACTCCTTTTCTTTTGAAAGATCGTTTCTTTCTTTGATTTTTGCTTGGAATTTTTCAGCTTTTCTTTTCTGTTTTTGAGAGGAAGTGAAAGGGAAAAAAAATTATCTTGCATCGATGAGGATCAGGAAAAGACAGGTTCCGCTACCTTTCTCTTCTATTTCACCAGTGTCTCCTCCCTCAGATCCCAACTTTAACCGGTCTCCGGTGGTGCAACTCCCGCTGCAGCAGCACCCTCCTTTACCCGCCCCTTGGTTTGATCCCCAGTCCCCCTCTGATGATCCCAATCACCCGATCGGACAACATCCACCAGCCCAAGGCCGTGATTTGTCTGCTTTCCATGGAACAACAACAACAACACATGGACAAGAGCTGAAGAAGAAAGAAGATTACTTGGTCAGTTCAATGATTCAATCCCAACAAAAAAGTACAACTTTTTGGTTATTTTTATCATAGTTTAAGGTTGTTTACAAGAGTGCACTATTTTGCAATGTAATAAAAAAAAGCATCTTGGTTGAAATTCTTTTTACTTTGATTAATTTGCACCCATGAGAATTGCATGAGGTAAAAGAATACAAAAAACTGAGTAGGATCCTTTTTATTTTTAACTTTTTGTAGGTTTTGCAGCAAGGAGGAGGAGGAGGAGAAGGGGAGAAGAGTAATTATACCAGGTAAGAAAGGAAGGGCTGAAAAAGTTAAAAACAAAAACTATTTTTTCTTCTTTTATTTCATGATATCTTGTAGTAAAAAGGTGAAAAAAGAAAATGAAAATTGCAAAAATAAAAATAATACTGTGAGTGGAAATACTGTTTTAGTTGTTTTATATCAGCTTTGGCTAGCTACCATACCTTCCTATCGAATCTAATCTTAGTTGTAAGTTTCTTCTTTTTTCTTTTCCTTTCAATTTTGGTCATGCAGTGCACGTTAGCATGGGATGCTGGTCCCCTTCTCAACTCTCAACCAATATCTTTTACATCTTTGCTCTATTTTGCACTCGTTTCATTTATCTATTTTCTATTTTTTTTCTCTGGCTGTAAAAATTTATGTTTGTGGCTGTGGATCTTCTGGGTTTGGTTGGTTTTCTAGGAAGAAAAGTGTTACGGGTGCAGAACTAGGAACTGGGTCTCTTTCACCACCGACTTCTTCCCATCAAGGTAGGATCAATCATTTGCATAAAAAATGTTAGTCAAGAGGAAGAACGAAATCACTAGTGTTTGATATAGTATTGAAGATGTTGCACTTGTTGTTGTTGTTTTGATTGCACTAAATAAAGCTGGTGGGAGCTGGGGTGAGGGAGAGAAAGCATTTCCATTGAAAAAGAGAAGAGGGAGCTTCGAAAGAAGAGGGAATGATGATGATAAGATAATGGAGAAAGATACTCATAAGAAGGTGATGATCAATACCAACAAGATGAAGACTAAGATGAACAAGAAATTTGTGCAGCCGCAAAACGATAATGAACAAGAAGAAATCAAAGAGATCAAAGACAGTGCTAGCACTACTACAGGTGATAATAATAATAATAATAATCCTAGTAGTGCAAAAAAGAGAGGTCGAGGTGGTGCACTAATGGAAGGGTCACGTTGCAGTCGAGTTAATGGAAGGGGATGGAGATGTTGCCAACAAACCCTCGTTGGTTACTCTCTTTGTGAGCATCATTTGGGTAAAGGTAGGCTAAGGAGCATGACTAGTGTTCGAAGCCGATCTTTAGCTAGTAGTAATGCAGCTGCAAAGGAGGAGCCGCCTAATAATAATGATCATCATGATCAGCCATTATCGAATTGCTCTTCCCCATTTCAACAAGCAAAGCAAACACAGCGTGAATTGCTTGGTGAAAGCGGTGAAAATGAGAATGAAGATCAGGAGGATCAGAAACCATTGATGATGACAAAGAAGAGAGTAAAGCTTGGGATGGTAAAAGCTCGATCGATAAGCAGTTTGCTGGGTCAAAACGACAATGCATTTGCAGTAGCTGATGATAATAACTAGCAGAGAGTGTATAAAAAACAATAATAAAAGCTGTTGCAACTGTTTCCAGCTTCATTTCTGTTTGAGATTTTTGATGAACAGATGCTTGAAAAAGTGTTTTCAGTTATCGTTTTCTTCTTCTCTGCTTTTTAGTGCCTTTATTTTATGAATGATGGGCTTAATATTAAAGATAAGGATTGGAGTTTTTTCCAATTAATTGGAGGATGATCTGGCCGAAATGTATACTTTAAGAAATATTATTATAATAAATCTATATGTCGGGACTCGGGAGCCACCCCCAGGAGGCCCTAAGCTTAGATAGTTACTGTATATCTTTTGACTAAGGAAAGTGCATCAACATCCAGTCATGGTCATGGCTGCAGGACACATGGTCTGGAAATTCTTGATCAAGGAAGCAAAAAAGAATCTGACTACGAAAGAAATTAATTGAATCTTTGTTTAATTAGAATCATATATTGACTTCTGCTTACAAATGGAAATGTCTATTGAATTTACAAGATTTCCCTCCATCTGCGGATTGTACTATCCTTGTTTAAGTAATTTCTGAGAAGCTTTCTATCCGAAATCTGAGTCCTTAGTTTTATCAATTATTTTTTTCCTTTTGATGATGAAGCTGGCCTTGCATAATAGAATTGAAACGGAAGTTTTCTCTAGAGGAAAAATAAGTAGTATAACTATATATCATCAAGCTTTATATGTAATTGCATGGGTCAGAATGGTTTTCCTTATTTTGATCAAAGATATTTGTTCTATGATAATTAATTCTTCAAAATAATAATTTGATGGACTAGGTAACCCATACTGCAGGTGATTTTGTTTTCTTTTTAAACAAAAAAAAAATCTTAATTTGAGATAAAAAAAAAACTGTAAGTGCTGGATTCAAAACAAATATTTGTGATAATGTGAATAAGGAAATGAGATCCACAAGTAAATAAATGTTATGATTTGCGTAAAAGTAATATTACTCGTGTATTGAAGTTCAAAGATATGGAATTTATTTCGACTTCAATAAATACCAATTTACCAGTCAACATTCTAACGTCTCCCATAATATTGCACATGATTGACTAGATAAAATTTAATGAAAATTCCATTCTTTCATGCAAAATTCATTGTTTCTGCAGGATGTATATTCTGATCCTTAATATAGATGATCATGATGGAAAATCTACTGTTGATTGGCTCGGTCATATACGTTGAACTTAATGCCAATCAACAAAAACCTTTTTTATATATGTTGGGAGCAGATTGTGCAGATCCAAATTTTTGGCAAAATTTTATTTAGGACACCAACTACTGCTAAAGAAAACATATGGGTTCAAATGATAGGAAAAGATCAAACTTGGAATAAGTTTTTTTATGAGAGGAGCTGTCTAAAACCTGATAAAACAAAAAATCTAATATTTTACCAACAAATCACATGATTATTGACAGATGTTGAGTTTTTTGGCACTGGGGAAAGGGTGTCATACTGTCTCCTTGCCTTAATTATAGATGTTGGGGTGTCTAGAGCTTTGCATGGGACAAGCGGAAGCTGATGATCATGGTTTAACATACGCTAAGTCCTAAGAAACACTAATTCAAAAACATTTTTAGTCTTGGTCGTTAGAAAATCCTGTAACTTGATTTGATTCGTCAGGAAAATTTGTTCTTGTTACATGAATGAAAGATCAATGGAATGAATTTCATCTTGTTTTTGGTATAAGGTTATAGCATGGTTTATTTTTCGCAAGCATCGTTGCTTTCTTTTGAATAAATAAATTTCACTTATCTAACAAAAAAAAAAAAAAAGAAATGAAATTCACGATATAAGAAATTCGATATTTGGTAACAACTTTATTTTTTTTTTCCAGAAATTTTATAATATTAGAGATTTTGTACACAATAAACTATTACAAATTACATTTCACAGTAAAAATGTGTATAAGAATTGCTAGAAATAATTTTTCCATCATAATCAATTGTACCACTTATTACAGCAACGTATACCTTGTTGCAAAAAGATTTTTGGACGATATAAACCGTTTTAGATTGCAAGATTAGGACATAGGTACTAATTATTTCGGTGCATCTCATTTGTAATTTTTTACTATAATTTTATAATTATTTAATTATAATATAAAAATTATATAAGAATCTATTATTTGTAAATGTGAATTTTATATAAAATTTTAATGATTTAAAAAAAATTTTATATTATAATTGATTAATTATAATGTAATAATTGTAAGTAGAGATCACAAAAAATTTGAAATTTTTTAAAAATTAAAATATTATTTTAATATTTTAATATATTTTTAATTAAAAATAAATTAAAAATATTTTTATTAATAATTTAATATCTCAACTGAAGCTTTTAAATTCTTATTCAATACTTAATCTAAATCGAATTAAATTTTGAATTGAAAGAATAATTCAATCCGTGAACAAACCTAATGATAAGTAATACGGAGACTGCACGTATTTCGTACCAAAAAAGAGTCTTAGGATGCTCTTGAAAATGCTTGATTTGCATGCAGTACTTTGAGCAGCCCTATAAAGTCATAAAAGAACCCCGTTTAGTAGACTCTTCTTCAGCTCATAAATGTCTTATGTGTTGTGCAATTGGCTTTTGTGATGAAAACGCAACTGAAAAATATGGCATAGACCCACAAGAGAGAAAGGAGCATTCGCAAAGAATAAAATCAAGTTTATAAAATTCACATAAAGAAACGAGGGCCCTCTTGCTTTCCGCCGTATAATGGGGGCATTTTTAAATAAAAAATTATTTATTTTCAATTAAGATTTGATTTTTATGAAAAAATATTTCTAAATTAAAATTTTAAAAACACCAAATTAATTTTAAAAGTATGTTTTTAAGATCGATAATAATGGATTAAATCGAAATAAAATCCGAAGACATATTTGATTGTAAAAATAATTTTCTTTTATTTACTCGGATACAACAAGGAACAATAAATGTCGCGTATCTTAACGGTAGAAAAATATGCGATGATATGATTATATATGGTACGTTTCATAATTACGTTTGATGAAGTTTGACTCTTACTATGGAGGCCAAATTAGATTGTCTCCAATCATGATCATTTGGAGTAAGTGCTAAGCTTAAAAAATAGTATATATATAAGAATATTCTCCACCAGTTTGCCTTGTTTCATTGGCTGATCTGCTTGCTTCCGGGCATCCTATGCTTATCAGTCACGCCAAGACATGACGTTGTGGAATTTTGTGAGTAATGTTTATTTTGTCTGGCCTTAATTTGCTCTTCGTCGGTACTTCCAATATTAACCAGCACAACAGAGGTTGACTTGAGATTTATTAGCTAAGCTCCTACACTTAATTGTCATTATCATTTACCATGTGTCAAAATTATTAGTTTTGTACAACACAAGGAGGCTAAAATTAACAATTGATAATACGAAATTATACCTTAATTGATTAGGTGGCTATCCCGAAGAGTGGGCGATTTAGGTAGAAATCTTACATTCCAATTGTAAAACAGTTGGTTATTTTGCAATTGCATGAAAAAAAAAATGTAATTTTGATATCCTACTTGCATGAAATTATGAACTGTTTTTCAAATATACAGAAAATTCTGTTTAGAAATGAAGAGCATTTCGATCAGTGATTTTCAGCTGTGTTCAATGGATTCATTTCATCCCTAGCTAGTGCAAGGATCTATCAGAATATATCTGTAGCTGAATATGTTCAATAAGACTTGATTTGGATGTGTGGTGGGTGGATTTTCATTGCATAGTGGATGCTGTTTTGTGATTAAACTTAGTTAATTTGTGTGGCTCAAATACAATCAAATTATTGTTCCTGATGAGCCTAGGCCATTAAATGTGACAATGAGACCTTTCAAAGATGGAGACCTATTTAGATTGAGACCATTGCCAAAGCCATCTCCACAAGCTCAGATTCTGGTGCCCCCTTAACCTCTGTACTCTTTACTTTGAAACCATACAAAGTAATAAGAAAATCAATTCGCAACAGTAAAACATAATGAATTTAGCTTCAGTCTTTTGGAAACTCTAAACCCATTTTGAGCCAGCCTAGATTTGACATTTTCCTACTAGTTATGCAATTTATTATGTAAACCTGGAATCGTAATTATCACTGAAAATTTTTACCCCAAAGCAATCTTAATAAAAATATAATGTTTATAAATCGATCTTCAAGCTCTGGCTCACTGTTTCCACTTTCCCATGTTTCAAACATCTTAAATTTCTAGCTATCATCAATCGACTTGTTTGAGCCCTGCATGTCCCAGCCAAATGCCATGGTGAGGTGGCCTAACCTAATTAACTAGATTATCAAATTAATGTCCCTTGTGTAACCAGATTATCAAAGGGCTCTAAAGCAGAAGACAAAAGATTGCGTAATTGCTAATGCCTCTCTGTCGGATGGTGATTTCCAGAACAGAAGAAGAGCATTGTGCGCAGAAGAAGCCGAGTCGAGTTGGAAGATTGGGAAATTGCTAGGCATGAGTGCAACTTATGGAGATGAACTTGTGATTGGTAAGTTACTGGAAATAGCGGCCATGAATAGGCAGTGATCTGGTTTCCAGGTACTGTTCCCCTGCTTTCTATATTTTAATCTTTCGGTGAGCCTAGTTTTTTGGAGGTCACTTGGGTGCTTATCTAGTTAAGATCTTATTATTGGATAAAAGATTCAAAGATGGACGTCTCTATCACAGAATCTTTGTGGTGGTCTACCCCTGGGGCCTGTGTGTCATTAGTATTTGGTAAGAATAGGAGTTATTCCGTTCAATGGATTCCTCCCCGACGGGTTTGTTAAGGAAAAACCATTTCCGACTTGGTGCGTGGATTCCTGCGAAATGATGATGGTATTATTATGGCTATGTTTTTCAGGGCAGGAAGGTTTACAAGAATTATATATTTACTGATCTTTTGACCATTTAAATGGATTTAGAGCTTTCAATCATATTACTCAACAATACGTTTTTCAGGGTATTATATAGTGGGTTTACTCAGTGTATCTGTCTCAAGGATTGATATGAGCTGGCGTGAAAGGAGGCTTTTCCGCCATTGAAAACTCTGGAACATTTTCAGAATGATTTGATCAGGGAGTTGCCTTATGTTTAATGGTTAATGATTTTCGTGAAATAAATGGGATGACATGAGTGTTGGCTTAAGCGGGGTAAAAAGATCTGATATGTTTTATTGCTTGGGGGAAATGTTTATCCTTATCTATGGGTTCCCTCCATGCTTTTTTTGAGTTTGAACTGATACGTAAGATCTATTTTGTAATGGTTGAGAAATTGAGAACTCTCTACAACCTTTTCTATCCTTCTATTAATAAATTACACCTTCTTTAGCACCAAAAAAAAAAATAAAATTTAATGTCAGATGTAAAGTGAGCTATTAATTAGACAATGAAATTAATTATATATATATATATATACTTTAATTTAATGCTGCAAATCATAGCCGAAAGCCAAGATATTTGAGAATAAATTTGGTAATTTTAGACACAATACAAAAATATTAAATAAAAATACTAAAAAAAATGAAAGTGATATCATTTAAAATTTTGATAAAAATTACATATTAATTTAGCAAAACTAAAAAAAATGCTTAATGTATGGCTTATCAACACAAATTTAATATAATAATTTTCATATTTTACACGTGTTTGATAGAAAATATACATGATGTAAATACACAAATTACTAAATCTATATAAGAATAAATTAATCTATCATGTTTTTTCTGATTTAAAGTGTAATCCTTTTTGATGTCTGCAATTATGCCATTAAGATGTATGACTTCATTGTTTAGTTTTCCTGCCTTTCTCATAAATGGGAATTTGCATTTTTTTGCTCGTAGTTGAGTATGTTCGTTGATGAATCTTAAATTTGTTAATCCTATTTTTCATTTGCACTGAATTTTGTTTTCTTATGTTTGACACTTAAATTTTGTTTTTCTTCAAAATATATCTCTCAAATAATCCAATTTATTTTTACAGTGAATGAAAAAAAAAAAAATCTTGGTTTTATTAATGGAAGAAAATCTGTTGTCATCGCCACCATAAAAAGTAGCAATTGTTGCAGTAGCATGCATCATAGTTAAAGAGGGAAGAGATGTGATTTTAGTTTGCTGTTAGATATACTGCTCAGGTGAGACTTTTAGAAATTTGTCTGGTTTTAATTTCTTAATTTTATAGTGAACGAGGCATTTGAATCTTTTGAGGAAAAACTCAAGGTGCAATATTAGCTTCCTTTGTTATAACTATTTTACCTTGTAAGTCTTCAACATTAAATTCATTCAGGAAAGACCAGCAGATACAAATCTCAGATGTCATTTTATGAGCCTTAATGGCTCAAGAAAAGTTTCCATCAGATTCAACCTTAAAGCAAATTAATTGCTCTCAAGTGCTGAGTGGCATAATATTGTCTTCTGCAACTTTTATAAGATCCTTTTTCCTTTTAATTCTTTTCTTTCTTTTCAATTGCTATTGATCTATTCATATAGTTATCTAAAGCTCTATAACATTTCATACAAGGAAGAAGCTTATGCTTGTTATCGGTTTTTCATTTCCTATTTTACAGTATGGCCTCTAGATCTCATCAGATTCATTCCTTTCTTTAGTTGTAAAACACTCATGCACACATATATCAGAATGGATTCCATCATGTTGAGATTTTGTACCCTGAAGGTTGACATTATAGCTATGTTTTTGGTTGAAATTTGGGAGTTTTAAGTGATCTACCGGAGTCACTTCTATTGATTTATTAAAATGGTGACAGGGAACACAGGAGCAGTAGTCTGATTTTTATAAGATAGTTTGTTATGTTAAAGGAAGAATGATCGTCATAGGAGGAGATTGTTTTTGCAAAAGCAATGAAATTTGGAATCAAATGAAAAAAAAAATGATTAGAGATACTCTTTTTGAGAAGAAACTAGAAACAGAATCAGATTTGTAGGAACATGCAGTAATAATAAAGATGATGATGGCAGTGGTGAGGATATTGCCAAGTTATTGAAACAAGTCATAATGAAAGATAATCAAGACAGCAGTCTAGAGAAACTGCTAACATAACATCTCCATGTAACAAATGGCTATGATGCAAACAAAAGCTAAATACAGAGCTAGAAAAAAGAAAATAAAATAAAATAAAAATAGAGAAAGAAAGAAAAGGCAGAGGATACATGTAATATGCATCATGTGATTTCTATCATCCAAATCCTTGGATCAGCAATCAGGAATTGCCAATATCTATATCAAATGGGAGGTTTCCAGAGGTTACACTTTCAAATATAGTCTCTCCTGCTTGGTTAATGAAACCATCAATTAATTCTTGAACCACATGGCCCATGAGATTGTTGCCTGGCTTTGTCGTGTGAGGAGGCTGAACATACTGAGGAACTGCAGCAATGATGGTTGGCGTACTTGTTGTATAACGATTCATTTGATGAATAGGTTGTGGACCATGCTGACCAATAGCTAAGGTTGGCATACTTGCTGCATAACCATTCACTTTGTAAGGTTGATTCCAATTTGATGAACCGGCTTCGGGAATTGGAGTTGGAGTTTGAACGTATGGAACAAAGATTTGTTGTGGTGGTATGGGTATGACAGGTTGAGAAACATGGTAAAATGTTGAACCTGAATTTGGAAGATCGGTCATGAATTTGGAAGACTGGGGAGGGAAACTTCGAGACCTATGCAGTTGGGGCTGTTGCTGTATTTGTTGGATATCCGTGACAGGTTGAACATTAGTGTAGGCTCTATCAGAATGGCCTAGAAGTTGCTCCTGATGTGTTTGTTCGACTTGAATTGCTCGGATAGGTTGAATTTGAATATTGACACTATTGCCGTGATGAAGTTTTTGCTCCTGTGTTTGTTGGATCCCTTTCACAGGTAGAGGATGGGTAGTGGCAATAATATTGTGGCAAAGCAGTTGATTCTGCTGTGTCTGTTGGACCCCTCTGACAGGTTGAGGTTGATTGTGCGCTTGATTGGCTTGGCACAGCACTTGCTCCTGATGTGTTCGTTGGGTTTGGATCGCTCTTGCAGATTGGAGTTGAGCATCGGCACAATCAGTAGGGCACAGAATCTGTTGCTTTGTCTGTTGGATCTGTGTGGCTGGCTGCAATCGGTTAGACATCGCACAGTTCATGTGAACATCATATTTGCAGGAGCCACATCTATACAGCCAATGGTTTGAACCAATTTGCTTGCAGATGTCACACTGAAATTTCTTCTTACTATATGGAGGGCTGAAACAAAGTTCCAGTGTGTGATGGTGGGTGCTAGTATTGACTGATGAAGGGTTATAGATGCAAAGAGTGTGTATATCAAGCTGACAATCTTTACAGTGGTAGCAAAAGCCTGTGCCAAGTTTCCCACAGGCATTGCACTTGAAGGAACCAGTAGCATAAACAGGGGATGAAAGAAGAACAAGGGTGTGTTTCGAGTCGACTTGATGCTCTACGTTTGGAGGCATACGGGAGCAACTTTTGTGAAGGCAGTAGTTGCAAGTACTGCAAAGGTAGAACCATCCTGAGACCTCTAATTTGCAACCTGCACAAATAAATGTGTTAGTGGTTTGCGGTCGAAAATTTAGCAGTTTTAAGGGATGTGGGTGACTGAAATGTTGAACAACTGGATCCATATCAAGCCTGCTCATTTCTCCCGTTGTCCCCATGAAATGATCATTTATCTGCTGAGGAATTCAGAAGCAATATTAAGATACTCCAAGTGCTAATTTATGAGAAGATTGTATGTGAACATTTGATCTCCTGGACGCTATTTTCCACAAGATGTCGCTTCATGACAAACCCTGATTGCAAGGTTAGCTGTTTAAAAAAATCTCAAATCTCCACTATAGGCCAAGTCGGCCTGCATCAGTTGAGCTTGACATTATCACCGTTTACTTTGTTTGGGATGAAAGCGGAATACAATACAAAATTTTATAGACATAAAAAATTATTTTAGACGGCTTAGCAATGGTGTTCACACTTCAGACTATCTGAGCATCCAGGGAAGAAAACAAATGGTATATTCCTAGTTATCTCTTTCACAAGAAACCTGTCTCTTGAGTTAATTTGCCATCCATACATAGTTTTGCACTGTTCTGCTAGTTGTCTTTATTCATATAAAGTCAAAGTCAAAGTTAAAGTTAGCTAATATCATTAATAGAAGGTAATGCTGTGTTTTTCCAGTATGTCAATAGCCGACTCTCGAGCCCTAAGCTTTGTGATTCCAAGTATATGCCATTACAAGTTTGATGTCCGAAATATTTTTTTTTTTTTGCATTTTATTTTTGAACATACTCATATATATATCAAATTAATTTTCTATTTTTTTAACTTTTTGACAATAAAAAGTATTGTACATCAAATGATAAAAACATTTTGAATTTGTAATATTAAATACATGCTAAAAAAAAAATACAGAGTCTAATTAGTAACAAAGAGATTGACTCTTAGAAGTCATCTTGTAGCTTGGTTTCCTATCACCTAAAATATTTTGCTTACAATTCCGTAATTATTAATTCCACCAATCTGTGAATCCGAAATGGAGACCATACACTCACACACACACTTCACCTTCATCGATGGTTCAGAGCTCATAACTGTATAGAATTCATTGTAAAATTGAATCTCAAAGAATGATCAATAGCCAATCAGGATTGGCTTAGGCAGCAAAAATATAAAAATTCTATGCTTAATAATAACTGAAATCTGTTCTAAAAGTGGATTAAATGTTTTAGTTATGAGTTTTCAGTTTTAACTGAATGTTCTAGAGTCTGGACACTTCAATCCACTCAATGATGAGAATAGCAATTAGGAATGTCTGAATCTGTAATCCTACCATGCAATGGAACTGAGGTAAAACTCAAATATATATACATTCCATTTGTTCATCATTAATATGCTTGCCAAGTGTAAAAGAAATGATAATGGAACTCTGACTCAGATTGGAAGGACATGATATCAAGCTAGCTAAAACTTTGAATAGCTCATCTTGAAAATTTACAACATTGTGTTAAAAAGGGTAAAAAAAGAAAAAAGCATACTGGATACATAGGTATCCACCCTGGACACTCAATTTGCCTTTTCTGCTTTTCAACTTCTTCCATCACTGAAAACTGTAGTACTTGTCCCATATTTTGGTGAAGGTCAATATTGTAAGAGCTTCCACCAACATGAACACCATGATATTCGCGGCAAAGATGAAGCAACATAATGATGCATTAATCTTTACCCTTTAAAAAAAATAACTGACTTTCCCTACATTTGACAAAATATTAGTATCAAATTCTGTTCATTTCTGCTAAAACTTAATCGGTTTAAACTATGGAGGTAAATTACCAACAACTTGACTAAAAATACTGTTAGGAGGAGGAAAAATACATAAACTTGCCAAATGTATTTTCTATGAGACAGAATATGCGGAGACCCGTACCCAATCTAAAATTTATAATCTACTTTAACTTAAATGTCTTACGATTTTGTCCCACACAGAAGGTGCCTTGCAAATATAAGTTTAAGCCTCACTTGTTAACACTTGAAGGTTTCTCCGCCTGATGAAGGCATGACATGGAGGGTTAACAAGTGATCAGGGTGACTAGGATGTCGATATGATATATTATAGCTATGTTTTTGGTTGAAATTTGGAAGTTTTAAGTGATCTACCGGAGTCACTTCTATTGATTTATTAAAATGGTGACAGGGAACACAGGAGCAGTTAGTCTGATTTCTATAAGATAGTTCGTTATATTAAAGGAAGAATGATCCTCTTAGGATGAGATTGTGTTTGCAAAAGCAATGAAATTAGGAATCAAAGGAAAAAATGATTAGATATACTCTTTTTGAGAAGAAACTAGAAACGGAATCAGATTTGTAGGAACATGCAGTAATAATAAAGATGATGATGGCAGTGGTGAGGATATTGCCAAGTTATTGAAAGAAGTCATAATGAAAGATAATCAAGACTGCAGCAACTGCTAAAATAACATCTCCATCTAACAAATGACGTTCATGCAAACAAAAGCTGAATATAGAGCTAGAAAAAAAAGAAAATAAAATAAAAATAGAGAAAGAAAGAAAAGGCAGTGGATATATGTAATATCCATGTGTGATTTCTATCATCCAAATCCTTGGTTCAGCAATCAGGAATTGCCAATATCTAGATCAAATGGGAGGTCTCCAGAAGTTGCACTATCAAATATAGCCCCAACTGCTTGGTGAACGAAACCATCAATTAATTCTTGAACCACATGGCCCATGAGATTGTTGCCTGGCTTTGTCGTACTAGGAAGCTGAACATACTGAGGAACTGCAGCAATGGTTGGCGTACTTGCTGTATAACGATTCATTTGATGAATAAGTTGTGGACCATGCTGACGAACAGACACGATTGGCATACTTGCCGTATAACCATTCACTTTGTAAGGTTGATTCCAATTTGATGAACCAGCTTCGGGAATTGGAGTTGGAGTTTGAACGTACGGAACATAGATTTGTTGCGGTGGTATAGGTATGACAGGTTGAGAAACATGGTAAAATGTTGAACGTGAAGTTGGAAGGCCGGTCATGAATTTGGAAAATTGGGGAGGGAAACTTCGATACATGACCAATCGGGGCTGTTGCTGTGTTTGTTGGATGCCTGTGACATGTTGAGCATTAGTGTTGGTTCTATCAGTATGGCCTAGAAGTTGCTCCTGTTGTGTTTTTTCAACTTGAATTGCTCTGATAGGTTGAATTTGAATATTGAAACTATTGCTGTGATGCAGTTTTTGCTCCTGTATTTGTTGGATCCCTTTGACAGATCGAGGATGGGTACTGGCAAAAATATTGTGGCAAAGCAGTTGATTCTGCTGTGTTTGTTGGACCCCTCTGACAGGTTGAAGTTGATTGTGCGCTTGATTGGGTTGCCACGGCAGTTGCTCCTCATGTGTTCGTTGGTTTTGGATCGCTCTTGCAGATTGGAATTGAGTATTGGCACAATCAGTAGGGCACAGAATCTGTTGCTTTGTCTGTGGGACCTCTGTGGCTGGCTGCAACCGGTTGGACATGGCACAGTTCATGTGAACGTCATATTTGCAGTAGCCACATCTATACAGCCAGTGGTTTGAACCAATTTGTTTGCAGATGTCACACTGAAATTCCTTCGTACTATACGGAGGGCTGAAACAAAGTTCCAGTGTGTGATGGTGGGTGCTAGTATAGACTAATGAAGGGTTATAGATGCAAAGAGCGTGTATTTCAAGCTGACAGTCTCTACAGTGGTAGCAAAAGCCTGTGCCAAGTTTCCAACAGGCATTGCACTTGAAGGAACAAGTAGCATAAACAGGGGATGAAAGAAGAACAAGGGTGTGTTTTGGGTCGACTTGATGCTCTACCTTTGGAGGCATACGGGAGCAAGTTTTGTGAAGGTAGTAGTTGCAAATACTGCAAAAGTAGAACCATCCTGAGACCTCGTATTTGCAACCTGCACACATAAATGTATTTGTGGTTTGCGGTGGAAAATTTAGCAGTTTTAAGGGATGCGGGTGACTGAAGTGTTTAATAACTGGATCCATATCAAGCCTGTTGTCCAGATGAAATGATCATTTATCTGCTGAGGAATTCAGAAAGCAATGTTAAGATACTGCAATTGCTAAGTTATTTAGAATGTATGTGAACATTTGATCTCCTGGACGTTATTTTCCACAAGATGTCGCTTTATGACAAATCCTGATTGCAAGGTTAGCTGGTTAAAAAAATCTCAAATCTCCACAGTAGGCCAGGTCGGCCTGCATCAGTTGAGCTTGACATTATCAGTGTTTACTTTGTTTGGAATGAAAACGGAGTACAATGGAAATTTGATAGACATAAAAAATTATTTTAGACGGCTTAGCAATGGTGTTCACACTTCAGACTATCCGAGCATCCAGGGAAGAAAACAAATGGTAAGTTCGTAGTTATCTCTTTGACAAGAAACCTGTCTCGAGTTAATTTGCCATCTGCACATAGTGTTTGCATTTTTCTGCTAGTTGTCTCTATAAATCTGAAGTCAAAGTTAAAGATAACTAATAATATCATTAACAGAAGGTAATGTTGTGTTTTTCCATTATGTCAATAGCCGACTCTCGAGCCCTATGTTTTATGATTTTAAGTATACGCCATTACAAGTTGGACACTGATAAACTACTCCCCCATCTCATTTTTTGTCCTTTTTTTTAGAGATGTCCTGAAATGAATTTTTTTTTCATTTTTTAACGTACTCTTTTTTTATACATATTTCAAATTAATTTTCTATTTTTTAACTTTTTAACAATAAAAAGTATTGTACATCAATATGATAAAAATATTTCGAATTTGTAATATTAAATACATAGAAGTCTAATTAGTGACAAAAAGATTTGACTCTTATAACTCGACTTGTAGCTTGGGTTCCTATCACCAAAAATATTTTCCTTACAATTCCATAATTATTTAATTCCACCAATCTGTGAATCTGAAAGTGGATTAAATGTTTTAGTTATTAGTTTTCAGTTTAACGGAATATTCTAGAGTCTGGACGCTTCAATCCTCTCAATGATGAAAATAGCAATTTGGAATGTCTGAATCTGTAATCCTAATACACAATGGAACTGAAGTAAAACTCAAATATATATACTTTCCATTTGTTCATCATTAATATGCTTGCCAACTATAAAAGAAGTGATTATGGAACTCTGACTCAGATTGGAAGGACAAGATATCAAGCTAGTCAAAACTTTGAATGGCTCATCTGGAAAATTTACAACATTCTGTTAAAAAGGGGAAAAAGAGAAGAAAAAAATCCTGGATAAATAGCTCTCTCCCCTGGACACTCCATTTACCTTTTCTGCTTTTTATCTTCTTCCATCACTGAAAACAGTAGTACTTGTATCATATTTGGGTGAAAATCAATATTGGAAGAGCTTCCACCAACATGAACACCATGATATTTGCTGCAAAGATGGAACAACATAATGATGCATTAATCTTTATCCTTTTAAAAAGTAACTGACTTCACCTACATTTGACAATATATTAGTGTCATCAAATTCTGTTCGTTTCTGCTAAAACTTAATCAGTTTAAACTATGGAGGTAAATTACCAATAACTGGACTAAAAATATTGTCAGGAGGAGTAAAAATATGTTAACTTGCCAAACCTATTTTCTACAAGACAAAATACCCGTGCTAGACTATGGCCTTTGGTTACTTGCACTTACTTTCTCAGATTTACTGCTCTGATCTCCATTTCTAGACACGCTCCTGGATTCATTTGACATTTTCTTTCTATTCCTTTGCTCCCCTGAATAAGTGCCGTCTCCAGTTAAGAATGCCTCATTCATCCTACTATTTGGATTACAAAAATCAAAACTTCCCTTATTAGCACAAGTAATTTCTTGTTTGGTTGGTTCAAAGTTGATTGTAATCCTCTCGAGCATAATGTTATTTCTATCATTTACTGTTTCTTTAACTTTCTGGAGAGCGCTTGCATCAGAAAGTTTAGGCTCCTTTCTTGCCTGATTTGTATAATCGAAACTTGAATAAGATCCTGCCAAATCTATTGAAAAACATCCATCGCTGAACTGGTAACTTGGCGCTGTAATAAGGTCACCAGAAAGTAGACTTGATTGGTCTGTCTCTTGTGCTTGTACTTCTGAGCTTGGAGAAGTGCCAGAAATATCCGGCTTGCGACTTGATACAATGTATTCATTCTGGCCATTTCTTATTTTAAGTTTCCTTTTAGGACTATGCAATCTCTCATCCCATCCAACCACTGTTTTAAGAAAATTTTCTTGTGTTTTCTTCTCTCTGATATTTCTAGCCACACCCAGGGATACTAATTGAACCAGCTCTGTGCCTTCATGAATGTAATCTTCTGCTTGTTTAGTTTTCAAGAAAGATCCTGAAGAATACTTTATCTTTCTTGTCAAAGGGTCTGGCAATGGTGCAGTTGGATGCCGAAAAGATTGTGTTCTTTGATTGGAAATGGCACAGGCAAGATGTGTATCAAACTCACAGATTTGACACCTATAAAGCCACCCTTTATAGCTGGCCAGTTCTTTGCATATGTCACATTGCAAGTCATAAGGAGGTGAAAATTCTAGTTTGAGTGTGTGAAGGTGGGAAGTGATTGCTACGGAAAGTGGCAGTGCTGAGCATAAGATATGGTAGCAGTTGCAAAATTCTGCACAGTTGTAGTAGAATCCATTGACATGGTGTCCACAAGCCTCACACTTGAAGGTTTCTTCGCCTGATGAAGGCATGACATGGAGGGTTAACAAGTGATCAGGGTGACCAGGATGTCGAGTTTTCCTAGGCATATTGTAGCACACTTGGTGAAGGTAGAAAGGGCAGGTTTTGCAGTGGTAATAGCTTTTAGCTGGGAATATACTGATCTTGCACCCAGAACAGGTAATATTTTCTGCCAAAATAAAATTGGTACACACCATTGGATGGTGATGACTGAAATGTGGATACATATGCTCCTCCTTAAGTGCTTTCATCTTCTCTTTCTATTAGTTTTCTATCTTCTTCTGCTCCTCATACAATTTTTTGCTTCCTCCTCTGCTTGTCTAAAAGTGTGCATTGCGGGGAGGGGCCTGCTTGATTAAGATTGTTTGTGGAAAAACAGAAGATGTGGGTTTGGAATTTGAACCTCGAAGGTGGCCTAGCTGCTAGCTAACAAGTTCTTTATGACAAGGACTCGTACCGGCCTTGACAACAACACTTTCTTGATTGCGAGGTTGTAGTTTTTGTCTAGTATGTACTCTGGATTCAGATCATAACTCACAAGCCACAGGCCGGCCAAAAAAAAATTGTTGATCTTTCGACTGGAATATTCCAACTTCTTCTGTAACTCCATACTCATGTCTCTATCTGAATCCTAATGGCAAAGAAAAATAGAGGTAGCGTCCAGAGTGCTAGAATTTTCAAGCTAATAATATAACCGTCAGATTATTTTCTTGCTGAATACTTACCAGTGTCATACTCCTATTCTGCTACCCAATCTGTTCGCATTTAGGTATTATCCTATGTTCCTTTTGCATATATACTTGTTCAAAATCAGATCACATTTATCTTAGAGAAACTCAACTTAATTTGTTCAGGTATGCAACATTCAAACTTGCAATCACTTATATATGTAGCCCACATTCCCGCAATGCAAAGATTCATGGTACCAATTGAACCATAATCCTTTCTTCATAGGGGAGAGTGCGTTGAATAAGTTTAAGGTTCAAATAGTTATCAGTCACTATATTGAATCAACTAAATTCTGAAAGGCTAAATAAGTCTATTAAAATTTGTTCTGCTGGCCAACGAGAGTTCCTCAAGTACGAATTCAAGTTGACAAGGTCAACAAAATGTTCTGAACTATCAGAACAATTGATGGATTGGAGTAGAATGTTCAAAATTTCTCCGAATAATGAAGCTTGTTATGTGATGTTCCTTGTTCTGTTCAGTTTACTAAAACATACTCTGAATTTAGGTTAGGGAATTGATTGCACATGTATTTTGGTCTATATGCATAAAGGGCATTGATTGCACTTGTATTTTGGTCTATGTGTACTGTTGTAATAGGAGTCTAACAAATAAAATAAATAAATCTAAATGAAATTTTCAATTGATAATATAAATAAGTTATTTAATTTAATTTAATAAATTAATAGGGGTATTTAATTCGATCAACCACTATCTATCCTCATATGAACATCAAGGAATGAATAATTCATTTATCAACAAGGATTGATTCAATCGATAGTTCCCTGATCTTTCTTTCATAATGAAGTGAGAATGAAGTTTGGGAAGGAGAATAAAAAAAAAATGATAGAACCAGACCAACAATCAGGAGAAATGAGTAATTGCCAAAAAGTTGAGCTAGTTGTTGAAAGATAGAAACAGTTCTGAAAACCAGGATAATTGGTTGTTTACAGCCAAAGGTTTGGAAATTTTTGTAATAATTTAGAAGATAGATCATGGTAATGTTCAGTGACTGATTTAGTGAAATGTGAAAACAAAAAGTGGTACTAGAGGATTGGAAGAAAATAAGTGAAGTCATTAGATTTAGTCTATTAAGCCGTTGATTTTTCATTTTCCCTTCTTAAATGAAACAAATAAATAATGTAGGTCCTTTCTACATTCTAGTCAGTCTTGGCTGCTGGAATAGTAATCAAAACAGCTGAAGCCAGCTAATTGTCTTTTATTTCATGTTGAAGCTGATTTTGACCGGATTACATGGATTTCTTCGGTGTGCATCACAGCCTCCGAAGCAGACCTTGTGGATCATGCAATCCAGAGACTTTGACCAAGATGCAAGAAAATGGAGAATACTATCCATATTCTCATTAAACTTTTTATTTTTAAACTGAATATTTGTTAATAAAATAATAAACTCTTTTTTTTTTCTGACTGCAGAAATTTCGATTTTCAGATTGTACTGGCAGCAACAGTTTCAGAAATCCATTGCCGGTTCTTGACACATGTTTTGTCACCCCAAATTCATGCCGTTTTTCCAAGCTCCTAAGCTGCTAGTGCAAGCAATTGTGATCTGTAGCAGCCTTATACAGGTTCAATGCTTAAACTTCAGTTATCCATCATTCAGCGGTGCAGATGCCAATGAATTTGTAAGTCTTAGTTCCTTGATCATCAACGATGTCATTGAAGTGAGTCCTCTTATCACAGATGCATCAGGAAGAGTCCTGTATAAGGAACAACTTAAACTATGGGATAAGCTGAGAGGCACCAAGTCATCATTCATCTCAACCTTTGTGATTAACATCAGGCCCCAGACCTCTCCTGGCGGTGAGGGACTTGCCTTCATATTAACTGACAACCCTGCTCTCCCTAACGACAGTGGACGTCAATGGCTTGGGATTGTTAATGCAAGTACCATAAATGTTAACAACATAGTTGCTGTGGAATTTGATACAAGGAAGAGTGATTCCGAGGATGTAGATGATAACCATGTTGGAGTAGATGTGAAAAATATATATTCCATCAAGCAAGAACCATTAGCAGGCCATGGTGTTAATCTTTCAAGTGGTGAAGATATCACTGCTAGAATCCAGTATGATGCAAAATCTGATAAAATGACTGTTTTTGTGATGTTAACTAGAACAGGTCAACTGAACATAGGGAACCCTATTTTCACCGTGGAACTTGATTTGTCTGAAAATCTTCCGGAGGATGTTTTTGTGGGATTTTCTGGTTCAACTGGAGAGCATACCCAGGTCAATTCTCTAAAGTCCTGGAATTTCACCAGTTTTGAAGTTAGAGTTAAAAGTAGAGTCAATCTTCTTTGGCTTTGGATCTTGATTCCAATAATAGTTATAATTTTGATAGGAGGATTTTCCTACTTCTTGTTTCGAAGACGCAAAAACAGAATAAAACAAAAGGACGATGATGAATTGGAGATTCAGCAAGAAATTCAAAGGTCATCTAGTGCTCCCCAAAAGTTCAGACTGAAGGAACTTATAGCTGCCACAGGTAATTTCAATGTTAAAAACAAACTTGGCAGTGGAGGATTTGGCACCGTCTATAAAGGAATTTTGAGAAAGGAGGAGGTAGCCGTGAAAAGAATTCAAAAGAACACACGCCGTGGAAAGCAGGATTTTATAGCAGAAGTGACCACCATTAGCAACCTCCACCACAAGAACCTTGTTAAACTATTCGGTTGGTGCTATGAAAGCAATGAACTACTCCTCGTTTATGAGTTCATGCCAAATGGGAGTCTAGACAGGTTCATATATAGGAATACAATTCCAAACAATTTGTATAAAACTCTGAATTGGGTAACGAGGCACAATATCATTTGTGGAGTAGCTAAGGCGTTGGACTATCTGCATAATGGTTGTGACAAAAGGGTTATTCATCGAGACATAAAATCCAGTAACATAATGTTAGATTCAGACTTCAATGCTCGATTGGGAGATTTTGGACTAGCCCGAACCATTCAATTGAATGAGAAAACACACTACTCAACCAAGGGGATAGCAGGAACACCCGGATACATGGCTCCAGAAAGTTTCCATACCGGTAAGGCAACTGTTGAAACTGATATCTATGCATTTGGAGTACTAATACTGGAAGTTGTGAGTGGGAGAAAACCAGGACACCAAAATGAGCAGAACAGCTACAACAGCAGCATTGTAGAGTGGGTGTGGGAACAACACAGGTTGGAAAAGCTTGGTGATGTTATAGATCTTCAATTAAACAAGGACTTCGATGCGGATCAAGCACAGTGTATTCTTCTGTTGGGGCTGGCCTGTTGCCATCCAAACCCGTACGAGAGGCCCTCTATGAGAACTGCTTTGCAGGTTCTTACAGGGGAAGTAGCTCCACCGTCTGTGCCTGCTGAGAAGCCTGCATTCATTTGGCCGGCCATGGTTCCAACCATTGGAGAAGAGATGGATAACTCCATCACCGGAGGTCAACTTACCACAACAACGGAACTCAGTGGCAGGTGATAAGTGCATGTATCTCATATTTAATAACAGAAAACTGAGTTCGGATTCTCTTTCCTACATTTAAAAAAAAAAACTTCTCTTTCTATTAAAATTAAACATCCGCTCGTAGGGTTGATTATTAATAAATCATGAAATAGGGAAGGATAAAAAAATTTATTAGTTCAAAACATCTATTCTTTACTTAAATGTGTTAATCATCTTTCATAAACTTCACTTGTTTGTTATCTACTAACATTAACAATGAAGCAAAGTTAGGAGATGGCTGGCGTAATTAAACCCCAATGCTGACTCTTCTTCAATCCTCCCACAATTTCTATCTACTATTCCAATTCAAAGAAAGCTCATGTAAATACTTGCTTCACCTCTTTCTTATGGTAGTGCTTCTACTCTGTAATTTTATACCTATCTACATTTTCTAGGGAATATTCTCCAACTAATGGGTTTGGTTAAGAATCACTTTAAAGTTTAATGTAAGTAAGATTTACAAGTAGAGTTTACTTTTGACAAAAAAAAAAAAAAAGGGGTTTACTATTTTTTCATATATATTAAAAATAATTAAATAGAAAAATAAATAATTATAAAAGAAAGAAAAGAAATATATGAATCTAGAAAGGTTTATAAAATATGTTCTTTTATTCAGTAGATTTCATTAATTTCATTCATTCTATATGAGGTTAAGAGGGTGATTAAGGAATTTTTATTTATTTATATTTATTTTTTGTAAATATTTAAAATATAAAAATTAATTATAAATAAGTAAAACAATTAAAAATTCTCTAACTCTATTTTTATGTCTAGGTAATAATGAGAATGATTCGTTGTTTAATTTTTTTTTTTAAATAACGTATAAAATTATAAATATTTAAATTTTGATCTTAATTCAAATTGAATGTTTATATAATCAAATTTAATTTGAATTGAATTTTAATGATTTAGTTTATTAAATTTTTTTATTTTTATTTTTATTTATATATTTGTTATTTTAATATAATTTTTAGTACATCTAAATAGATTTAAGTATAAAATAATTATTTTATTTTATAAAATTTTAAAAAATATATTAAAGGACTATGGTAGGTTTTAATGAGAATCTACCAAACGATCACAATGTACAAATTAAGAGATTGGCCGTGGACGCTTTAGAACTCTTTTCTCTGTCGTCCTGAAAGATTTCTTGGCTTTGCGTAGATGACAGAAAGAACCTTACTGCGAGCAGAACCTTTTGGTTTATCATTGGAACCATATGCCAAGTTTTATTTAGAGACGTTATCATCAGCTGCATCCAGAACAATTTAGCTTTTCAGTTTTTTATTTTTGTTGCTTTAATTTATAAGTTTTTTTTTTCTTTAACACTTGATATTAAAATTTAAATCTTAATCACTTAAATTAATTGATAAATCAAACGACTGTTGACTTTAATATGTAAGCTTTGATACATATTTTCTTTTCGTAACTTCTCGTTGGCACGTAAAGATCTCGGAAATCTTGGCGATTTGTTTTTCTTTAAAATATGTTTTATTATTTCACATTGAATAGCAAAACTGTGGACTGCCGATATCTTGGTGGCAACTTTTTCCCTGGCAGTGTTAGAATTGCTTGATAACGCAGGTAAATTTAGAGTTGGCGGGTCTGAGTCGGGTTCGGGTCAAATTTTGTTCATATAGAATTTGATCCGATTTTATATGTTATCAAATTCAAATTTGATTTTATTTAATTTTTTTTTTGTTTTTTCATATTTGAATCTGTTTCGATATTATATAAATCGTACCCGATCTAATATAACTTGATATTATATAAAATATTATTTTTAAATATAAATATTTAAAAATATTATTATATAAATATATATATTAATTAATTAATTAAAAAATAATTTTTTATATAATATCAGATCGAATCGAATTTGTTTAAAATTTGAATTTGATCCAATCCTAATTATTTTATAATCCAATCCGATCAAAAATTCGAATTTCAAAAAAAAAAATCGATTTTATAATATTGGATCGGATCGAAATTCGTCGAAAATAAATTAAATTATCGATCCTAAATAAATTGAAGTGTGAATCTAAGAATTAAAACTGTAATATCCTGTTTAATTCCAATTTTAGCATTGAAGAATAAACTAAAGACTTAAATTGGGCATGTTGACCTTAAAACAGAGTCTTAGTCAAGAGTTTGCAATATGCTGTTGTAATTCCAATTCTAGAATTGAAGAATAAACTAAAAGACTTAAATTAGCCTAAGACAGAGTCTTAGTCAAAAAGTTTGTCATATAGGTCCCACCGTTGATTAGACTAAATGAAGTAAACGATGATGGAAAGCGCACATCCCCATCTTGTTGTTTTAGGATCATTCTAAACTATATCATTGTACCCTTTTTTACAAATTTTTGAAAATAAAAAAATTATAAGAGTTAAAATTAAATTTAATAATTTGTGTATTACTATTTTTTATATTAAAAAATATAAAATATAAAAATTATTATATTATAATTCATATTAATAAATTAAAAATAAAATATGTATTTTGATTTTTACAAAATTTATATATATTTTTATTATAATTTTAAATCACAATATTTTTATATTTTTATTTATCATGCCTTATTTAAATATATTAAATTTAATTAGAATAAAAAATTATAAGTAATATATGTAATTACTTAAATACAAACATAAATACTTTATTTATGGCAATATATTAATCTTGACTTTGGCATGATATTAATCTTGGTTATACTAAAATTACAAATGACGGGTAATTTTCGAAAACTTGAAACTTAGGAGGAACTCTTGTACAAACAAGTCTTGAGGAAATTTCGAAGCAAGGCTCCCTTTTGGTATGTGCACTAAAAACTTTTAACTTGTTGCACAAGTTTTCGGTCTTCACTTTTTATATAAAAAATAATATTTTATTAACAAATAAATGTAAATAACATAATATTAAGTCAAAATATAATTTTATGGTGTATAATTGATAAATTATGTGATTATAACTAGTGTATGTGAAAAAAACTAAAAGTTGTAGTATAATTTGTTTATTATTTAAAATAATTAATTAAGTAATTTAATAAACAATATAAGTCAAATGTAACAAAACTTAATAAATTTTTTTATCCAAAATAACAAATTAAATAATGAAAACAAATAAATGTAACAATAAGAAATTTAGTACTATATTATTTTTTATCTAATCAAATAATAAAATTAAGTAATTTGAGACTAAATTACTATGAAAGTAATAAAATTTAATAATAATACTACTTTTAATTATGTATTATTGCTACTTTTATAAAATTAACGTCATGGAAGACAGGATCTTTGTATATTACTCTTTGGAAACAACAATTTAAAGGATTCAATACCAATTGCTTTCATGTTTTTTGTTTTTACTTTTTAGTCATATGGGCAAGTATGATTGTTGGGTTTGGGTGAAATTATTTGATTAAGTAACAGAGCGACATATATCTTTTAAAAAATATTAAAAATAAAGAATTAATTAAAAAAATAAGCCATGAATAAATTTCTAAAGTCTACAGGTAAAATTAAAATAATTTCACTAATAATATATAAAAACAAACTCTCAAATATTACCCCTTGCATAATTACATATTATAAGTTGTAATATTAATTCAACGTTTTTTTTACTTTGACTCTTACCAATGGGTTTGGCTAAGAATCACTTCCATGGATAAGGTTTACAAGTAGTGTTTACTTTTGAACCCCCCATAAAAGGGGTTTACTATTTTTATATATATATTAAAAATAATTAAAAAGAAAAAATAAGTGATTATAAATGGAAGAAAAGAAATATATGAATCTAGAAAGGTTTATAAAATATGATCTTTTACTCAGTAGCTTTTATTAGTTTCATTCATTCTATATGAGGTGAAGGGGGTGATGAAGGAATTTTTATTTATTATTATTATTTTTTGTAAATATTAAAAATATAGAAAATAATTATAAATAAGTAAAATAATTGAAAACATTTTAATCTTATTTTTATTTTAGGTGGAGATGATAGTAATTTAGATCAAATTTATTTTGATTTTTTTAGATAATGCGAAATTATAAAATTATAAAATTCAATCATAATTCGAATCAAATTTTTATATAATCTAATCCAATGTAAATCAAATTTTATATGTTGGTTCAATTCATTAATTTTTAAATTTAATTTTTTTTATTTTTATATATTATTATAATATAAAGTTTAATATATTTAAATAAATTTAAATATAAAATAATTATTTTTATTGTATAAAATTTTAAAAATATAAAAATTAATAAAAATTATAATTTGATTTGATTTAAATTTTTTAAAGTTTTTCATTTACAAATAAAACTTCTATTCAAATTTAATAAATATATATTTAATATTTAAATTTAATCTAAACCAAATAAAAAAACAAATTTTAATAAAATCGATTACTTCAATTTCAAATCGATCTTGTAAAATTTTTTTTCTCACCCATAAATTACTAACAGGAAAAAGACAAAACAAATTGCACGTAAACATAGTGGAAAAACAAAATTTTAAAGCACTTGAGAAGATAAAATTTTATTCTCCCTTTTTTCTTCGCCTATTCGTTATCGTTGCTGCTCATTCTCTTTCCCCCGCCACCTCCACCACGAACCCTTCTTCATCGTTACTCTATCCATTCGAACACTCCCACCAGTTATCCTTATGATTTAAAGTTTTAATTTTTCTCCATCATCATAAACCCTAAAACCTTCCTCTCCGTCTCGCTTCTGCCGAGTTAAGAAACTTTAACCTCTTATATAATCAAATCAGCTAAAGTTTCAACTTTTCCTTACTTTTTTTGACAGTTCAAAATGGCTTCCCTTCTTAAAGCATTTCCCAATGTATTTCTGTAGGAGAAGCTACCATTCTTGTCTAAAGGTAACGTCTTATTCTATATAGAAATGTTGATCTTGTGTGCATTCCATTCCATGCAACATCTTTGTCGCCGGGACTTGTTATTTGCTGTTGGACACGGGACTGCCCTGATTTTGTCAAATTGTAAATATCAATTTTGAGGATATAAGCATCAGACTCATATGAATTCAAAGTGTTTAAGAAGTGTTAGATTTTGGTATGTTAGAGCAAAGTGAAGAGTCCATGTAACATAGTGCAACATCCATAGCTACTTCATTGACCCTTTGCTTAGATATGTTAATAATAACATTCGCTATGAGGAAGGGACTGGGAACTAAATCTAGGTTATTGCAGTTTTTCTCGTTACTGTGATAACTATTCTTTGGATTCTGATGATTAGGAGTCCGTAAACTTGTCTACTTAGGAGTAGGATGTGACCAAACATACCTGGGATATCATATTAATTGGTGTTTAATCTGTTAGCTGTGTCCTTAAAGTTGAGTATTAAAGTTCAACTGTAAGTGTCTATAACTAATCTCACTTTGAATCTTGGTTTGATCCCACATATGCTGTCAACTTTTTTTGTCTATGACAATTATCGTTTCTTGTTTCTCTATTTTTCTTCCTCAGCTTGGATGCTCTTCTGAGTTTTACCTTGTTACTCTTGCAAAGTAGTTGTGAATATTCCTTTTATGAGAAGATAGGTAACCAGATAACATGGCTTAACATTCACTCCATTGCTTTGGTGTTCCTCTGCCTGTTGCAGGTAAATTGTTGTACTGGCAAAATGGGAAAGGCTGTTATCAAAGCTGGAGATTCTGCTGGACTTCATATTGTTCCTGTGTTTTTTGGTACAGAGGAGTCTGATCAGACTGTTGAAGTGTGTGGGAAAGAGATTCTGGTGCGTGGTCCTTCTGAAAGAGAAAGCATCCTTGCTTCCATCTTTCAGGAGTATCCAAACCTGATCGTGGTAGACTGCACTGTGCCTGCCACAGTTAATGGTAACCTATTCAGGAACATGCATATAAACCTTTATCATATTTCATATTTAATGAATGAAGAAAGCAAACTGAACTTGAGTGAGAAAATTTTGATAGTCCAAGGAATAATGTCTCTAAAAGCTGAAGCCTCATCGTGGCAATATCTATCACTATTGCTGAATTACTTTTTTCTCAGGCATATCATTAAAAAAGTTATGACTCGTTAAATAAATTTATGCTTGGTAACGTAAGTACCATCAATGTGAACAACATAGTTGCTGTGGAATTTGATACAAGCAAGAGTGATATTCATATAGATATTCAATTTCAATCCCACATTTATCACTATACTATAAGTCAATATTGAATTTAATATATTATATATTATATTTTTCGTTGAATTTAGTCACAATACTATTAATATTGTCAATTTTTAGATAAAAAATATGGTATTCATGAAAAGTTGTCATTTACATTAACAAAATATTTTTTTGAAATATTTTAATTTCGTTATGTTTTGTCCAAAAACCAATAAAATTAAAAATATATTGACAAATTAAAAAATTCAATGAAATTAAATAATTAAGAAAAATTTTAAAATTGAACTACGGTGACAAATTTGACCTTAATAATTCCTTCTTTTCTTTTCTTTTTAAGAGTCTCTTGAAATCAAACTAATTGAACCTTATAATTATTAAGATTGACTTAACCAACAAAGAATGAATAGCTGAACAGAAAACCATTTCATAATTAAACAAGACTATTTTACAAAACTGTATGCTAGCTCAAAGGCTAAACCCCAGCAATCTTCACAATCATTTGGAACTAAATATTATATATATATAGTAACACAAATTTTCCAACATCTTTTGCATTTAGTCAATGACGAGCAGATCGTCCAACCATTAATTTGCGAGCGTTCTTCTTTGACTTTTTTGGCCATTGATGATGTTTGCCTTCAACCAACGAGACAATCCAATGTGGCTTACCAGTTTGAAAAACGACAAATCCCTTAGCCAGTCCAGATATTAATCCACACGCATAACCTACCACCACAACTCTCCAGCCAAATGTAATTTTAGACTTCGAGTCATCTTCATCCCGTAAGTTTGAAGGTGGTGGGTGTTGTGCTTCGGTATCATTGCTGCAATCTCTAGAGAGTGGGAAGCCACATAACCTGTCATTCCCTTCATATGAAGTGTTCTCAAACGTGTTGAATTGATTGCCTCGAGGAATGCGCCCAAAAAAATCATTATTGGAAAGGTTTAAGACAGAAAGCCATGTCACATCTACTAATTGCTCAGGAATCTTTCCGTCCAGCTCATTCCAGGAGAGATCTAACCATTCAAGATTGATCAAATTCCCAAATGATGACGGGATAGGACCATTAAGTCTATTATGAGAAAGGTTAAGTCCAATCAGTGAACTAAGGTTTCCGATGGCCTTCGGAATCTCTCCTTGAAACCTGTTATTTGATAGGTCGATGATCGTAAAGGCAGCAAAAATTTTGATCATTTCAGTCTCAAGACCTTTTACTACCATACGAACAGAATAGCTATAGAATTGACCCCCATCAAGCACTCCAAGATATGGCATAGCACCTTTGTCTTCTTTGAGATTCATAGCCTTGAAATCTTCTATGTACCTAACTGGCAACGGCCCAGTAAAATTATTGTTGGCGAGGGCAAAAATTCGCAACTTAGGAAAAGAATGTCTGCGCTTTGTACCATGAATGTGACCATGCAATAGATTTGACTGCAATACAAGAACTTGTAGATGCGGAAGAGTTCCCAACCAGTGAGGGAATGTTTCATTGATCTTGTTGTTACCAAGATCTAGAACTTCTAGACTTCTGCAATTAATGATAGATTGTGTTAATGGCCCCTCTAATTGGTTACCATTCAAGTTGAGATTGCTAAAGGTACATTCTTTGGAAAATGAAGGAACGGTTCCAGAAACGTTGTTCATGCGCAAATTCAACATCCAAAGACTTCTGCTTAAATTTCCAAAACATTGTGGGATGGTTCCACTCAGATTGTTATGAGACAAGTCAAGAATCTCAAGGGAAGTTCGATTGCATATCAAAGAAGAGATATCTCCACTTAGATTATTATTTGAGATTAGGAAGACCCTCGTTGACAAAGGTGGAATTTTAAGATCTCCTTGAATCAAATTAGAGCTGAGATCAAGCATTTCAATATTCTTCCATGGAATTTGCTCTAACTCTGTCAAAGAGTTGTGAGAAAGATTCAAGTACCTCAAAGAGTCCTTCCCTACATTCCACATCCATTTCGGGACGTGACCATAAAAACTATTGTTGGACATGTCTAAAACTTGCAAACCTTTTGAGCCTATTAAAAATTGGGGAAATTCCGTAAGATTGCAAGAAGTCATATGCAGCTCCAGAAGTTTAGACAATGTCTGCTCAACACCGGTATTGGACATCAATGATAGACTATTATAGGAAAGATCAAGATACATGAGATTTTGAAGTTTTAGGAACATGTCAAACCCCAAATTGTATTTGAAGTTATTCAACGATAAATCAAGATAAGTGAGGTTTACAAGTTGGAAAATTGAGAATGGAATATGACCTTGAAGCTTATTATTTCCAAAAGATATGGATTCTAGTGATTTCTGCTGGAATTCCTTGATAGGACCAGTGAACTGGTTATTTTCAAGATGTAGCATCTCCAACGAGGATAAGGTGTACAACCATGGTGGGATTGTTCCGTTGAGAAAATTATCAGACAAGTCTAGATAGACTAGATTAGGAAAAGAAGTTACCTTGTCAGGAATTTTGCCCTCTAGTTGATTATAGTGCATGTCCAAGAATTTCAGTTGTTTTAGATTTGTGATTGAGGATGGAATCTGACCACCAAAATGATTGCTTGAGAGAAACAAGTTAACAAGTTGTGTAAGGTTACTTAATGATCTCGGAATGGATCCTGAAAAGTTGCACTGTCGGAGATCCATATACTTCATAGAAACTAGATTGCCAATTGAGTTAGGCAATCTTCCAGATAAAGAAGAGAATGATAAATCCAAATACTCCAAAGATGCTAGATTGCCAATTGAGTAAGGCAATCCTCCTGAAAATGAAGACAATGATAGATCCAATCGCTTCAAAGAAACTAGATTCCCGATTGAGTCAGGCAATCCTGCTGAAAATGAAGACCAGACTATATCCAAACTCTCCAAGGAAACTAGATTCCCAATGGATTCGGGCAATCCTCTTGAGGACGATGTTCCTGATAGATCCAAATGCTTCAAGGAAACTAGATTGGCCATTGAATCAAGAAATTCTTGCGAGAGGAACATATCCCTTAGATTCAAAACCTCAAGATGGCTGCTCCAATTGGTCTTTGAAAGATAGAAAGTGAGGTTTATGTTCATTCCTAAATCGAGCAGCTTAAGGTTTGGTAGGTGAAAAACCTTTTCTGGAAATTTGCCTCGCAAATCACAATAAGAGAGACTGAGAGACATTAAGGAAGAGGATAGATTCATGAAGGAATTAGGATTTACAAAAGAAATGTTGACCAAATCAAGAAAAAGTTCTTTCACCTCTGGTAGGTTGTGAACAAGTCCTTCCAAAGTATGTTTGTCATGAATTTGGAAATAATTCCAAGACAAATCAAGTGAAACCAACTTTGACAAGTTGGAGATTTGAGACGGGACTCGCCCTGAAAAGAAAGAATTAGAGAGGTTGAGATACACTAGACTTTCAAACCGACCAAAATTAGCAGAAATCTCCGACCCATTAAAATCATTATCAGCTAGGTTGAGCTTCTGCAAATGTGGAAGATGGAAGAGACTAGCATTGGAAAGGATGGTTCCATATAGCCAACCGCAACTCAGGTCAAGACCAATCACTTGACCTGTTTTGTTGTCACAAGTGATCCCATCCCATGAGCAGCAATCTGTACCTTCCTTCCATGAAACTGACTTGGGATATTTGCATACCCCAAGAGCCCTTGTTTCGTCAATAGCAAGAGAGCTCTTGAATTGGATTAAGGCAGCCGCCTCATTGTGAGAGCATAGTTGTGTTGCCGAAGAAGGTAAAGAGAATGAAGTGGTTAAAAATAAAAGGACAGAGACAAATTGACAGAGCATTGGTAAGCTTCTCATCTTTGTAACTCAGAAAGGGTTTCAATAAAGGTATGTTAGCAAACAAGTATAATATATATCGCATAGTCAAAGCAAAGTCTTGGTCAATTCATGGTGGTTTAAGTTGGAACTTGGAAGCCATAATCCAAAAGCATATATGGGAAAAGTGCGCTGTCTAATGTGTATCAATTCCCTTTCCTCGCATCCTGTTCAAAGGACTAAGGTAGGTTTTAATGGGAATCTACCTAACATAGGTCCTACCGTTGATTAGACTAAATGAAGTAAACGATGATGGAAATCACATGATTTGAGATATTGTCATTTTTACCCATCACCGTCTTGTTTGTCTTAAGATTAATCAAAACTATTTATAGTGGACTCTTATTTTGAAAATTAAAAAAATATGTATTAATAAATTATATATTTGTATTTATTTATTTTATATTAAATACATAAAAATATAAAAATTATTATATTATAATTTTTATAGATATGTTAAACATGATGTATTTTTATTTTTATAAAATTTATATATAATTTTTATTAAAATTTTAAATTATATTATTTTTATATTATATCATATTTAAAATTATTAAATTTTATTTGAATCCATAATTATAATTTTGTAATTAATTAAATACAAATATGAATACTTTATTTATGATTAAAATCTTTTTTATTTTCATGTGAAAATAGTTTTGGTAAATTTCTAATTTTGACGGTATTAAAATTATGGAAGATGGTTCGTTTCCAAAGAGTTAAAATTTGCAGAAAACTTTATGACAAATAAGTCTTGAGGAAATTTCTGAGTAAACCTCCCTTTTATTGCGTGTGCTAAAAGCTTTCGTCTTCACTTTTTATATTAAAAAAACTTTATTAATAAATAAATGTAAATAAAATAATATTTTGATAATATAATTTTATGGTTAATAAGTGCATGTAAAAATAACTAAAAGTTGTAATATAATTTGTTTATTATTTAAAATAATTAATTAAGTAATTTAATAAAAATATAAGTAATATGTAACAAAACTTAGTACAATTATTTTTATCCAAAATAACAAATTAAATAATAAAAACAAATAAATGTAACAATAAGAAATTTAGTAATATTTTTTATCAAGTCAAATAATAAATTAAGTAATTTGAGACTAAATTATTATGAAAGTAAAAAATTTAATAATATTGCTACTTTTAATTATGTATTATTATTACTTTTGGAAAATTAACGTCATGGAAGGCAGGATCTTTGTATATCACTCCTTAAAAACAACAATTTAAAAGGATTCAATTGCAGTTGCTTTCATGTTTTTGGTTTTCTTTATAATATTGCTAATATTGATGCATTAGTAATTTGTTATTGACTACTTTCTCTTCAAAGTTGGTTTTTGGTCATATGGGCAAGTGTTATTGTTGGATTTGGGAGAAATTATTTCATTTAACAATAGAGAAAAGTAATAGAGAGAAATTTTTTTTAATATAAAAAAATAAAAAATTAATTAAAAAAATAAGATATGAATAAATCTCTAAAGTCCACTTAAAAAATTAAAATAATTTCACTAATAATATATAAAACAAACTCTTAAATATTATCCCTTGCATAATTACATATTATAAGTTGTAATATTAATTGAACGCTTTTGTGAATTTGACTCTTATTAATTGGTTTGGTTAAGAATCACTTCAAAGTATAGCGTTTAACTCTTCCTAATGGATTTGGTTAAAAATCATTTCAAAGTTTAACGTAGGTAATATTTATAAGTCGAGTTTACTTTTGACCCCAAAAGAAAGGGTTTACTATTTTTTCATATATATTAAAAATAATTAAATTGAAAAATAAGTAATTATAAAAGAAAGAAAAGAAATATATGAATTTTTATTCAATAAGTTTTATTAATTTCATTCATTCTATATGAGGTTAAGAGGGTGATGAAGGAATTTTTATTTATTTATCTATATTTTTACAAATATTAAAAATATAGAAATTAATTATACATAAGTAAAACAAGTGAAAATTCTCTAACCCTATTTTTACTTTTAGGTAGAGGTGATATTTGAATTAGATTCAATTTGATTCAATTTTTTTTAAATAAAGAATAAAATTTTAGGTAGAGGTGATATTCCTTATCGTTACTGCCCTTTCTCATTCCGCCGCCGCCGCCATTGCCTCCGCCACCGCTACCACGAACTCTTCTTCATCGCTACTCCATCTTCCACCAGGTACCCTTACGATTTGAAGTTTTAATTTTTCTCCATCATCATAAACCCTCAACCGTTCCTCTCCATCTCGTTTCTGCTGAGTCAAGAAATTTTAACTTCTTGCATAATCAAATCAGCTAAAATTTTCACTTTTCCTTACCTTTTTTGACAGTTCAAAATGGCTTCCCTTCTTAAAGCATCTTCCAATGTATTTCGGTCGGAGAAGCTACCATTCTTGTCTAAAGGCAAGACAAGCCAAGGTATTGTTCCAAAGAAAGCAGCTTTTCGTTTGGTCCCAGTCGCATTATCCTTATCTACGTCAACCGGAACCGTTCAGCATGACCAGAAATCCGATTCACCAGACATCGCCATCCCAATCATGGTACCATTTTTCTTTTTCTGTTAAAAAGAAAAAAAAGTTAATTTTATTCAGCAAATGGTCTTGATTCGGATTGATTTCTGTGAGGTGTATGTTACTAATTTGTTTGATCATGACTGAGTAACACCCTTTCATTTTCCGGAGTTTAGTTGGAGTTAGACTGTCACTATAATTGATAAATTTTTCTTTTTCTGGGAAAAGCTGTAAATCTATCAATGGTAAAGGTACTGTCTTCTTCTATATAGACATGTTGATCTTGTGTGCATCCCATGCAACATCTTTGTCGCCAGGACTTGTTGTTTGCTGTTGGACACGGGAATGTCCTGTTCTGTCAATTTTAAATATCAATTTTGAGGATCTAAGCATCAGACTCATATGAATTCAAAGTGTTTAAGAAGTGTTAGATTTTGGTACGTTAGGGCAAAGTGAAGAGTCCATGTAACATAGTGCAAGATCCATAGCTACTTTATTGACCCTTTGCTTAGCTTTGTTAGTAAGAACATTTGCTATGGGGAAGGGACTCGGAACTAAATCAACGTTATTACAGTTTTTGTTGTTACTGTGATAGCTACTCTTTGGATTCTGATGATTAGGAGTCTGTAAGTTTGTCTGCTTAAGAGTAGGATGTGACCAAACATACCTGGGATATCATATTAATTGGTGTTTAATCTGTTTGCTGTGTTCTTAAAGGTGAGTATTAAAGCTAACTGTAAGTATGTATAACTACCCCACATATGCTGTCAACCATTTTTTCTATGACAATTATCGTTCTTGTTTCTATATTTTTCTTCCTCAGCTTGGATGCTCTTCTGAGTTTTACCTTGTTACTCTTGCAAAATACTTGTGAATATTCCTTTTATGGGAAGATAGTAACCAGATAACATGGCTTAACATTCACTCCATTGCTTTGGTGTTCCTCTGCCTGTCGCAGGTAAATGGTTGTACTGGCAAAATGGGAAAGGCTGTTATCAAAGCCGGAGATTCTGCTGGGCTTCATATTGTTCCTGTGTCTTTTGGTGCAGAGAAGGAGTCTGGGCAGACTGTTGAAGTGTGTGGGAAAGAGATTATGGTGCATGGTCCTTCTGAAAAAGAAAGCATCCTTGCTTCAGTCTTTCAGGAGTATCCAAACCTGATCGTGGTAGACTACACTGTACCTGCCACAGTTAATGGTAACCTATTCAGGAAAATGCTTATAAACCTGTGTCATATTTCATATTTAATGAATGAAGAAAGCAAACTAAACTTAAGTGAGAAAATTTTGATAGTCCAAGGAATAATGTCTCTTAAAGCTGAAGCCTCATCGGTGGCGATAATCTATCACTATTGCTGAATTAATTTTTTCCCAGGCATTAAAAAAGTTATGACTCGTTAAATAAATTTATGCATGCTATTCAAGTTCAACATTATGATTTTATCTCTGTTTATTAACTTTTAAAAATTTTTTTGGGGTTGGGGGTGTTTGAAAAACATAGATAATGCTGAGCTATATTGCAAAGTAGGAGTGCCTTTTGTTATGGGAACCACTGGTGGAGACAGAGATCAACTCTATAAAACTGTTGAGGAGTCAAATGTTTATGCTGTGATCTCGCCACAAATGGGGAAACAGGTCATCTAACCCTTATTTAGTTGAATTACTTCTTTTAACAGTTGGAAATAGGGATTTTTTTGGTTGCTTAATACTGACGTTTTTGTTAGGTTGTTGCCTTTCTTGCAGCCATGGAAATCATGGCTGAGCAATTTCCTGGGGCCTTCTCTGGATATTCTCTGCAGGTATTTCTTAAATAAGGTTGCTTTGAAAGAATATTCTGAGAGTGTTATCAATGGCTTGAAAGAACAGTATCTTAAACAAGATTGATAAGGTATAACCAATAGCATAATAATTTATAAATAATTGAGGCTGTAAAATGAAACTGTTTGAGGCAGTATCAATAAGCCAGTTTGATATATTTTGAAGAACCATTGGAAGCAGCAATGAAAAACATGTCTGTTAACTTTTAGAGTTTACAGTTGCATATGAATTTCACATCCATTAGTGTGTGTATAGAATATGTAATTTAAAATCCTTACCTTGGCCTTGTGAACTGTTAGTAAATTTTAGTTGGACTCCTTTACTTTTTTCTTGAATTGCTTGTAATAAGTTTTCTTGTCAGCATCATTAGTAAACATTCCTTATCTTCATTAATCTTCATTAGGTGATGGAGTCCCATCAAGCAAGCAAATTGGACACTTCTGGGACTGCTAAGGCTGTAATTTCTTGCTTTCAGAAATTGGGGGTGTCATTTGACATGGATCAGGTGCGTGGTTCTTGAATGTCCTTAATTATGACTCGGAGAGAGCGAGAGAGTTCCTTTTTTTCATTGGTTGGAAGACGGGAGGGGAGGTAGGAGAAGGTTAGGGGATATTGTTCTTTAGAGTGACATATAATGATATAAATCTGCCCATTTGCAACCCACTGTTTTATCATCATGATAAATTCCTTTTATTATAAGTTTCTTTCCAAATTTGGACTTTTTAATGCTTCTTGTTTCCTTTTCCTTTTTCAGATACAAATGGTCCGGGATCCCAAGCAGCAGATTGAGATGGTGGGAGTTCCAGAAGAGCATTTGTCTGGTCATGCTTTTCATTTGTATCATGTAACATCACCTGATCAAACGTAATTACTACCATTTTCAACTATACCGTACATCTTGGTCAACTTTTAAACATCACCTTTAATCTCATTTTGGCAAATACTTCTGCAGAGTGTCATTTGAGTTTCAGCATAATGTTTGCGGCAGATCTATATATGCCGAGGGTACTGTTGATGCCATAGTTTTCCTTGCTAAGAAGGTGCTGCTATTCATTTCCCTTGCCACTTTGAATGCATCTTAATGCTTTACAGAACGTCTTTACTGTTTATAATGAGATAGTTTTTGAAGGGATAACTGCCACATGCTTAGCCAATAAAAGGGGGGATTTTCTATAATTTTTGTAGTAACTATCTATAACTCTCTGAATATGCTGATTTTAGATGTCTAGATGGGACTTGGGGGGCTTATCATAGTTCTATACCTTACCATTGTTTGATTAAGGATGTTGTTCAAGTGCAGGTTAAGTCAAAGGCAGACAAGCGAATATATAACATGATTGACATCTTGCGAGAAGGTGACATGCGATAAAAGAGTTTTCTAAGCATGTTGTTGTTTTGACTGTGTTCTCTTGCTCAAGATGTTTATGATTATGAGACGCAAGGTAGGCAATTTTGCATGGATGGTGTGTGCCTTCCTCTGGTCTTTTGCAGTTAATTGTTTCTATTAGTGTATGAAGTGCAATATCATGGTGTTGGAAGCATAATTAGTTTTAAACAGTGGCTGGGAATAGTTAATGTTGGCCAAAGTGATTGGTGTGATGCTCCTAAAACTGGCTCTCGTCTTACAAGAAATGGTTTTCTTGCAAATTTGCATTCAAAATTGGCTTCCTGTTGTTGGATATCTAAGACATGATAATTTTAAACACTATATTTTGACAAGATTTAAAATTGATAAAAGTTGTATTTGAATTTAGAAAAAAATTAAAAAATATTTTGTATTTAACAAATTAACATGAATTTATATATGATAATTTTTATAATTTACTTATGTTGACACGAAATAGACACGATATGGATGCATACATGGATTTTTTTTTTTGCAAGAACGTTGACCAATTTGACAATTCAGTTATTGCTTTCATCCCAGAAATGCTAATATTTTATTAGCAAAAAAAAAAAATCAATTTGATAATTTCAAGTACTCCTCCTGTCACGGAAATAATATTTTAATTTTCTTTTACTGTTATTTCCTTTTAGTTTAAATTTTGTGATTTATTAATCTTGAAAAGGAAAATAATTCCTAAATGAAGTTAATGAAAAAAATATTCTCATGTATAAAATATTTGAAATATTTATACAATAAATGTTAAAATTGAATAAAATAAAATAAAATAAGACTTATGAAATGACAATTGATATAAATCGATAGAATATTAAATCCAACAGTTGATTTAATTAAATAAAATATTTCCATTTTCTTTTCGAATGCTAATATCAAATAGTTTATTTAATTATAATTTTTTTTTTAGAAAAAGTTGATTCAAAACCAGTACTTTGCTAAAAAGATAAAACGAATGAATGGTAATTATATTTTTTTTATCTTACAATATATTTTATTAACAATATATGAAAGTATAATTTTGGAGGGCTAACTTATTATATAAATAATAATAGGATTAACATGAGAAAAATATAAATTATTTATAAATTATATTATTTACTAAAAGAAAAATTATTATTATTATTAAAAAAGAATTTTGTTCCTTGGCAACTTGCCAAAAATTTTCTATTTATGGTAAAAATACGTCTTTGGACGCGTTCTTCTTCCTGATGACGGTGAAACTCAACAATATGCAAAAGGTTTAATTTTAGCATCAAATGAATTAATGAGATACAGTTAATCTATAAAAAATATTATAAATGGCTAAATATTGTCAATGAATATATATAAAAAAATTCATCATATATTCTTATTAGGGTATACATTTATGTGTAATTTGAAAAGAACCCATTTCGAAGGTGAGATGATCATGTTATTATTTTAACTGAAATTTCTTTATTTTTCTTGAGTATACTAATTTGAATTAACCTTCGTCTATATAAAAAATTTGGGGATTAGTGGATTATAAGAACTAGCTACTAGCTAATAACTAGTAAGGCTACCTTTTGAAATTTGTCTCAAATCTTTTCCTTCTAGAATTTGTTCCATAGATTGACGATGTAAAGAAATTTCCTCTTTTGATTCTTTACATAAAAAAAATAATATCAAGTTGAAATAAAAAAATCAAATTAGGAGGTTGTAATTTATAAAAATAATAATAATAATTTTGAATTTAAAATTTAGTTTAATTGATTCATATAATTATTTTTAAAAAATAATATTTAATAGATTTAAATTTTAAATATTAATATCAACATTTTATTTTTCTTTCTCAAGTAATTATTTGTAAAAAAACAAAATAATGGTCATTTTGAATTTGTTGACCCTAACATAAGTAGTTTAATAAAGAAACTATAAGACTTGTCTTGCCATTTTAATTTTTGAATAATGATGATGATGTAATAAGATAGCTTGGCTTAGCTGTTGGTGGAAAGTGAGGGATCCTAAACTAAAGGTTGAAGAAATTTGATATCAATTGTTGACTGGAAAATAAGAGTCAAAGGTGCACACACATATCCAAACTTTACCTCACCTTGGGGCTTGGCTTCAAGTGTTCACCAAGGGGTGGCTGACTTCCACCAAAATTAAATTAATTAGCATTTGAGCTTAATTATCCTACTTTCATCACCAACTAAGAGAGATTATTATATAAATAATCCTTTTTTTATCAGGTCAATTGATTACACAGTCAATACAGTAGAATTCAACATATTATTAAATCTTTCCTGAATTTTGCTGAATTCACGGCAATCGTGACGAGATAAATTTTTTTTCCCTCTTTTACATGTAGGTTAGTTCTCACTTTCTTACAGTCGAAGGCGACTTTTTTATTTTAAAGTTTTCAAGATTTAAATTTTAATCATTAAAATTAAAACTTTAATTCTTTATCAATCGTATAAACGACTGTTGGTGACTGAAAAGCGACTTTTGTAATGTTGTTCTTTAGGCTAATGATCATACATCTGTTCCTTGGAGCATGAAGCATTTATCGAACCTAATTGACAGTTTTAAAACAAGACTCAAGGGTGTCTCAATTGAACACATGGCCAATGACTCACTGTAATTGGTCGTTTTGCTCATGCTGGATCGAGATTTCTGACTTTGTCTCTTAACTTCTTTGCCTTAATAAAATTTTCTTGGCTTGTCTTACAAGCAAAAAATGATGTCACTATTTAAAAATAAGTTTCTATGATATATCCAAATGCACGAAGTGAAGAATTTTACGAAAATATATAGATATTTATGTTTATTATATTTCTAAATTATTATTTTAAAAATTTTCATTATAAATATTAATAAGATTTATCTAATTTAAAAATAAAACTCTATTTTCATCGAAAGACTTTCATTAAATAAATTTATATAAATAAAGGAGAGCTAAAGTTTGCATTAATTTTTTCAAAGTTTTAAATATTTTACATTAGTGTTAAAAATAATAAATTTTATGTTAGTATGATATCTTATGTACATGGAATAAATGTTACATGGTAACGTTTATTTTATTTATTATATTTTGAAAGATTAATATGTGCTTTATTAATTTTAATATTTATACAATTAATATAATTTTTTTAGTATTATAACAGTTACTCAGGTCTAAATTGCATGCATCAACTTTAATTCCTTTATTCTTTTTGCTTTTCATAATTCTTAATTTTCAATATTTGAAAACAAGCAATTAATTTTTTTTTATCAATCATTTAAAATTGATTTAAGCTTTGATAATCTAATACCAAAGAAAGCTTTTTCAACTTTATGTTTTGATAGGAGAGAGAGAAGAAAAAAAAATTTTGGTTTAGTAGGAGGAAATTTTGTAAACAAAAAAGAATTTACACTTTTTTTTATTCAAATCTAATCCTTACAAATTCAACTTGATTAAGTTAATCATTTTATTTATAATTTCATTTATAAATATTTTTTTCTATATTTTACATCCTTAGTATCAAACATTAAAAAAGAAAACTAATAAGTCCATCCTCTTTTTATGTTTCCTTTGCTCACCTCTTTTTTTTTTAAATTTCTCTATATATCTTCAGAAAAAGTACTAACGTAATTAAACTACATTAACAAGCTATTAATAGAACATGAGATTCAATGGTAACTTCAATTGATGCAAATATCAAAGAAAACTCTATGTTTGATCTTGTCAAAAGAAAACTCTATGTATATGTTGATTAGTCCTACATAAATAATAATCAAGAATAAAAAAAAAGAATAAGAATATTGGAAAATAATATATACCTAGACTTATTCTTCGTTGAATTTAGGGATATTTTAAACTATTTTATGAGAGAATTTTCCAGCCTTGAGCAAGAGTGAAGAGGGGATAAGGCCATATGAAGCAAAAGTGGAAGAGATTAGCTAGGCATGTCATCTTGCATATATCTACCGATGGCCTGGATATATTGCAGTGCTGATCCATTATCATTGTCAACTATACCTTTTAAAAATTTAATATTGGTTTTGAAAAACAATGAAACTCCAATTTAAAATTTGAATGGGATTAAGCAGACCAAGGTTTTAAAATTGCATAATATATATGGGTTTTTGTTCAACTTTATAAAAAATTATTTGTTTGATTTGTTTATTGAATTTTTCTATTAAATGTATGTTATATATATTTGATTATTATTGAATTTTTTTTATTGATAAATGTAATTTTATAAATAAAAAAACAAAGACAACCATATAAAAATTCAATGTGATTCAGGCCTAGTGCCCTAACAAAATAAAATACTGTTGAATTCTTGATAAATTCTAATAAAGTATGTATGTATAATGGCAGAATATTTATAAAAAAAAAAACATAATAATACAAACTTTATAATTACAACTTATTACAATTTAATTTTAAATATATTATTTATTTAAAAATAATAATTACTTACTTTTTTTAAGTTAAACTCATGATCAAGAATTATATAATATAATCAACTGGATAACCAATTATTAAATCATAATCAAATTACAATATCCAAATAATCAACAAACAAACTATAAAATAATTAAATAACGGAATTCACAAGTCTAAAACCACAAAATTATAAAACCTCATGTTACCTCTAAGTCAAACCTCATTGGCAATTACTTTGCCTCTTTAAATATCAAAATTTTCTTATAATTTACAAAAAAAATAAAATAAAATAATAGTGAAAGTCGGATATTCCAAGTATTTTTAAGAATTGAAAGATATTACAATTGGACGGTAAGAAAAGAAGAAAGCACAAGGAAGTTGCACGGTTATACAATTCATTGGTTGACCAAATTTGTTTAACAAAATTTTTTTCTTTATAAAATCACAATCACCTGTGAAATTTGAAACTTAACACCTCCAATCCGATATTATTCATCATATAACCCGAAACCTTACCGGTGAGGCTATTCGAGTGTTTCTCCAGCAGCATGTGCTCTTCTCTACTGGCCTACTGTTTAATCCTAGCAGTGTTCCTGAGTCAGGGTTTTATTCAGGTAAGCTGCTTTGGATTTAATTTTTCAACTTTCCAGAAAGAAGATGAAAGGCAGCTTATCTTGAGCAAAAATTCTTACATAGTCCAAAATGCCATCCAAGTTACCCCGGATATTACTGGAGGTTCCATGGAAAATTTATCAGGACGAGCCTTGTATAGGAAATCATTTAGGCTGTACAAAGGCAATCGCACCATTGCTTCCTTCAATACAACTTTCGTCCTCAATATCCAAAGTCGTACGTCTCCTGGCGGTGAAGGCATGGCCTTTATAATAACCGGGAATTATAGTCTTCCAGAGAACAGCGATGAGAAATGGCTCGGGATTGTAAATGCAAATTCGAATGGTTCTCCTCAAGCCATGGTGGTGGCTGTGGAATTTGATACAAGGAAGAGCTACGATGAAGACTTGGATGGCAACCATATTGGCTTAAACATAAATAGCATCGACTCAATCACGCAAGTTTCCTTAGGCGGCTACGGTATTAATATTTCTGGAGGTGAGGATTTAAGGGTACATCTTCAATATGATGGCAAAAACTTGACAGTTTTTGTGGGGGACAACAAGACTCTTGTGCTTTCTCAGCCTCTTGATCTCTCTGCCTATCTTCCGGAGAAGGTTTTTGTTGGATTCTCTGCTTCAACAAGCAATCAAACAGAGCTAAACTGTGTCAAATCGTGGGCGTTTTTTGGGACCGATATCGGAGACCGAAATTTATTGTGGGTTTGGATCTTGATTCCGGCAGTGGTTCTGGCTCTGATAACCGGAGTTCTTTTCTGCTTGTGTTGGAGAAGGGACCCCATTGAGCAGGATTTGGAGGGTGCACCAGGAAATATAGAAGATGAGATTACACGTTCCAATTTGGCTCCAAGAAAGTTTCGATTGAAAGAATTAAAACAAGCAACTGGCAACTTTAGCCCGAAGTACAAACTTGGGAAAGGTGGATTTGGAACTGTCTACAAGGGATCCTGGAGAAACAAGGACGTGGCTGTCAAAAGGGTATCAAAGAAGTCTCATCAAGGCAAGCAAGAATTCATAGCAGAGTTAACAACAATTGGCAACCTCAATCACAAAAATCTTGTGAAATTAATTGGATGGTGTTATGAAAGGCGCGAGCTCCTTCTTGTGTACGAGTACATGCCAAATGGAAGCTTGGATAAGTTCATCTTTTGCGATGACAAGGCAAGCATGGAGGAATTAACACTGAGCTGGGAGCAAAGGCTAACTATAATACAAGGAGTAGCTCAAGCGCTAGAGTATCTTCACAATGGTTGTCAGAAGAGAGTGCTTCACCGCGACATAAAAGCCAGCAACATAATGTTGGATACAGAGTTCATCGCCAGGCTAGGAGATTTTGGATTGGCTAGAACTATTCAAGAAAAAGAGAAGACACACCACTCCACCGTAGAGATCGCCGGCACACCTGGTTACATGGCTCCAGAAACCTTTCTTATTAGCAGGGCCACAGTTGAAACGGATGTTTATTCCTTTGGCGTCCTTGTCCTGGAAGTTGTTTGTGGGAGAAAGCCTGGTAACCAAAGTGAGCAGAACAATTATAACAATAGTATTGTCAATTGGCTGTGGGAATACTATAGGAAAGGAAGGATTACTGATGCTGCGGATTCCAGGATGGATGGGAACTTCATTGAAAAAGAAGTGGAGTGTGTGCTCATTCTAGGATTGGCCTGTTGCCATCCAAACCCACACTGCAGGCCCTCTATGAGAACTGTTTTGCAGGTTCTTTCTGGGGAAGCAGATCCACCAGAGTTACCCCTAGAGAGGCCTTCATTTGTGTGGCCAGCCATGCCCCCATCTTTCGGTCAAATGGATTACTCTCATAAAGGAAGCCAACTCACTCCGTTTACGGAGCTTACCGGCAGGTAAAATCATATGTCAACCGCAAACTGCCTCGGAAGTGAAACAATGTTGTTTGTTTCATCATCGGTTCATTGTGCCTTTTTTTCTCTTTAATCGACTTGTATTTAGTGGATTGTGTGCTTTTAAATACTGTAATAGTGTCAATATCCCTACTTTTAACTCTTGGGAATTTTTGTTCACTGGACGCTCTAAGATGTCTGACAAGTACTAAATATTGTGCTAGAAGTGTTTCAGTTTTAGATCAAAATAGTAAGTTATCAATCTTAACGGGTATATTTAATTCAAAATTGATTCGTATAGCCATCGTTAAAAGATGATAGCCAACAAGTTAAGAGTTCAAATCATAGTACTTATAACTTTTTCTTCTATCCCAAGCCGCAGCCTCTTTGTACCAAAAAGAAATCTTAACGAGTATCTCCATTTTCTACATAGTGTTAGCTGTATATAACAAACTTTGAAAACGTCCATAACTGCAGCATATGGCCGACCAAAGACTTAATTCCAAACCGAAGCGTTAGTAATGGAGGAACAAACGCCATCAGCAATTTAATAATACCAATAAGCCGCAAATGATTAGCAAATATAGACAATAAAAGTGGATCAAAATAAAATAAAATAAAATAAGAAAAAACAATGTCTGCCAGAATGTGAACTACACTAACAAATAAGAACAAATTATTAATGCATCGATCCACCTCCAAAAGTTGATACAATACTGCTTCTATAAACTAGAGATGTTGGTGATCGGTCTTAAGAACTCAATGAGGCTGTTAACTATCAATGGAGGGACAAATCTTTTCTGTTCATTAATCTTACGGAGAATAGTTTTTTCAACAATTTTCCATTGAGGGATGTACCTCCAAAATGATTTCTAAGAACCAAAGTCCTTATCTCATTTTTCCCAAAGAAAAATAGTGATTACAGACAACTGGATAGTTGTCATTGTTCCAGTAGGAATAAGCCTTGAGCAATGTCTTTATTGGAGAAATCCTTATCCTAAGCTGTCATCGTTACATTAATTCAGGGTTCACGAAATCCATCAAAATCAATGTTTCCATTCCATTCAAAACATCTGACCTATTTATTTCCATTTTGTTACTTTCCCCGCCAGTTTTCCAACTATGAAAATGCTGTATTTTGTTGTCTTTCATTTGCAGCGTGTTAACTTTTCCTACCTAGCTGTCTCTTCTTTACTCACATCAAATAACTTCGTCGGTCTAACTCGCACTTTATCCATAAATTTCCGGATAACATCAAATATTTCCACAAGGGACGTAGAAAAGTGACAGGTCAATTGGGTTAACAGCTAGCTCAAAAAAAAAAAAAAAAAAAAAACCCTTTTTCTGGAAGGAAAGCTGATGGCTTAAACAAAGGTTTAGCCATTCCACAGAACAAGCTCTAAACCAAAAAGAAAACTGAAGTGCTTGCATAAGAAAAGATTGTAACCCAATTTAGGTTTTGCCCATATATCATCTGTTAAAACAACCACTGAAACACTAAAACCAAAAATAATACCAAAGTAAAGCATATAAAATAACTAAATGCAAGATTCCCTCTAGAAGACAAGCTCATGAGGTTTCATGCCGGACTTGAGAGAAAATCGTGCAGCAAGGTAGGCCTTCAAGTCAGGGACTCCCTCAATTGACTTTAAAAAAGAAGCATCAACAGCTTTCTGGTCATCTTTCTTGTCATCTAGCAATTTTTTCTTATCCTAGAAATTTGAGGAAAAATAAAAGAAATAGAAAATCAGCACATGCAACAAGACAAACCCGATTAGCACTGCTTTAAGTTTTAAATTAATTCATGACAAACTAACTAACCTCTTTTTCAGCTTTGAAAAATTCGCCCTCACCCTTTTTCTTCTTCTTTTCTACTTCCTTGGCAAAGTACTTGTCATCAAACGTTTCTACATCAACTCCTGAGATGTCAACCTTGGTTGAAGTAGCAATGACATAGGATTGGTTCACACGCCTTAAAGGAACACCATTAATCTTGAATGGTCCTGCAACAAAATGATATTACCAAATTTAAAAAAAGCACTCGCAAAACCATGAAAGAAGCACTGATTTATAATGAACAGTCAACACATTATGATAGCCCAGCCCCATAAACCACAAAACTTAATTGTAGACACTACAAACAGACGTGAATAAAATACAAGTAAAAAGCACCAAATTTTCAGGATCACATCACTCAATCTCCATCGCATTGAATGTCACATGGATTGTGCTATAACAGCATCTAACCTATATACATAAATATGCTAAAACTAATAAGCACAAGCACAAAAAAGTAATACAACCTTGTTCTTCTTCAAAAACAAAACAAAATTCATTTACTCGTCAATCCTACTGCTCAGTGCTGGCACTTATCAAACCATTTTGTGGCGTAGAGAAATCAATGAGAAAGGTTTTATCACCATTGTCCTTCATCCAATATTTTATTGAATTAAATAAATCATTCTTTATTGGGTAAGTATGAGCTGGAACAGCTTCAAATTTACATTTCCACAGTTACTGATTTTATTTCATCAACAAAATTCCATATAAAGATTCAACAAAACAGTGTCAATAACTAATAACAGGCAGTAGTAGAATATGTTCAATGCGTGATTCAAACTAACAATATTACTATGAAATTAAAAATAAATAAATAAAAGAAAAAGCTCACCAGTAACCAAAAGAAGCCCAGAAGTAAGTTGCTTCAAGAAAACAACTCTCTTCCCCATAAACCTCCCAGCCAATAAAATCAACACCGTCCCTGGAGTAATGCTCGCTCTAAACAAATAAAAAAACCCAACAATAAGAAACATATCTACAGAGATCAAGCAATAAATAAATAATATTTTAAAAAAAGAACCTGAGCTTGGTGGGTTTAGGCTTGCGCTTATTAAGAAGCGGCTTCTTGACATCATCAGCCGGGTAAAACTTGGGTGGCTTCTCGACGGCAGCGGGGGCCTTAGGCTTGGGATCATGGCGGGGCAGTACACCGCCGCTTTTGGCCTTGATAGCCCAAATGCCACGCTTGTGGTACATCTTAGACCTGGAATACTTGCCTACGCCACGTATCAGATCTGGGTTTCGGCTCTTAACAGGAATCTGTCTTTTCGCCGCCATTTCCTCTCTAAACCCTTAACTCTGCAAGCTTTTGCTCTTCGTGTGTCTAAGGTTGGAAAGGTCGATAAGAGCTGAACCCTAGGACGGCAAATATCGCAAGACCCAAAATGAGGGTTCCTTTGTACACTCCTTTGGGCCTTTTATTGCGTTGGGCTAAGATCTTCCTTGTTTTGGGTTCGTTGGTCTTGGGTTTAGAAGTAATTAGAGGAGCCCATCTTGGCCCCCATTAGATCCTCCTTTAACTTATTCATACTCCATAATCCAAATAATTTTTTTATTTAATTTATATAATTTGACATAATTTTTTCCTTTTATTTTTAAGTATAATTTTTCATTTTCCATCAATATTTATAATGAAATCTTTTTTTTTCCAAAAAATCATTCTACATAACTTTTGAATTTTTAATATAAAAGCTTTAATTTCGAATTTTGAAAAACCAAAAGAAAATTTATGGATAGAGAAAGATTAACTTTTCCTTATCTTATAATTTCTGTCAAATATATAAAAGAAATATGAATTAATTTTTCATTCATCAGTGGTAAAGTTTTTAAATTTTGCAAAAGAATTAAAAATTTATCATTTGTTATTTTTTAATTATATTATCTTTTTAATATATCTTAAAAAAATATGTGACAACTCTCAAATGGAGTCTAAAACTCCACCAATGTTATATTTAACTAGAAACTGTGATAAATTCCTCTACTATGTTGGAATTTTGTTGTAAGAAAGATGTCTGATCATTTACTAAGTATTGTTTTAAAGGTGTCTTTTTTATAAAGGGGATCAAGATTTGGGGGAAAATTAGAGAAAGAGAATTTGTAAATGTAGGAATCAAATCTCAACTTTGTAAGAATCTACTTTCTAGGAGAGATAGATAAATTATTTGGACTAACTTCCAAATATGTTTTAGAGGTGTTTCATCTTAACAGTTATAGCCTTGCAAATTGAGGCAATTCCAAGAAGTTACCATTGGCCCCATATTGTTTTTATATAAGTGTTTATAATTCAATTAAAATCGAATTAATAAATTGAATTGAATTAATTTGATTAATCAATTGATCATTAAAATAATTTTGATCAATTATTAAAAATTATTTTTAAAAAATTTTGATTTTTGATTAATTTAATTCGATAATTGAATTAACCAAAGTATAACAAAATCCTAAATAAAACTAAAATATATATAATGAAATATTTTATTTTAACTTAATATTTGGATATTTAAATATTTTGTTAGATAATTTTATTTAATTTATTTTAAATATGAAAAATTAAGAGTTTAAAATATAATTTAATTTAAATGTATTTTATTATTTAATTAATCGAAAAAATTAATCAAAATAACCGAATTTAATTCAATTAGTTAATATTCAAAATTAATAAATTTAATTTAATTAATTAAAAAATAAATTAATTTGATTTTAAATAATTTATTTTAAAATTAATCGAATCAACCGCTTAAAATGTTCACACAATACTAACATTCATTTAATTATAAATCCCTCTTTGATATTAGTTTCGTACCGTCATCTTGGCCTTTTACTTTAATCAGTCTTGTTATAACAGCTGTTGTTTCTTTTTTGTGACTTTAGTTGCAAGAGAGCTAAGGAAATGTGTGGATAAATATTTACAAAGAAAAGGAAAGGAAAAGAAAAGAAAAAGAAAATTTTTTTAAAGGAAATGAACTGATATATGCATTCTTCGTATTGATAATTAAAATTAATAAATGAAAGAAAAGGAAAAGAATTGTAATACATATTATTTAGATAAAGAGTGAAAAAAAATGATTTATTATAATAAATTTTTTTAATATAATTTTTTATTGTTTGTGATTTTAGAGCATTTTTAAATCATGATATGTTTATTATCTTACATGATCTCATAATTATTATTATATTAGTAAATTTTAATCAAAGTAAAATAAAAAGATATTTTATAAATATGCATTGATGAATATTTTGATCACTGCAAAAATTTTAGTACATTATCACTATGATGAAATATTCACATAAAAGCTATTAATTATAAAAAATGTAATCACATAAAAATATTACATTTCATGAACTAAAAAAATATGTCTATTCATATTCAATCATTCATCAAAATCAATTTACCAAAAAATTATAAAAAAATTTTAAAAAGAGATGACTTTGAAAAAATTACAAAAAGATTGTGATGTAATTAAGTTTTTCTGATTAATTTTTTAATATTATTAAAATGATGAATATAATAATTTTTTTATAAAAATAAATTTTTTTAAATTTTTCTTTCCTTAGCATTTTCCCTAATTTGGGATATTAAAAAAGTAAGAATTATAAAAAAAATAAAACATTATTAAGTTTTCACCTTTTTTTTTTTTTAAATTAAAAGTTTATCCAAATAATTTTTTTTTTTTTATTTTCATTACTTTCTTTTGTTTTCCTTTCCTTCCCCTCCCTTCTTCCCCTCCCTTCAATCAAAAAATAGTGTAAATGTATAATACTCGAACTTTATTTCAAGATTCAATGAAAAGATTTGACTTGTAATTTTAATTCAATCATAATATTTGATTATTTACTAATCAATAAATTAAAAATTGACTAGATAAATTTAATATAAAATTAAATTAAATTAAATTCATCCAACAAAACTTAAATTTGAAATTTCACATTTTAAAAATTTTCTCGTTATCATTAAACCAAATTCTTATTTACGCTAACCAATTTAGTTATGATTAAAGGATATCATGCCGAATCCTGATTGAACCGAGTGAACTATCAAATCTTCCAATTAAAAGTTTTAACTATTTTTTTAAGTAAAAAAATTTATTTATAAAAAAAGGGAAAAATACTGCTACATCAAAATTATGCTAAACAAAATGATTAGGATATAAAAAATAAAATATTAAAAAGTAGAATTTTATAAGCTCCAAGCTATATAAAAGTTTCGATTAACATGGTCTACCGGAACATGATTCAATCCTGTTAATTTTTTTTTCTTTCAATATTAATTCTAAAAATTATCACAAAAAATATAAAAAAGCTCAAAAACCAAAAAAAAAAAGAAAAAAGAAAATTAACAATTCAAGCTTAAGTTAAGTTTTTTTTTTTTTTTTATATTTGATTAATGGAATCGGTTATTACTAATTAATGTTTGCTTCTTATTCAAAATATTTGACCTATATTTTATTGCCATTTTATTACTCAACTACCTTTACGATTTTTTTCTATGTTGAAGTGCAGATCGAACCTTCTTGACTGTAACCTTTCATGCTCTTTTCTGCTCAAAAGTATGCAGTCCAGGATTTGACATTGAAACTTAATGATGTTCTTCTCTTTTTGTCAGTATTCATAATTCCAAGTTTGAAAAGAAGCCAATTTTCTGGCAAGTGATAACCCACTAATTTTAATTTTGTCCCTTCAGATTAGAATTTAGAAAAAGAAGTTTAATTTAATATATATACTATTAACGTAAACAAAGTAATTTTCATTGTAATGGTTGATTTGACTCATGTAAAGTTGACTATGACTTTCTCATTAAATTGTGTTGGATATCGAAAGAGAGATTGTTAAAAAATTTAATTCATATTTAATTTATGAAGATTTTGTTTCTTTACAATCATGTTAACTAAAATTATCAATAAATAATTAATTTAATTGGTTAAAATTTATTTTTTTGAATTAAATAATTTTGAGTTTAAATCGTGTCGATGATCGTTTATTAAGATCATTTTAAATATATGATCTGTAATAATTTATTTTAAATCATTAAATAAAATATATTTTATTTTAATTTAGAGATTGAACAACTTATTTACTATTAGATTTTTTCTTACCAAAAAAATGTTAGATAAAATTATTTATTTGATGTATTTTATTTTTTTAAAGCTTTGATTGTGAATTGATAAATTTTATAGAAATACAAATAAAATGAGATATTTCGAATAAAAAAATATAATTATAATCAACCTCAAAACCAATTTCAATGGCCGAACAAGTTGCAAAGGATAAAAAAAAATTATAAATATTAAAATTAAAATTAAAATTAAAATATATTAAATATTAGTATCATCTCCTACAATCATTCTTTTTAATTATCTGTGGTCTACTTTTAAACCATTCTTTGTGTTTATATTTATTTAATAAGTTCTATGTACAATTTTCCATTTAATTTGACGGAAAAAAAACAATGAAAAAAATCAACAACAACGGGAATAAAAAATACTAAAAAACATGTTGGAAATATTTCCAAGTTCCTAAAACAAAAGATCCCAAGTTATATTCATTAAAAGCAGTCTAAGAAATGTTAAGCAGACAACGAAACCTTTGTAGTCCCATCTATAAATTGTCCCTTTGACAAGAACAAAGCAACCAACGCTCCACATTTTGTTTACTTTCTGACGTTATATACTTAGCACTAGAGGAGCAAAGTAGCATTAGTCAATTATTGTAGGTAAGGTAGAAGCATAAATTAAAAAATTTAAAATTAATTCAAAATTATAATATTTAATTTAATTCAATTTATTAAATTTAAATTTAATTTAATTATTAAATATATATAATAAATTCAGATTAAATTTTAGATTGATACGTGAAAATTTTTAAAAATTTAATCAAATTAAATTATATATTTTTTAAATTTTTATAAAATAAAAATTATTTTTTATATATAAACTTATTTAAATATATTAAAATAATATATAAAAAAAATTAAAATTTTAAAATCAATAAATAAAATCAAACCAATAAAATTTTATTCAAATCAATTTTAATTAAATTTTAAAAATTTATACTATTATATATTATTTAATCAACTCCAATCCAATTGAATTCAAATCGTTATCATCCCGGCTTAAATGCCCAAATCTCAAGTTGAGTGGGATTTGGAGGAAGATGTCCATTCTATCTAGAGTCGCTTTTCTAGCCTGGCTAGTTTCCAACAACCAGCCTGGCATGTTTTTCTTGACTTTTATTATAAATAATAAAACACGTGAGTTGTTTTGATGTACAAAAATGTAGGACAGGGGAAGATTTTTCCGTGCGATTTCAAAATAAACAGTAAAATTTTAAAAATATACATTAAATTTACAAATAATTCGGTAAAAAAAATTTTTACAGTAAAATTGGAATTTAATACTTACAAAAGAATCATTTGAATTTTACTAATTCAATAATTCGTATCAATAAAACACGTAAGTTTTAATTAAGCATCAATTTGAACGCGTTTGTGGGTGTTGGCCAGCAATCAAAATTGAATTAACCATAGCATGGCTCGGTCTTTGTCAAAGAGGAGCAGTTTGGAAAAAAAAAACCCTAAAATACCATGCAAATTAGCCATTTCAAGAACGGTCGGTTTGTTTTAGTTTCAATTTGGGATTTTTTTTTTTTTTTTATTGATGAGGATGTGAAGTTCCTCTTGGATGAATCTCTAGCCCATTTGAAGTTTCTTATTTTCAAGACACAAAATTAGTTTTTAAGGTTTTATCTAAAATTTTAGTTTACAAAATTTTCCTTTTGGATTTGTGCGAAGCCTATAAAACCCATGAATTTTGAATTACATTTACATGTCCCTGTATTAATAATTCTTTTTTTTTTTTTTTGTTTTGAGTTATTTTAACCCACAAGAGCTTTAAATAAAAAAATTTCTCTCCTTATCTCAAATTATTTAAATATTATTAATTTTTACGAAATTTAAGAAGAATTTTTTACTTAATATATATATAATATTATAATTTAATTTTTTTATAAAATTAAATTTTCATAATTTTTAATATTAAAAAGTAAAAAAATCATAAAAAATAATTTTAAAAATAAACATACTTTGAGATATTAAAAAAAAATTGCGAAGGAAGGAGTATTAATTAGTTCGATCACTAAAAAAGTTAATTTAATTGTCTTCAGCTGCAACTTTGAAGCTGGACAATGTTTATTCTAGGAAAGCTCTTCTTTTTTTAAAAGATAGAAAAAGTCTTTTGCTTGTCCAATTTTAGTTTCAAAGACAGTAGAAAATACCCAGTGGCTTCCTTACAGAAATCTCAAACTTGACCAAAAGTTACATTAATTTCAAAGAAGACTTGTCTTCCATAAAAACACACCTTCATCCCTCAGAGTGGCCAAAACTTTTTCCAAAAGCCTTTCGTTATTTTCCACTGCGTCCTAATTTTGCAGGCATTATCAGAATCTCATTGATTCAATCCTGCTCTTTCCTCCCTCACTTTCGTTATGTCTACTTTGCCTGTAGTCAAGCTTTTGGTAGTTTTAATTGCCATCTTTGGGGCTTCTTGCTCTAATGTTCAGTCCTTTTATTTTAACTTTTCAGATTTCCAGAAAGAAAACAGTAAAGATATCCAGCTGAGTGATAATAATTCTAACGTAGGCGGAGGTGCCATCCAAGTTACAACTGATCGTTATGGAGATATAACAAATATATCTGGAAGGGCATACTATGGAAAGAAGTTCAGGCTCTGGAGCAAAAAGAAAGGAATAGCATCTTTCAATACAACTTTTGTAATTAATATAAGTAACCAAAAAACAACTGATGTTGGGGAAGGTTTGGCTTTCGTACTTTTTGCTGATTCCAGTGTTCCGAAGAATAGCTTTGGGCAATGGCTCGGGATCGTCAACGCAAGCACAAATGGAACCTCTCAAGCCAGTATAGTTGGAGTGGAGTTTGACACAAGAAAGAGCTACGAGGAAGAACCTGATGGTAACCATGTAGGCTTGGATGTCAATAGTTGTTACTCAATCGAGCAGCGGTCATTGACTAGCAAAGTATTAACCTTTCGATGGGCGAGGACGTGAGGGCAGTTGTTCAATATGATGGCAAAAACATGACTGTTTTTGTTTCCAAGGGAAATGAAACGGGGAACTTGACAAGTCCTGTATTTTCAGTGCCTCTTAATCTCTCAGTACATCTCCCGGAAAATGTTTATGTAGGATTCTCAGCTTCAACTGGCAATTTCACAGAACTGAATTGTGTAAAAGCTTGGGAATTTCATGGTGTAGATGTTGGCGAGGATTCAAATATGTTGTGGGTTTGGATTGCTATTCCAGTTCTCGCTCTGGCTTTGATAAGTGGGCTGGCTTTTTACATGTGTTGGACTAGGAAATCCAAAAAGGATGATCTGGAAGGGGCATATCCAAATATAGAAGATCATATAAAGAGCTCCACTGCTCCAAGAAGGTTCCGGTTGAGAGAACTAAAAAGAGCAACAGGCAATTTTAACCAGAAGAACAAGCTAGGAAAAGGTGGATTTGGGACAGTCTATAAGGGAGTTTGGAAAGAAAAGGAGATAGCTGTCAAAAGAGTCTCCAAAAAATCAGATCAAGGAAACCAAGAATTCATAGCTGAGGTCACAACAATCGGCAACCTCAACCACAAAAATCTTGTGAAACTAAATGGATGGTGCTATGAAAATCGAGAGCTCCTGCTCGTATATGAATACATGCCAAATGGAAGCCTCGATAAATTCATATTCTATAATGAGAAAATAGGAGAAGAGAAATCAAGCCAACCAACTCTCAGCTGGGAAACTAGGCTCATCATCTTACAAGGAGTGGCAGAGGCACTAGAATATCTTCATAATGGCTGTGAGAAGAGGGTGCTTCACAGGGACGTAAAGTCTAGCAACATAATGCTGGATTCAGAGTTCAATGCTAGGTTGGGAGATTTCGGATTGGCAAGAACAATCCAACAAAGAGAAAAAACATACCACTCAACCGTAGAGATTGCAGGCACGCCTGGTTACATGGCACCAGAAACATTTCTTATTAGCAGGGCAACAGTGGAAACCGATGTTTATTCATATGGTGTTCTTCTCTTGGAAGTTGTATGTGGAAGAAAGCCTGGTAATCAAACTGAGCTGAGTAATTATAACAATAGTATTGTGAATTGGCTATGGGACTATTACAGGAAAAGAAGGATTGCTGATGCGGCGGATTCCAATTTGGATGGAAACTTCGTGGAAAAAGAAGTGGAATCTGCACTAATCTTGGGTTTAGCCTGTTGCCATCCGAACCCACACTGCAGGCCTTCTATGAAAACTGTTTTGGCGGTTCTTACAGGGGAAGCAGATCCACCACAGGTGCCACAAGAAAGGCCTTCATTTGTGTGGCCAGCAATGCCCCCAGTTTGCAGCCAGTCAGATTACTCTCTCACAGGAAGCCAATTCAGTACATTTTCTGAGTTCAGCGAGAGATGAGCCATGAGCCAAAGATCAGTGTTGTTCGTTCTGCAATACTACTATACCAGAATACTCCAACTCGACTTTTTGTCAATTGAGTAATCGTGTCAATATTGTTTTATTCTTAGTAAACTGTTTGGTCATTACACAAAATGATTCACTCTCCCTTCGATTGCATTGAAAGATGAAAATTATCTGTATCATTAGAAACCCATTGTAAGAAAATTCACACTGCTTCTGTATATATATTGGTCCTATGACCTTCCTTGTACTTGCATGAATAAAGCATTTGATTGGGCAGAATGGAACTTTGTCAAAGGGTTAGCGGAATTTTTTTTGGCTTTTTTGACTTGGCGTCTTAGCCTTTGGATCAAAGGGACCATCTACTTAGTAACGATTGTTTCGTAGCCTGATTATCAAAAGGGAACGAATTAATGGATGACAGAACTAAAACACTGAAAGTTATAAGCTTTAAACTTTTAAATTCAATTAAAGAAAGTGCAAGATTATCCTTTCAAAACACGGAAAAAAAAATTAATGATTGAATAAAGGATGACTAAGGTTAAGAACGCATGCAGAAGCCATTGAACTGATCAACAGAGAAATGAGAAAGGCAAAGAGAGCCATTGGAGCCCACGTTCTACGCCTGCCTTACCCTGCCCAAGGCCACGTAAGATAAGTCCCGTGGTTCGATGTGCAAAACGTTTAGTCTCCGGAGACGTTGAAGACACACTAGCAACCACAATCTTCGTTTCTGATGAATTCGATTAAGGTGGATATGCACAGGCTGAGGGCCGGGAGACCTCCCTCACAACTTTAAGAACTGTAGGGTCAAAAACTTTGGTTAATGTTTTGCTTCCTGGGTTACCCTTGCTTGGAGCTTCTGAGACACCATCATCTGTATTTCTATGAATGTTCCCCGACAAGGTTTGACGTGGTCATGAATCAATTGGAGAAAGGGGTACACTACAGTCCTTAGCTGCATAATTGATAAATTAATTTCTATTGAGAAAGGTTTACGTTTATGCTCTCTATTATTTTCGTCATTTTAGGTTGTGGGTTGGAAATGTCGAAACTCTGGAAACTAGGGACGATTGGACCAAGTCTTCCATCTACGCATCCAGACAGAAGACTTGAAGATGGCAAAGACTACGATATTAGTCTCTTTTTAAGCCAAAAACACAAGCAGCACACCTTGCACGAGTTGGCTAAATGATAATAAGCCAAACGGGTCAGTTGTATATGTGTCATTTGGGAGCATGACAGAACTAGAAATGGAGCAAATGAAAGAGCTAGCTTGGGGATTGACAAGAAGAAACTTCTACTTCTTATGGGTTGTGAGGGCATCGGAGGAGGCCAAGCTACCAGCCAACTTCCTAGAAGAGTCATCTTGGAAGGGTCTGGTGGTGACATGGTGCCCACAATTGAGTGTGCTAGCTCATGAGTCTGTGGGATGCTTTTGTAACGCATTGTGGATTCAATTTGTTCTTGAAGGTATGAGTTAGGGAGTTCCAATGGTGGAAATGCCTCAGTGTACCGACCAATACACCAAGACCAAGTGCGTGGAGGATATATAAAGAAACGGATGCGAGCTCACTCTGACGAGACAGGTTGGTGATGGTGGAAGTTCGGATAAGAACATTGATGAATAACGAAAACTTAATATAGCTCCATTATTTCTTCTCTGTCATAACTGTAAGAACATATATGATGAATTACGTTCCAATTTGGAAGCATGTAAACAGGGGAAGATCCAGAAACATACATAGAAACAAGTCAAGTTCAATCAACTATGATTATCCCATAGAAAACTCATGGTTTAAAATTTATAAGAAGAATACAATTTCAAATACATATATATAAAAGGATACCATACATGCTAAAGAGATATAAAACCAAGCACCGATCTCATAAAACCAATGAAAATAAGGGGAAGAAAAAGGGATGAGGTTCATACATAATCAGTTTGCACAGTCAAATCATGTATTCCTAATTCATGGTATAAACTATGCACATACTCTAGTAAACGGCGATCGTCCAGCTCTTTCTTCACCTGCTCAAGTGTCAACAACAGATGCAATATTAAACATCCAGCAATGGATACAAACATTATGTAAAACCTACAAGGGCACCTATTTGCTGCCCTAAGAATAGCAGATGAGATGAATGTTTCAGTAAAATACCTGTAGTGAAAGGGATCCAACAACATGACCAGGTACTAGTTCCCAAAACTGAGCTTGAGAAACTTCTGTAACATCCTCATGAGAAGCAATCTAAACAAGATAGGAAATTAAATTATAATTCACAAAAGAAAGATGTATAAATTTGACAAAAAAAAAAATTAGAATAACATATCAAAGGTAAAGGTAAACACCTGCCGCCAGCATTTGCTCATGGCTGAAGATGGAATATTAGGTGGTGCCATCTGAAGCAAGACGCCACCACTAGCTTTAAATAGTGGCATGACAAGCATGAAGACTGCACCTGAAACTAATCCTAAGCACAAAACTTCAGCATTATTAACCCTGCAAGAAGGGGAACAAAAGTTACAAGGCAAAATGAAGAAAGAAAAAGGGGGGAAACAGAGGAACAGGCCAAGTTTTTGTTGGAAGGAGCAGGACAGTTGATATTTGGCTTGTTTCTTCAGCAGCAGTTAATTTAAAATAGAAGCAAGAAATTACCCAAGAGAGAGAAACCAGGATGCCAATATCAAACCTGCACTGAGAAAAAACAAATGTACAGCCGCTTAAGACAGTTGTAAACAATGAAAGAAAGAAGCAGTCATGCATGGATAGAAAGAGAACACATCACACCTGCGAATGGAGTCTGCAAGAACATGCAAGCAAACTGAGTGGTAATTCATATCTTCAGGTTTCCTGTATACTGCAAGAAAAATATGCATGTAAGAATAACACATGATCTCAAGCTCATGTTCCAAATTGTGGCAATCATAACCTTATTAAGCTCTAGGTTGTTGTAACAAAACAAATTGCCGTGCTTTGAACACAACATAGTTGTGTCAGTTAGCACACTTCAACTGACAGCAGGTAAATAAGCACATGAATAATAAAATACTAGCATGAAAAAAATAAAAGAAAAAAAAAAGATCATCCAGGTAAGCTAAAAGATTATCTAGATATATCAAGCATCTACTATCACTGTATGTAAGCCACAATGTTATGAATGAACATAAATAAATGAATGAAAAAATATAGTACAGAAACAGGCAGTTAGAAGCAGCAGCCACCATTACAAACTGCCATCGTTTATTCTTAATATAAAATTCATAATAAATTGATTTCAAATATTGTAAGCCGTTTATCACCAGATGAACTCACCAGTTTACAGATTCATCAACTCTAAAACACAGAGCTCTCTTTGCAACCCCCTTACTCAGCAGAGTAAAGGCACTAGCCTCACCATGCATGGTTTTTCTAAAATGATCACTTAATTTATATTTTAAAAGCAATTAGATATTGTTTTATCAATCTTTCTAAACTAAAACTAAAGGGTATTGATCCCCGGGAACGTATCACCTACAATCATTGCACTAAGTGATGGACTCCTACATAATTCTTCATTGTGATTAGACAATTGTAGGATTGTAGTAAAACCAATTGTAGGTGAAATGCACCCATTGATCCCCTGGCTCCATCCATGCATAAGCATTCTCATTTTAATTTGAAATATAACCTCTCAAACATCAAGAACCACAGCATCTGACTTACCAATATTGATTCGAGCATAATTTCTAAAGAACCAAACGCCAATAAGATTCACCAATAGATTTGTCACTGCCGAAACAATCAAATAATGCCTATAAGCAACAAAAAAGTTAGTACATAGCTTTCAATTATTATCATGTATAATAAATTAGATTAAATAACTGACAACTTATTAATATTGACTGCTATACCACCAATCAAAGGCAAGATAACTGACTTACTTGTGCTCTGATTCATCTTGGATGAAAGCATGAAGTGCTTCCACAGCTAAGGAGAATGACATGAACAATAGAAACAGCTGTCTACACATGCAGCAAAATCAAGAATATCAAGTTGTTAACCTACTTATGCAATTAAAACAGAAGCAACAAAATAAAATTGCAGAAATATTTCAAAGAACTAGGAGTACATGTAAAGCATAAGAGAACATGAAACACAAATTCATTATGAGATCTACATTGCCCTTAATGGGAAGATAAAAAAAGAAAAAAAAGAAAAAGAGCAAGCCAACAATTACTTTTTAAGAAATAACTATCACCCCTTACAAATTGTTTCAAGGATTTTCTATCTCCTTATCATTTTACTCTATGAAAAGTAGGCATCAAATACTCATAGAAGGGAACACCCAGATTGACGAAAGTCTATACTCCTTTCCTATGAGAACCGTTATATTGATATATCATTCATTGTTCTCAAAATATTCTAAGTCTCAAGACCATTAACTTCTGCACAATCACAACATTCATCTCAAGCCAAAGGAAGGAAAAAAAGAAATAGAACTGTTAACACTCACACACACACATATATAGTTTATTATTTTCACTTAATTTTTATTAAATCTATCCTTTCCTACACATTTTTAAAGTATGAGTTATTGTTTAACATAGTTTCCTAAATTTAGACATGTTGATTCTTAATATTTTCAATAGTTTTTTAATTAAAGTTATTGATAATTATTGAGTGAATGAATCAATATTAATAGCAATAATTGACAGAAAATTTTTATTGCAATAACAAACTCACATCATTTTGCAATAGATTTAACCTATTTCACATTTCATTAAAATAATAACAAAAGAATTATTAGTCTTATTTTCAATCACTAAATAAATAAATAAATAAATAAATTTTCTTCAATATATTTTCATCATATTCATCCGATATGATTCACAAGCAAATCATTTGTTTTGGAAGAATTACTTCTTGGGCATTTAGCAATGAGCATATCTGGTAACTGCAGACATCTTAAACGGTGAAGCTTTAAGTAAAATACAGGTGCATTTTATCTAAATTTAATATAGATTATCTAAAAGATAACAAATATCTAGTCCTACTAGCATTTTAAACTTTGAAATTCAAATGTCACATAGAACCGTTAGAAGTCTCTTCCAACATGACTAATGCCAAGTGACTTCTAGCAAAACTAAACCCTAGATATGTTCAGCAGCTGGGATTTCAAGGGACAATTTTTCCTATCCTTGTCCTAAGTTCATTGTACTTCAAACTTCACTAAAATGAAATCATAACATGAACATGGTATAAACTGAGAGAGTGCAACTGGAACACAACATTTTGACAGAAAGAAGGTTGAAAATAAATATACTTACAGCATTGGTGAAAGCAGATAATACTTCGAGTCTTTGGTACCTGATAATGAACAAATTTACAACTATAAGCTGTCATGTACAACCAAACATCTAATCTACACAAAATAACTAGAAAAGGAAAATATTTCTTTGTCATTTCATAAGTGATTTGGGGGATGGATGATTTGCAATTGAGATGCCCTTTCTAAATGAGAGATAATGGCTACCAATTAAACAATGCCTTTGCCACAAAATAACTGAGGGCAAAGAAAACAATAGACAACTGTAAAACAGAAAATGAATCTGCCAGGCTGGTGAATAAGGGTGCATGTAAGTGTGGTTTTCATGTGCTTGATAAAAAAAAAAATAATCTCAATCAGAGGCATAACTTCATGTAGAAAGTATGCTGGTAAATAATTAAAGTTCAAATAGCAACAAGAAAATATATGCTGACTGGAAAAATGTAACCGACTACAGAACTCCAAGAAATACCAATAAATTGCACCATCTCTCATGGACATAATTGAAATTGTATGATCTCACCCGTAAGTATAAACATGATCAGGCTTTCTTCGAGAAGCAGCCATCGCAAACAAAGAAAATGTCAAGAGACCACAACCAAATGTCAAATGAAATGCATCAGATACCAAACCTGAAAAGAAAAACATAATAACAAAATAAAGAACAGAGAAAATTTTAACTATAAAACCAGGAACCGTAAAAACTTGATGCAAACTAAAATCAACAAGGAATTTCATTCAACCCAGGATGATATTTTCAAGTGGTGCATTCCCTTTCACGTAAAGTATTAGAAAGGACATCAAAATTCAAAGCTGAATTGTTAAAAAAAAAACAGAACAACTGAACACTGATAAATAGGGTCACAAAATTGTCAAAACAACAAACTTTTATAGCCAAAAAAAAAACATACTGTCCATAATACCACTTAGAATACGAACATTAAAGCATACAATCAACAAGAAAATTTAACATTAAAACAAAGGGGCGAGCTTGCATCAACACAAGTAGAAGTATAGTTCAATTGTGAACTATCAGAACTACAAACAACAATTATAGCTGAGAATGATAAAAGCAGTTAATTTGCAAGCAACTAATGTTATTACCTAGAAATACCAAGTCAACTTTATATACTAGCTTTTCTTTGTCCAAATTTATTTGCCAAAATTCTTTCAAATACATACATACCTCAATATTTTACAAATAAGTACCCTAATTGAATTAGCAAATATGCAAATTCATGCATATAAATGCAAAAACAAGGAATAAAACATATTAGAATCTCACCAATACGGCCGGTAAAGAGCCCAATCGCCAACTCAGCGGTAGAATATGCCACATTAAGTGAAATCATAATCAGCAACTTCTTCATTTGCCGGCTACCGGTTCTCATAACCCGAAAAAGCGACAAAACCGAATCCAAAACCGAGAATTTATCCGCCCCCGCCGATCCTGTGGCTTCGAAAAATCCATCCTTCGCTTGGTCAAAAGAGTAAAACCCTGCCACTATGTCGATGCTTGAAACATTCCTCGATAGAAAAGAATTAATGGAATCGTTGGAAAAGTTCGACGTCATCGGCGTGCGGGTATCTCTCTGCGATTGTTGAAACGACGGTTGCCGCGAAAACGCGTAACGCCGATCGCTTGCGTTGGTAAATCCGAAATCGGCGTTCCATGGATGAGGTGAATCGGGCTCCTGAGAGTAGTATTTGAATGATTTGTGTTTCTCCATATTTAAAAAATAAAATAAAATCCTAAAATTTATTTTTTGCTTCAAAAACCCTAATTAACTGACGATGAATCTTTAAACGATAAGAAATTAATCGCCATTGGATTTGAAATATATATAAAGAACGCCAATTTTTATGATTTTGCTTTTCTTTCGAATTGGGAAATTGAGATTTTGAAAGTACTGAAAATTTTAGGGTAATGAAAATTTGTGATTGTTAGTACAAAAAAAGGAAGGAAAAGTCTGCTTTTTCAGGAGAAGACTTGGGAGAGGGCAGCCGAAGTAAACGGAGGGAGTTTAAACAGGGTACACCGATGCCTAGAGTAACTAAGGTGAGTTTAGGTAGGTCCCAGTCTGCCAGATATTAATGTTGGGGCAATCAGAGATCTTACAATTGGTGATCTTTGATTGGATGATCAAATCAGGGGACCAATCCATCTCATGATAAATTTTTTGTACACTTTTTGGCGGCCTTGGCCCCGCGAAATTCGGAAATTAAAGTTATTTTTGGATAAATAACTTTTTGGAAAGCTATTTTTGTATAAATAATTAAATATTGACTGAAATCGATCTGCTCAGACAGCTACTCCAACGTGAGTTTATGGTTTTGACCACTTCGGAGTTCGGACAAAGCGAACTTGCTCTTTGCGCTTTTTTTTTTTTTCCTCGAGAAACAAACGGAGTAGAGAAGAAAACAAGAAGCAAAGAGGATGCTGCTCTCTACATCTCTGAATTCACTCGCCGTAATCCCCAAAGCCTCTCCATCTAAAAACCCAATAATCTTCAACCTCCTCAAAACTCCATCATTGAGAACTCGCCTCAAAGCCAACCCCATTTCGAAATCCTCTTCTCTTTTTACTAAACCATCCAGAATCAGACCCAAGACCCAATATTTCCAAAGCCCCAAAATCCATGCTCTCTTCACCGGCATCGTGGAAGAAATGGGTGAAATCAAGCAATTGGGTATGGCGGATCATGGCGGTTTCGATCTCAAAATACACGCGAAAACCGTTATAGAAGATGTTCACCTCGGTGACAGCATTGCCGTTAATGGAACTTGCTTAACAGTGACGGATTTCGATACCCTTTTGGGAGAATTCACGGTGGGGTTGTCTCCTGAAACCCTAAGGAAAACTTCATTGAGTGAATTGGAACCCGGGTCATTGGTGAATTTGGAGCGGGCTATCCAGCCCACAGGCCGGATGGGAGGCCATTTCGTGCAAGGGCACGTAGATGGGACAGGGGAGATAGTGGGGAAAGAGGTGGAAGGGGATTCATTGTGGATTAAGGTTAAGGTTGATAAGAGTTTGTTGAAATATGTGGTGCCCAAAGGGTTTATAGCTGTGGATGGAACTAGTTTGACTGTGGTGGATGTGTTTGAAGAGGAACTTTGTTTTAATTTTATGTTAGTTGCTTATACACAGCAGAAAGTGGTGATTCCCTCGAAGGAAGTTGGGCAAAAGGTGAATTTGGAGGTTGATATTCTTGGCAAGTATGTAGAGAGGCTTCTCAGCAGTGGTTTTGTTGATTCAATTAAAGGCTTATGACATGCAGAAATGATAAAGGTTTGTTGTTTTTTTTCTTCTTTGGGTTTATTGTATCAGTGGTTTCTGTTTCTCTTATGTTGTTTTTACTTGTTCAAGTCGAAGTATTTTAATTTGCATTAGTTTCTATATTTAGGATTTAGAAAGAAGCAGATTGAGTTAATGATTGGTATTGGTGTTAGTGCAGTAAATATACATATGGCTATGTTTTCAATGATTAGGTGAGGGACGTCACTTTCAAAGCCCGTGAATCTGTTTGTGATAGCTCTTGTAAACAGTGTCTACGAGTAAATGCCCGATTCTGCATGGCTTGACTGACTGATGGTCTTTATCAGACAGGCATTTTGAGCTAGTTGCTAAATCCTTTCAATATATCTAACATACTGGCTAATGAAATTTCAGTACTTCTGCTTGTCATTTTCCTCCGGTGTGTCGTATGTGTTGACACCTAACTGATTGAACTTGGGTTTGTTACTTTGTTAGTATCGAGTCAATTGGAGGCAGTTGCTTGAGGGGTTTTCTTTGGCAGGGAGGATGGAAAATTTTTTACTAGGTTTCATAACCACATTTGTTATTTTGTAACTCAACCTTTAAATTAAAACATTTTCTTTCTTTTTCTTTTTCTTGTCTCTATCCCCTCTACCAAATGGACCCTTAATGTTATATCGAATGTCAATAATACTTTCATGTTGGTGGATGAACAAGAATTTCAATTCTAATCATCCGTAGGTAACCACATCATTTGTCTGCAGTTGCTTTCAGTATTGGTCCTTTAATTTTTGTTTTTAGGTTCCCATGTATGCATTTTTTATGTTGAATTTATCGTAGTTTACTTTTCGATACATCAATTCCATTAATACACTGCCTAACTGAAACGACCTTAGTATTTCAATTTCTTCCATGTTTTGATTAAAACCATATGCAGCTTGTCTCTCTTGACATGTAGAAAGAGTAGCTCCTCGTCAACTAAGTTGTTCTTACCCTCTGATAATCGCCACAAGGTTTTGTTTGTGTGTGTTTTTGTTGAAGTGGAGATTCTGTCTTAAGCTACCTTCTGAATCCTGATCTTGAAACCCCTGTTCTGTTTTCAGGTGCTCTCGACATCAGTGAAACGTGTAGTAAAATATTTCAAATTCCAGAATCCAGAGGCAACAGGTTTCAAATATTTCAATTCAATAAAGGGTGCTTTTGCCTGGGGCTGACCTCCATAACTAAAACTTCCCATTCAAGATCTTGAATTAAGTCCACTCCTTCAATTGACATTCAAGTAAAGTTGCAGTCATCTTGGCACATGTTTTTGTTTTTGAATAAAAACTAGAATACTGGTTTATTTATGGAGATGAAATGGATCAAGAGATGCAAATAAAGCTGCTTTTTATGTTTTCTTTTGCTATTTATTTATGAGAATCTAAAGTGATTGAGATGGTACTGCATTTTTTTTTCTTATGTGACTTTTTGCTGCAATAATGCAGTTGGAAAAACTTCCTGATGAGAGTAATTGCTATTACAGGGGAAAGAAAGAAAACATCTTGATTGCCATTACAGTCATTGTTTAACAATGAAAGCAACAGAAAAAAGTTGATTAGTGTAGAGTTCAACGCATTAAACAATTCAACAGTCAGAAATCAAAATCTCTCTTATCCGACAAAATCTATTGAACATGAAGCGGCTATATTTGGATTCAAAATTCTTTTTCCTCTGAACCCCCTAAAACCATTGAATGGAACAAAACTAAATGAAAGTTGCTTCTCCAGTCGATCAAATCAATTGAAATCACTGAATAATACCAAACTTTTAAGAGTCTCCAACTCCAGATCTCTCCTACAGTCCTTTACAAGACAAAGACGAAATTTTGCAGGGGTACATAATGGAATATTTGCACCATACATCATTTATCTAATAAATTCTTTGACTCAAGAATTGTTATTGTAGAAACAATCTATGTATACAAATTTCGAGAAGCAAAATATATCCATTACCAATTTCAGTAGATACACTTGCTTCCTCAGAAATCTTTTCACTCCATAAACATGGTAGTTGACTCAACATCGACACCATAGAGTCATGTGTGAGAGTCAGACTCTAATCATATGCCTTCCACTCAAAAATCGGATCCTAGAAAGCAGCACAAGAGAAAACAATAACTCAAAATTCGATCATAGTTCAAAAATAAGTTTACCAGTGCAAAAGAGACTCAATTCAATAAAATTTTTAGCTCAGAGAATCTGGAGGCTAATTACCACAATAAACTTCACCGGATTAGAAGCAATAAAAGACGAATGACAATACGTACAACCATAAAAATTCTAGAAGAAAAATGAAACTACATGATTGGCAGCTCATCCTGCCATCCGGATATTATTTTGTCAGCAGCATAAATTATAAGGAGTTTTTACTTGAAAACCTCAAATATCAATGGAAGTTACAGCACCAGACAAGCAAATTTCTCTCAGGAAAGTAAAAGTACAAGGATTTCACTCCCAGCTATTCAGTATATTACCCTTACAGACTATTATGCACTGGACAAGAAGCAGCAGAGCAATCAACCGCATGTCAGACCTGCAAATGATAGTCAAGTGTAAAGGCACGAATATCAGACGGGCCTGTCCCAAGCCTGCCAACAAACATCAGAAACAAGACTCGATAATGAGAGTAAGCTTTTCTAAATTTAATAATAAAACAAAAAGTAAATAATTGTCAATGATGAATGAGCAAAATGGTAAATTTCTCTATTTCATTGATAGGTCACATAACAATAGGATTCACTGAACAAGTAGAAAGTAATCTCAAAATTCAGACAGCCAAACCCAAATAGAGAGAAAGAAACAATGACACTGTAAAACCTAAAATATCATTTTTACTCTTCACCAAACATCAGGAAACAGGTTACTGCCATCGAATGGATGACTTGATTGCTATTTCCCAAGATGATAAATAAAAGTTCAGAACATAAATTTCTCTTTCCCCAATGAACTTCACAAAATTTTCTAGTGGCAGTTTCACAAATAAAAAACTGAAATACCTTTTGTTAATGATACCATAGTGAAACTTTATTTTTCCGGATTTAACATCTTCAATGTACTGCACCAACAAAGAGACAATTCAATGTATTAAGAGTTAAGATACGTGGTTCTTTTTGGCCATAAGATAAATGATTGATGAGAATTGTTAAATGAATTTTAACAAGATTTATTTTTACCGAAAGAACGAAAAAAGAAAAAAAAGCTCTTACCAAATTCAAGGTCACGAAAATTGAAGAAAATGCCAAAGAATCAAAAGGAATATTGTCCAATTCAAAGAGACAGCACTCAGATGATTCGGGTCCTGGTGAAAACTGGGGCTTCTTCAGCTTTGCCAAGAAGATTATGTAAGTCTGCTCCAAAAAAAGGAAAAGAAAAAGCAATTTTAGATACACAAACATCCTCAGTAAATGCAGAGGAAATAAAAGTAGAAGTAATTAAGGATGCTTCTTCTAACTTGTCCAATAAGAGGAATGTCCAGTTGCGCAAAAGGTGAAACCACTTCCACTTCAGCACCTGCTTCTTCCCAAGTTTCCCTGATTGCTCCTTCTGTAGCTGACTCCCCAATTTCCAGGTAACCAGCAGGAAGAGTCCTATGTCAATGCCACCCGATCAACTCAAATATTGTATTGACCATCAGAGATGGTAGAAATTAGCTATTCACAAGAAAAGAAAGTGCTAGTGCTCCAAATTTGAAATGCATAATTAATCTCTATTCAGGCAAATAACAGAAAAATAAGAGAAAACAATATTCAATCCTTTCCTAAACCAAATTCCAATCATCTAAATCATACCAAAGACCATAAGATGGTTCAATGTTTCGCTTGCAAAGTAGGATCTTTCTATCATGCTCGATGAGGCAACCCACAACCTAAGAGCATCAATTTAAAACAAAAATTAAGCATAAAAATTTCATCTGAGGAAAGAAAGTAATTCAAAGCCTAACAAATTATAAATTAGAAAAAGGAATGTGATTCAGAAGACAGGCTGCAGCACATTCAAAGCAATATTTGTTCCAGTAACCATCCAAAATTATAGGGGATATCTACCCCCATCTCGAATGCAAGTGGACTATTTTAGGGAAGGAAGAAAATACCACACTCTAACTAGCATGAGTTAGTAGTTAATGTCATACATCGACAAAGTTATTCAATTTTGCAGAATGTTAAAAAGGCAAAAGGACCTTTTATACATTAGCATTTTGAAATAACCATCACCAGCAACTGTTTTAATAAATAGATACCAGGAATAGGATTGGAATTAGGACACTCCATATTTTGCATGAATCACAATAAATAAGGAAAACTCAGAACAAAGCAACCATTATAGGTAATATAATAATTACATTTCACTTCAAAGATGTTGATTAAGTTTGACCATCCCATGATCCTTTACATTACTTTCAAAAATCTTGGTAGAAAACTTTGGAGATAATCATGAAATCATACAGTGAGAAATAGAACATCCTTTTATCTAAAAAATAAACCTAACCCCACCCTACGCAAATCTAGGGGGCTTCTCTTCCAAGGCTTATCAAAGCACATCAAAATGATTAGTTATGTGCAAGAATAACACCTAACCCCTTCCTCTGTAAAGGGGCTTCTCTTCAAAGATTTATCAAAGCACAGGAAAATAATTAGTTACACGCAAGATGCCCAAGCATCAACATAAAGAAACTTGAAGAGGCAAAGACTAAAACACCACAGCTATACTCAGGCAAAAACATACCATCTGGCAAATAGCAAGCTACATTCTATTTTGCTGCAATAAATCAACCTACCATTTTTGGATTTTGATAGGCAATTTTTCCACAAATAGTGCAAATAGCTCTTATCTTCTCTTCTCCATCAGGTATTTCATGCTTCGCCAGGCCACCACACCACTGACAGAACTTGATCTTATGAACATTGCCCTGTAACATGATATCTATTTCTCAATCACTGGCATACAGATAGGTATTATCCTTAAAAAGTTCTTAGCCTTTACCTCATGGGATATTCTACCATCGTAGGTAGAGAAAAGAACTATGAATAGTGCCAATACAGAATCCATCTTTCATTTATTACTTCATAGAAGCAGTTTATTTTGTAATTATCTTGTTTCTAAAAAAATGCTACAGCTACCATCACCACTTAGAGTTTCAATAATAATTTAATTTCGAAAGATAAAATTAAAATTTCCAGCCAGCTTTAGTTTTCAAAATAAAATAAAATAATGAATGCTCAATGGTAGAGCATGTAATATATCAATTCTTTCTGCTCCCTCAAACCAAGTTAAAACTATAAAATTCTTCTAATGCTTAAAGCTTAAGCATTCTGAAAAAATAAATAAAAAAATAAAAATGAAAGACAGAAAATAGAATCAGATGTGTACATCATTGTCAAACAAAGTGACCTATCCTATGTTTAGCAAGAAACTAATCATACGATATGTTTATGGCATATAAACCACCAAATAATAAGACATTAGAAGCATCCACAAAGGAATACATCAAGGCACATTAGGTCTTTAAACTTCCTAGGAAATTCCTTTTGCCCAGTGCTTTATTGCTTGCAATATTGCAGAAATCAAGCAAAGGAACCATTTCTGACAAACTATGTTAGTATGTAACATTAATCTAATTTAGGTGAATAAGATAGAAATCAGACATCAAACATTAAATGAGTTTGACAAATGCCTGCGAGCTACAATTAGCTAATATAGAGAATTGCACTCTATACTAAAACTCAATTCAAATTTATTGTTCATTCTCTCACATTTTATTGCTACAGGAAGCCTATTTGTGTTTAATCTGGTACCACTTAATCACACAGCCTTCCAACAAAAAAAAAAAATTTCTCACCGCCAATTGACCATAGGATGATGATTGTAAGATGATAAAAACACATTTAATATTACATAGAAACCACTATTTCCCTTTTGTCACGAATCTCACCAATGTAGGCCTAGAATTGCACCAAGCTTTACAATCACTGCAAAACCAAACATGCTTGCCTTGCACAAGGAATTATCCAATTTATATCATAAGTTTCAATGGAGGTTGATCACATTATTATAATCTGCATTATCCAAAATTATAATTCCAAAGACAATTAAATCCAAACCCATAATTCAATATTCCAGAAAATGTTGGTAAAGTATAAAGCCAAATTCACCACATAAGCATTTGAACCCCAAAAAAAAAAACACTTAATTTTTTAATTTAATAATAATAATAATAATAATAATCACATACACAGCTTACTACTACATAAAACTAAATCACTGAATTAGCAGCTTAATTGCCCAAAAAAAGCAAACTTTCTTTTATTACAAGGTAAATTAAGCACAAAATCTCAATTCACAGTTCCAAAGAAAAAACTCACGGCTGAATGAACTGCAACCGAATAAGAAGAGGAAGAAGGGGCATCGGAGTTGGACTCGGACTGAGTCGAAAGCATTCGAATCACTCTAAAAGAACGAGATTTCGGAGCCCAAAAAGGACGCAGAGACAAAGAAGTTGAACTGTAGCTTCTTTTTGAATGGATTAAAGAAAACCCATTACCAGAATGAGGCTTTTTTAGTCTTTGAGAGATAAACCCAGATGAACAACCAAGAATTTGTATAGCTCTTAGCATTAGGAAGTTAAACAATGAAAAAGAAAACTAAGGATGGAGGTAGAAAAAGAAGAAACAGAGAAGACTTATAAGAAATGGGATATTTTGGGTTTCAGATGTTGATGCTGATACGGATTACGATGAACGTAAAACGCTGCGTTTGGTGCCCATGATGTCAATGATTTCATCCTCCGATTCAACTCGGACACCTTTTTACTTGGGTGTTAAACGCTTAGACGAATAAGTTTCTGTCTGAGTGCTTTCTTTGTTTCATAAAATCTGCAAAATAAAAAATAAATACTTTCAAACTTATTGTTAAAAAAAAAAACTAAATTTACTATTTTAAATATGTAATTTAATAATAAATACTTGTATTTCTCATAAAAATAGTTTTTTTCAAATAAATAAAAAAAATTCAAACCTTATTTCGAAATAAAAAAATTATAGTATATAGATTTTAGTTCACTTCTTTTAGGTGAACCATACAACAAAGATAGCAACAATTATCAACACCGTTGCTTGAACATATTTTCCTTCTTCTAATTTGAATCTGTTCCATTATAAATGTTATTCACCAAACAAGCACACATCATTCATGAGCAGGCAAGATCCTTCTATTTCGCAATGTAATAAATTATTATGTGATTAATAAAATAAACTTAATTGAAATGAATCAAATCGTTTCAAGTTGAATAATTTTAAATTAAAACATTTTTAAGTTTATTTCATATTCAAATTTTTTGAATTTGACATTTAAATTATTTGAATTTAAATAATTTAAATTTTAAATTATTAAATTTATAAATCAAATCATAATAATATTTGATTAAACTTTTAGGTTTGAACCGTTTTAAAATTAAATTAATTTAAGTTTGAATTTTTTTTTATTTTGAATTAGATAATTTAAATGGTTGATTTTTTTGTCGAATCGACTTAGATTAATTTCGGATGATCGAACGATTTTTTTTTTTATTACCTTAAACATATTGAATGACTTTTTTAAGTTCCGATTACTTTGACAGCTCTACCAAATGTTCCCTTCTTCGGAAAACATGAACTAAATGTAATGGCAATCTCTACAGTGAGACTAGTAAAGGATTAAGGATGGCTGTACTTTGTGTTGGTCATCAGTTACTCATTTCATTGTCCCTGTCAATTCTGGCAATCAACCTGGATGAGAAACAGAGAGGCCTATTATTGTCGTACATGATGACAGATGTATTATTATATGGTGTAAAATATTTTATTTTTATAAAAATTATATATCATAATATATATAAATATAAAAATATAAAATATAAAATATAATTTTTTAATTTTATTTAATTTATTTATAACTTATTTTTATATCATATTTTAAATTATCAAATCTATTTAATAATATCAGTATAAGTGTAACTTATGGCGCATTAAGTCAAATTCCAAGAAATCACCACAGCTGGGGTTTATGCCACGGTACACATGGGGGGAACGGAACTATACCGCAAATCCCATGCCACAGCACCTATTACCTCCAATGAATCTAAACTACATAAGAAAATAAAAAGTAATAAGGCAATCACAAATAAAAAAATTTATAGGCATTAGAATTTAAATTTAAATTTAATAAATATTAATTTTAAAATATAAATATATAAATCAATAAAATTAAATTTTGAATTCATAAAAAAAAAAACTCTAATTAAAAGTAAGTAAACAATTCAAGCATCAACATTCAAATTCTTAGTTTCTGAAATTTCAACCTTGGAACCTGTAATTCCTTGTCTTTGTTTTAATTATCAGATGTAAGAACCCTATAACTCAGTTATAAAGCTTTAAGCCACACAGTCATCGTGAATAAAATAATTTTTCATAAATTAATATATACAAAATAATAAAAAAAACCTTTAAGAAATTTTGTTTACATATGATCTTGAATTATACATTAAAAATAAATTTCTTTCTCATCTCATAAATCTCAATTCTTTTTTTTTTTTTCAAGATTCGAACCATAGACTTCACAAATTCTTAAAACCATTACACTAGCAAATTGCAATTAAAATTTTCCAAAATGATGGTTATATGGTGGCCATGCATCCATTTATCCAGCGTTACGTTAGGTCCATATCCTATGGGATGCAACTGAATGCTAGATAGACCAGGCTGGAAGAACATGACCTGATTCCCACTCAGCAATAATACCAGTTCTAGTGATGCAATTGATGTATTTGAACGTTTGTTTCGAAGCCTCGGCTGAAAAATTTTAAAATACGATTATAAAAAATAAAAAATAAAAAATAATAAAATATAAAAAAATTATGATTTAAAATTTTAATAAAATCATATATGATATTTTAATTTTTATGCAATATCGACCTTAAAAACGAGACTTGTTAATATTAGTTTGATTTTCAAAGCAAGTAATTATGATCATTTTAAAATTTGTTTTATCTTGGAGGAAAGACTTGACAGCTGAGGCACGTAGGTAACGAATCAAATAAATAACAAACTAACATTCAGGTTAACTTTAAGTTGGGTTTAATTAAAACCTCCTACCAACCTTAACCAAACGCGATTGACAGGTAACTAATACGAATGAAATGCAAATGAAACCATTGCACATGACTTCACTTTTAATTAGAAACCCCAAACTTTTAAAATGAGGAAAACACCCTTTATTGCAATACTTAGCTGGATCACTTTTAGACCATACATGTATATTTGTCATATTAAATATTAAAATTTACATATTATGTATAATAATTTATATCAATATAAAAATATAAAATATATTTTTTATTTTATTAAATATATATAATTATTAATAAAATTTTAAATCGTATTATATTTATATTATATTTAAATTATCAAATTTACTAGCTAAAAATTTTAAGAATTTAAAAGCGAGTGGTGACCTCGACCAACAAAATGGAAAAAGGTTTCTCTTTACATTCGTGCGGGGCCGATTATGAGATAATAGCCGGCCATAGTTATAAAGGTAGAAGAGAGGTTCACATAAATAAAGAGATGTGCCCAAAAGGAATCTCATTTGATCCTATGATTATGTTCGTTCCATGTCAAGCATGATTAATTAAAGTAAAAATGTGTTTTTGTTTGGTTTCTAACAACAACTTTGCCTTGAAAATAACTAAAAATAGAAATATTAACCAAAGAAAATGGGTCTTTTAATCATGTTATTGGATAATTTTTATTTTAAATTTTTATATACCAATTATATAATTTCTTATTAAAATTAAAAAAATATGGTTCAAACTCCAAATATCTCATTTTTAAATAAAAATTTCTAAAAAATTTTAAAAATAATTATTTTTATTTATCTAATTCAATTAATTAAACAAAAAATAAGAATAATTTTGAGAAAAGAATATATTTAAGATTAAAGAATCACAAAAACACATTTATTATATTGAAATTCTTTTTGATGAGAAAATGAAAAAATTAAAATTTAATATTAGAATAAAAAGACATCTTAATGGATGAAAACAAAAAAGAAAAATCCACCAAGCTCTTTTATTTTCTTTTTCTTTAAAAGGATTATTATATTTCTTTTAAATAAATTTTCCAATAAAAAAGAAAATGAAGTGGTCAAACTTCTAAACGTCAATGTCTGAGATTGGAGACCACGTGGTGTGCTTTTCTTTAACGTTAACGCATCGCACGTTATATATGGCCGCACACGATCAGTTATCAAACGCAAAAATCGTCCGCTATATTACGGCAACGTTTGATGATCAACGTTGATCCGGCTTTATAGTTGAGAGTAAATGGGAATAATACATTAATACTCTCAAACCGATTTAATTTAGATAAAATTTAAATTTAATTTGTTCATTATCAAGTTAAGATTTAATAATTTAATTTATCAAATACATCAAATTTAAATATTTTTATATTTAATTTAAATTATTTATGATTTTAATTTAATTTTTAATATATTTTTATTATTTTAAATAAAAAATTATTATTTTATTTTTTAATATATTAATTCGAATTCAAATTTAAATTAATATACATAATTGAGTTTAAAATAAAAAATAAAAATTGAATTTATTTTTGATCAAATAAAGATCAAATAATTTGATTTATTAAATGAATCGAATTTAAAAATTTTAATAGGTAACTTAAATAGTTGATTAGTTTAAACCAATTTTTAAATTTTTATATATTTTTATTATTTTAATTAAAAATTATTATTTTATTTTTATATATTAATTTGAATTTATATAAAATTTATACACATAATCAAATTTAAATTCGAATATAAATAAATATTAATAATTTAATTTTTATTTTAAATTAAATTTAAATTTAAAAAATAAAATTGGATGAAATTCGAACTAAGATTTTAATAATGAATTTGAGTTAAAACTCAAATATTTTATTGTAACGATTCAACTCGGAAAGGTTACACTTTTAACAGAGAGAGAGATAATATAAGAGGATCAGACAAGTGTAGGTAAAAGTGACCGCAGGTGAATAAAATACAAAGGTAGATATCAATTCCAACGGTTAACTGGACCAAAAAGGAATTTAATTTAGATATATATATTTTCTATTTTTTTCTTTAGTACTACAAAAGGTCAATCTATTTATCCGTCCACACAGATTGACAAGCCGAAAGGGAGCCAGCTGTTTCCACCACGAATATGGAGAGAAATGGGGTCCGTAGATGGGGACAATGGCAACGGACGGCCAAGATCTTCGGAAATGGAATTTGAGGTGAATTTACGTTTGAAGCGGAGTTTCATTTGCACCCCCTTCCTTTTTTAAAACAAAGAGGGCGGGTACCTTAACCGCACTCATTCCCACAAACCTCGACAGTCCGTTGAACCAGCAAGACAGAGAATCGAAAAGAAAAAGTATTTTCTTTTCTATCTTTGTTCGGATCTTCATTTTGTTTGTTCATCTGTTTATTTTTTATCAAAATTTGGGTACTAATTAGATCGAATTTCGATGCTTATATCTTCAATTTCAGGATCTTTTTAATGTAATCTTATGATTTTTTACTTAATTTTGCGTTTAATTATTGATATTTCTGTTTCATTATCATTTTACATAATTATCGATTAATTATGATGTCGTTTTCGGCTACGGATGTTAATAGTGCCACATCTTGGAAATAGCTTCGGGTGATGGGATGTATCAGATTCTGATATGAGATCATTTTGTGTTATATATGATTATTGATGTTGGTATCGGCTGTGTATGAAACAGGCAATAGAAAATGGCGGAAAACGAAGATATTCAGCCTCTTGTTTGTGACAATGGGACTGGGATGGTCAAGGTAAACCTGTTATTGCAGTGTGGTGATGGTGTTGGTTTTTTTTTTTTTTTTTTTTTATCAGTGTTTGAGATGCTGATTGATGTCAAAATTTTTCAGGCTGGATTTGCTGGAGATGATGCTCCTAGAGCTGTGTTCCCTAGCATTGTTGGTCGCCCACGTCACACAGGGGTGATGGTTGGTATGGGCCAAAAAGATGCTTACGTGGGAGATGAGGCTCAATCGAAGAGAGGTATTTTGACACTGAAATACCCAATTGAGCATGGCATTGTTAGCAATTGGGATGACATGGAGAAAATCTGGCATCATACCTTCTACAATGAGCTTCGGGTTGCCCCTGAGGAACATCCAGTTCTCCTCACTGAAGCGCCTCTTAACCCCAAGGCCAATCGTGAGAAGATGACTCAAATTATGTTTGAGACATTCAACGCTCCCGCTATGTATGTTGCTATCCAGGCCGTTCTTTCCTTGTATGCCAGTGGTCGTACAACGGGTATGCACTTTCACCAACTATCTGTTTCTTTTCTGTTCACCATTGTATGTATGCATGGGAAATTTTATCCATCTGATCATAGGTCAAGATTTATGTCCGAAGAGGGTAATAGAAATTTTAGAGGTAATGAGTGAAACCAGAGATCTTCTTGCCTAGATCTTGTTAGAAACACAAATATGCTGATTTCATCAGTCATGATCAAGCTTGGTAAATCAAGATCCATGGAAGTCCATATAAACATATCACTTTACATTTCATATGTGCATATTGCTCTTGTCACTTTGATAGCAATGGTAAACGGCTTGGTTACCTGAATTTCGGGTGTCCTGCAATTTCCTGTTTCCATTAACACCATAAATTATCTACAGCTATCCTTTGTTCTTCATGGTAAAAAAAATTACCTTGGTCTAACTAGCAAAGTATATTTTTGACTTGATATAGAAGTGATTGTTTTTCTGAACAAACATGTTTCATGGTCTTGCCTAATATGCACGGTTACTGTTTAGGTATCGTTTTGGACTCTGGGGATGGTGTGAGCCACACAGTTCCTATCTATGAAGGCTATGCTCTACCACATGCCATCTTGCGTCTCGACCTAGCTGGTCGTGATCTCACAGATGCCCTCATGAAAATTTTAACAGAGCGTGGTTATTCTTTCACAACTACCGCTGAGCGGGAAATTGTGAGGGACATGAAGGAGAAACTAGCTTACATTGCTCTTGACTATGAGCAAGAGCTGGAGACGGCAAAGACCAGCTCTTCTGTGGAGAAAAGCTATGAGCTACCAGACGGACAGGTTATTACCATTGGGGCTGAACGATTCCGCTGTCCAGAAGTCCTCTTCCAGCCATCAATGATTGGGATGGAAGCTGCTGGCATTCATGAAACCACGTACAACTCTATCATGAAGTGTGATGTTGATATTAGGAAGGATCTCTATGGAAATATTGTCCTCAGTGGTGGCTCCACTATGTTCCCTGGAATTGCTGACAGGATGAGCAAGGAAATTACAGCATTAGCTCCTAGCAGCATGAAGATTAAAGTGGTTGCACCACCAGAGAGGAAATATAGTGTTTGGATTGGAGGCTCCATTTTGGCATCTCTCAGCACCTTCCAGCAGGTATTGTCTTATTGTATCTTTGGAAAGCAAATCATATCTTGGTCGATACACTTATAATTGTTTAGAATATTGTGTTTTATATAAATATGCTTTGGAATCACTTTATCATTCTTTGAATTTCTCATAACTGTTGGTACAAATACACAACTTTGCATTCTCTGTTGTAACCTACCTGACAATGACTATGTCTCGGCTTAAAATTTGTTGCGTTTGCTATAATATCTGCTTTCTCTGAATAGTTTAGACAATGTTTGTTCCTGGCATTTTGTACTTGAAACAAATACAGATTTTAAGATATTAAAAGAAAAGGTAAAATTGACTGGATATTTTCTGTGCAGATGTGGATTGCAAAGGCAGAGTATGATGAGTCAGGGCCATCAATTGTCCATAGGAAATGCTTTTAGATATGCAAAGCAAGAGATGGGGATGAAGAGATATACAGTACACATTTTGTATCACCGCAAGGCTTATAAATCAAAGGGTTGCTATTTTATCTTATCTCTATTTTTTTTTTTCAAGTTATTTCCCATTTTCCCCCTCTTGTTCCTTTTTTTCCCTGTCGTTTTCCACTCTTGATGTCCAGAAGATGAACATGATGCAATTCATTTTTTTACATTACCATTTGATTGTAGAAGAGTTGCGTGTTTTGGATTGAATCAGAAATCTTTTCATTATAATTTCACATGCCTCCATTTGATAAACACAAGAACAATTCTTATATATAAATATATATATATATATATGTATATATACACACACACTCTGCTGTTAATATACACGTTTTGTATAATCATCTGGAACCAAATGAAGGGGGGAAAACAATAGAAAAGGAAGAAAAGGAAAAAAAAAGAAAGAAATGAAAATGTAGCTTCTCTTATAGGGGTTATAATAAGTTGCATATCAAAGTAAAAGTTACTAATGAAAATCAGTTCAAACTTTTCTTGCTTGGTAATGGGAGAAAAAGAAAGAAAAAAAAAAAAAGCTCAGAAAAATGCTATCAGCAGTTGAAGAAAAAAAAGGAAAGTAAAATTCATAAAGAAACTTGCTGAACTTCGCCACAACCCCACCGATTATTTCAAGTGACAAGGTAATAATTCAGATGATAGACCACGCATTTGCTGCTTTGCATCAATCCTTAAAGAATGTTGAAGTTTGATGGTCCAATGGTGTCAACGAACCCTCGAACAGACAGCTCTGGAACAGACATCTTTGTGCTGAGCGACTCGTGGTCTATAAAGACGACAACAACTGTAATATCATCATGGAAAAATCGCCTAATCCCTTTATCAACCTTCTTAAGATCTTCATATCTCATCTCCCTTTTCCTAGCTGCCTCGTTTAAAGCTGTTTTAATAAGTCTTCTTGCAATTCCCTAACATTTTTTTGGAGGAAAAGAGTTAAATAAGAGACTTGAAGTTCAATGGTAAAGGAAGATGCACTAAAAATAGCACTTACTGCTCGTGGATAGTTATAAACAATCTCGACAGCCTGCTGATTTGTCAAATGTTCCCAAAGTCCATCAGATGCAAAAATGAGAAACTTATCACTAGGTTTTAATTCCCTGGTGCACAAGGATGGTTCTGCTGTTAACACAGGTTGTCGAATGGGTTCAGAAAGGTGAAACCGTGGGAAAGAAGGATCAAGAGAAAACTCTGGCCGCTTCAAGTATGCATCTCCAATAGATCTAGATACCTGATAACAGTTCATAGGCGAACACAAAGAACATAGAAAAGTCAAAACACAAGTGAATTCCACTAAAATGTGTTGTGAGCAAACCGACATCAAATTGACTTCCAAGTCAAGTAAAAGAAAAAATCAGAACTTTTGAAGATAAACGATCATGTGAAGAACCAACTAAGATGCACAGCTTGCTAAATACGTTTATCTTATCATACCGTTGAAAGCAACAAGTTCATAAAGAAAAGTTGGAATATTCCCTCCTATTACACCTTTGCTACTACATAGATAGTTCTGACCATCAACAATATAGCTGCTAACACCTCAAACAAAGGCAGGCTGCCATTATCGTTCCAGAAAGCTTCAAGACATCTGAAGAAGGAAAAGGCCAAATGGTGTAGCTTGAAAGGACATTTTTCTAGAGGTAAGATAATTATATATATCTTAGAACTTCAATTACGACCAGCAAAACAAATTTCCTAAGGCTCTCCAAAATCAATATCGCACAACCAGCAATGCAAGATTTGCGGTGGTTTCTGCAACCACATAATAAAATCCTTGACATTCCAATATTGCTTGAAAACTTTTATTATGATCTCCTAGACAGTACTACTCTCTTATTATGAATAAAGAGTGCTATTTCTGAAGCAGAAAAATATCATAAAATAAGAAAAGAAAAAGGACACCTTAACACAGGAAGGCCAAACCATAAGAAGCACATGCTACAAATACCTATGAGTAATGTACATATGGAACCAGTAAGCTCTGAATCCATTAAGATTGAGAGAGAGAGAGAGAGAGAAAGAAACTGACTGAATGACATATAGGTAATTCAAGCAATTAAGTCTAATGACAGGGATTTCATATTTCATTAAGGCATTTCGTATGCAATGAAAGTAAATTAAAAAAAAAAAAAGGTAAAACGTTTCTATGGCAACCTTGGCAAACCATCAACATTTCAACAAATAATCTGATATTTGATGATTCAATAGTTATAGGACCACAACATTCATCCAATCCCCTGATAATCATAGACCAAAAAACTAAACAAAATTGGATACAATTCATTAGTTCGAGGGTGTAATTATCCCAAACAATCTTAAAAACATATGCAAGAAAATTATGCTCCATTATTGCTTATGTAAAATTCAATAAAAACATAAGCCATTCTTGTTTTGCATGTCCCAGTGGTGGTCCCCATAAATAACAACACACATACATCATAGCATAAAATATGGAGAGCAGATGAAAATGAACCAAAGAGAGGATACCTGAATGATGCCTTTAATACGCCATGCTCCATGCTTCATAACAACAATATGAGAATCATCTGGATGCAATGACCTGAGTTCCTGTCTGACCTCCTCTATACTTGCATTATGATCTTTAGTCAACTGCTCAGCAACAATCTTATTTGATCTACCTAAATAGCCAATTACAGCTCGAGAATCACCCAAATTAGCAATGTATAATGTCCCCCTCCATATAACTCCAACCAGACAACAAGATCCAATTGCTGCAATTAATGGTTTTATTCCACATGTTCTACGTACAAGAGTAAGAAATCCATCTTCAGTTGCAGAGAAAGCGCTTCTAAGAATATCTTCAGAAATGGTTCCATTAGCCTGAGCAAGCCCTGTTGAATGATATGTAACACATGTTCTAGAACGAATTACTAGAAGGCAATAGAAAGGACACAAGAGAATGATCTCTAGAAAAGCATCCAATACAAACTGAGCAGTTTATTTATTTGGAAGGAAGAACACAATCATCTCTTACGTGAACATCCTTCTCTTTGTTTATCATACAGCATTGGTCCCAAGTAAATTCCAACCAATGAAGTTGACACTCTTAACTTTGTTAAGCAAATGTTGAGTTTCCATAGTCAACTTTAATTTACTTTGTTTGTTGACAACTTGACATTATATTTAAGCCATAACAGGTTTACATTAAAAACGAAATTTTCATTTACCAATGTTAGAACTCTAAATAACATCCAACTCATTGTGACATCACATCATTTTTGTTGTGGCCTCCAATAAAATAGACAAAAAGAAAAATACAAATTCATATACGATTGCTCTAAACCAGCATCTACAACAGCCTACTGCAATATAAAAACTAGGGCGGATACCAACAAAAACTACATTCAAACAAATATGGAAAAGGAAATAACTAAAACATAAATAAATAAACAAATATATTTCCAACAGACACATAGAAATCCAGAAAAATCTAAGCAAGGAATTCTTCAAGATGGCTCAAATTACATACAAGTTATTTTTATTAGAAGAAAGATATCCAAAAATTGAGACTGAAGATAGTATACAAAAAAAATAAAAACAAACCACAAAAATTCATAATATTAATACCATATGTAGACAAAAACTACAAGACTAAACACCAAGGATTAAAAATCCCCAAGAACTCATTACCAGAAAATTCAACCAAGAAACACATACTTAGAACGAATCAACAAACCAACAGAAAGAAAAGAAAAAAAATAATAAACCCCAAATTAAGAAAAAAAATAAAGGGAAAAAAAATTCTTAAATAACTCAACCAATTATCCACTAAAACAGAAAGCAAATTTTGAAAGAGAGAAAAAAAAGAACTTACTAAGCAAATTTTGGAAGAGATGATCGGAGATAAAGCGAGAAGCATCAGGGCCACCATGTCCATCATAGACACCAACAAAAGTAGCATCGTTGCCGGTCTCAACTTGACTATAATCTTCAATGATCTCATTGGCTTGAACAACAGCATAGGAGAAATCACCATAAGAGTGTTTTTCAAGGTCTCTACACCAAAGAAGTGAATTACTTAAAGAAGAGGAATCTTCTTCAAGTTCATCATTATTACTATTGTTATTATCCTTGTTCATACGGGCATATCGACTCACTGGTCTCCAACAAGCGAGAGTTATCCTTGCCAACCACGAAAACATCCCTCATTTCCCTTAAAAACAATACCCTTTGTTGAACTTTGCCCTTTGAAAGCAAAAAATGGGTCGAAAATTAAAAAAAAAAAAGGGGTTTTTAAGGTTTGGACTTTGGATAGCGAAAATTTTTGAGAACCCCACTAAGTTTTTTTTGTCAAAGGAAGTGAATTTCTTGGAAAAGTGAGGAAAGTTTGAAGCTTTTGAATGGATTAGTTAGAGTAATGGATCAAAGAAGAAGAAATGTAAAGAAAAGGAAGAAAAGATGAAGAATTTCATGGATCGGAGAGACAGAGAGAAAGTGGGGAGGAGAGTAGTAGAGAGAAAAAAGTAGACATTTTTCTGTTTTTCTTTTTCTTTTTCAAAAACAGAAAGTTGTCATTTTTTCATTTCTTTTCTTTTTCTTTCCTGATTCCATGTTTCAAGTGAGAATTACGATGATGCCATCACTTTGAAGATCGGATGATGATGACCCAAGAGACCCGGATCCTATTTAATTCCTTTGATCTGTTGAAACCTAATTGCAGCAACTTCTTATTTGTGTTTGAAACATAAAAATATTTTTAAAATCATAATACTAATTAATTGCCAATTTAACTCTTAATTAAGAAAAATAAAAATGGTTGGAGTACATTGAACAAGATGATTATGGTTTTTGTGTAATATTTTATTTTTATTCATGATCATTAAAACTCAAAATTTGAAACTGTCATTTTTTTTTTTTTAAATTCAAATTTATTCAGTTTCATAATCACTTTTAAATTTCATAGAATCTATCATTTCAATTTAGATATTCATAGAGTAAAAAAAATTGTACTTAAATTTTTTAGGATAAATGTGACAAATAAATAAATTAGAATATTTAAAATTTAAATTATAGCTTATTAAGGTAATTTTAAATTCAAGTTAATCTTGTTTTTAATTTAAATTGTTTAAATTTTAGATTTTTATGTGTTAAAGTCGTTTTAAATTTGAGTTTAAGTTTTTAGTTTCTCAATTTTTTATTATTTTTTAAAATCGAATTAAAATTTTTTTAAATAAATTTTTACGTTCGAATTTATTTTCTCACTCCTAATTGTAAACTAAAATTTATGTCAATGATACATTTCCTTGAATTTTAAGCTACTGATGAAATAGATAAATTTAGAATAGTTTTTAAATTGCACAAATGTGAGGTAATTTCTCAAAGAGTTGACCTAGCACCTCTGCAAAAGATGAGCAACTTTCTCTTTGCAAGTAGCTTAGAACATGAGAGTCAGCCAAATGCTATGTGTAACATTTTATTTGAGATAATTTGCTGCAATACTCTTTGATTGCAGATAAAACCCTATTGTTTCACTGGCAAAGAAGTTTATGGAAGTTCTTACTGCTGGCACAAAAGAAGGCAGATAAATTTTAGTAGTGGAAACCATCTGAATCCAACAGATTGAAGGAAAACAGGTGAGATGGAGTAGGTGGCTCAGTAATTGCAACTCCTTTGTAAGGACTGTGGTGGTAGAGTTATGTTCCTTTTCGAAAACTAAAGGGACCCAAATTCATGTGACATTGTGGCATGTGAAGCTGAGTCCCCTTTTTTTGTGTCACAAGCTTTTCAATGTGTTTCAGCTTACCTATAAAATCATCCCAATCTTAATCTACAATGCCACCGATCAATCATACTTTTTCTCCAACAAATTATATAAAGATCAGCATCAGCATTTGATTGACCCCACCAGACATTTATTCAATCGGAGGGTGGTGATGATTTCCGCAGTTTTTGTCAATATCAAATGGACAAGTGAATCGGGGGATGGGGGTGTTCAAAGTGTCCAGAATTAATGGAACTTCCGAAACCTTGATGTTGTGCTGGCTCTCTCAAGGTAATAATACTGCTATGTGTTTTTCTCCTTTTTTTTTTTTTTTAGGTGGAGCAATGTAAATATTATCTGTTTATTCCAGATCATCTTTTTTCTTCCCTGGTTCAATGTTAAGCTTATGCCATTTTCATTTTACATCAAAACCAGCCTTATTTAGGGATGGTAATGAATCAGATCAATTGAGGTGGGTTTTTGTTGGTTGAACTTAATCTAATTTTATATCTATAATATTTGAATTTGATTTGATTTTTTTAAAATTTTTTTAATATTTAAATCAGACTTAATATTATATAAAATTATATTAAATTTGATCCAAAATTAATAAAATATTATTTTTAAAATATAAATATAAATATAAAATTAAATAACTATAAATATATATAAATATAAAATTAAATAAATAATTAAAAAATAATTATATATATCAATGGATTTGTCTAAAACTCAACCATGATGCAAAATTTTTTTATTGTTATCCTATTCGATTCGATTCGAAATTTAATTTTAAAAAAAGTTATTCTTAAAAAATTAGATTGAATCAAAACCGTCGGATAAAAATGAGGTTGATGTCCAGTGAATCAGGGGATGGGGGTGTTCAAAATGTCCACAATTAATGGAACTTCCAAAACCTTGATGTTGTGCTGGCTCTCTAAGGTAAAAATACTGCTATGTGTTTTTCTCCTTTGATGGGATAGTTCTTTTCTCTTTTTTTTTTTTTTTTCTTTGGGTGGATCAATGTATGTATTTTTTGTTTACTCCAGATTCATGAAAACCAGTTCAGGATAGAAATTGACTGATCATCTTTTTTCATTCTTTGGTTCAATATAGGGATGGTAATGGATTGGATTGAGGTAAATTTTTATTTGTTTTTAATTCAATTTAATTTTATATTCATAATATTTGAACACGATTTGATTTTTTTTTTTTATTTTTTTAGTATTTGAATTTAATTTGATATTATATAAAATTATATTCGATTTGATTTAAAATTAATAAAATATTATTTTTTAAAATATAAATATAAAATTAAATATATAAATATAAATAAATATAATATTATATAAATAATTAAAAAATAATTATATATATTGGATCGAATCGAAACGAATTTATCTAAAACTATGATCTGAAATTTTTTTATTATTACACAATTCAATCCAATTTAAAAAGAAATCAAACCTGAAAAATTAGATCAAATCAAAATATATTGAGTATAGAACTCCCATCCCTAGTCTAATGCGACTCACTTTTAAGTTTTGGCCAACTCTGAATTTTAAGTGATCACTTTCATTTCTCTTTGCAAAATGCCTAATTGATTCATATATTTCCTGCTCCAAGAATAAATAATATTGGAATCTATAAGTGAGATACAAGCATTTTACACTCATAAGAATTCCATAAGTGAGATTGAATTGGAATTGATCTATTTTTATTATGTTGATAACAAAAAAATATATATGAATAGTCAATACAAATACATATAATTTGATTCCAATGTACCAATTGCTGAGCTTTTTTTTTTTTTTTGCCAGTATTACAAGGCCTAAATTAAATTTCCATTTGCTAGGTAGCTGTGACCTATAATTAGACAACATCATTAATCAAACGCCTATGCCTGTTATAATGTTTCTCCATGAAAATTTTTGAAGCTCCACCAATAGTTTTCCGCCATGTCTGCATCAAAAAAATTAAAAATATAAATATAATATTTTTTTTATCTTGCGTATAGGTACGTATAACACAAGTAATATAAAAAAGAGCAATAGAAACCAGAAATACCAATACAACAAACTTCATTTTCTTCCCAAAAATGAAAAAGGAAAATTCAAGGGGAAAAGAAAAGGAAAAGAAACGAGAAGAAGATGTTGAAAATGATTGGTATCTACTTGCAAAATTAGAGATGAAAGATTTTGGTTTGGGTCATTTTCTTGACCAAAATGATGAGCATAAATATAATCATATCTATGTCCTATTGTATAGCTTCAGAGAGTAGCTATTAGATAACTTATCAATATTAAAGTATTATTTAGGAGTGAGAAAAAAAATAAAAAAATAAAAAATTAATTTGTAATTATAGTGTTAGGTTTGTTTTGGTTTGATTTTTTTGTTAGGTTGGATTAAATTTAAATATTAAAAAATATTATATTTAAATTAAAAAATAAAAAATTAAATTAAATAGAATTATATATTTTTATTAATTTATATATATTTAAAATTTTTATAAAAAAAAAATTTTATATCAAAATTTATTTAAATATATTAAAACAATATATATAAATTAAAATTTAAAAATTAATATACTAAACCGAACATGTAAAATTTAGTTCAATTTAAATCAAATAATATAAAAAATAATTTGAATCGAATTTTAAAAATTTATAATATTATGTAATATCTAAAAAAATTAAAATGAATTTAATTCAATCTAAACTATTATTATCTTAATTTTATTATATTATAATTAATTTTCTCATTTATTCATTTAATCATTATGTGTTAACTCTACAAATTGAGATTGATTTTTATTTAAAAATAATAATAAAATCCACAAAATAGGAGATTAAGAGAGCTCAAACTATAGTTAAGTCCTTAACTCTTACCTTCTCGATGGTGCCAAAAAGGGATCTGCTTTTGATTTCCCTAGCTCTTAAATGGGACCTCCCAACCCCAAGTTGCCTAAGCAATGTGGAACGCCGCGTCGCCGCTGGAGGAAGAAGCCATTTCCTCTCCACTAAGCTGGTGCTGCTTTCATTGCCTGAAGGACTCTCACACTGACTATAGCCACCTGATTCCCTTCTCCTCGCCGTTTTCCTCCGTTTAACCACCACCACCCTTAACTCCTTCCTTGCTGAACATTTATGAGCAGCATCATCTTCCAGTTCAGCAAACTTCCTCAGCAGCTCATCGGATGATTTTTTAGTCACATGTTGAACTTGAACATTACTAGGGTTAGCATTAGCAGCAGCTTCCATTGTTAAAAAAAAAAAAAAGAAAAAGAGCTAAGAGTTTTGGATTAGATCAGAAAGAGGGAGAGAAATATTACTATATTAGCGACGAAAGAGTACGTATATAAATGGTGGGTGGTGTTTTCGGTTGGTTTGTGGGAAAATGGAAATGGACCGTTGGGGTGAGTGAATGATTTGAATAATGAACGTAGCCGTTGGGTTGGGCGGAGGGGAATGAACAATGGGATTTTTGAGAAGAACGATGCGTAGGGATTGGGTTGGACTTGGACATGTGGCTTTTAATGACGACATTAATACTAATAATTTCACTTAGGTTGGTCAGATCTCTCTGTAAAATGGGCTCTCCCCATGTTAGTTTTGCTGACAAACGGGATCTGATTGAACAACACGTTTTAGTGTGTAATTGTCATATGTATTGTATTTATTTTTGCATTTTTGGTTGGTTAGACTGTTTGAGGGTAGAGCAATCTGATTAATAATAAGAAATGCTCGAAGATCAAACTTGAGACAGTTGGGCACCCTTTGCATTTGTATTTCAAGCGACGGTTGAGGTTTTCTTTTCCAAGGGGTCTTTTCAAGACAATATGCTCAGTACAGCTCACATAAATTAAGGTCCTTTTCCATTTGTTTCCATCAATGTACGCTTCGGCTTTTCTATACTCTTCGGCTTTTCTTCTTCTGGGGCAGTTATAGATCCTTTCTCAGGGATTGATGTTAACATGGAACATGAGATTGCATTGTTCAACCATATATCATATGACAATAAAGTAAAAAAAAAGGAATAAAAAATGATATCAGCAAGCTGAAGCACCCTGTTAATCATGGAGTTATCCCTAACTTCCTATCAAAATTTATGTTCAAAGAGAAGAGACATGAAGGGAGATCATAGAACATCATATTCTGTTTTACTCGTCAGTCGTATATTTCAATTAACAAAGAGAAGAACAACCATTGTTTTCTTTGTTTGATGCAGGTCGCACTGATTTTTTTTTCCCCATACAAATTGTAATCAAATTATAAATAGTTCATAAGTTAGTAAAATTTAGCAGATCCACAATGCTATTTGGTATTTAAACTCCATACCATGTTATGAGCTGAATTGGGCCCCAAAAGTAAGAGTGCGGCATTCAAGATTTCTCATGTTGAGCTGCAAATAGAAAAACAAAGATTAGAAAGGATGGTGCATGTTACCAGAGAAAGCTTATAATCATGTAATAAAAAGAAATAAGACATTTGCCTATGTCTTTAAACCTGCAAAAAATCAATTAACTCTTACTTTTCTGGGCGCAACTGATAAAGTCTATGAGAAAAAACTTTACTAAATTGTGCTTATTTCCATTTCCTGATCATTTAACAAAGGAAGTAACAAATAAAACCTGTTTTCCAGTGGAAATAGACAAGCTGCCAGTTTAAAAAAAAAAAGAACCAAGGAGGAAGCATCTCTACAACTACAGTAAACAAGGTTATTATATCCATATATAGTTATATACACGTTTCCTTTGACAACTCTGGCAACCAAACAAGCAGAGCAAAAGTAACACGTAAAACTGACAGACAAAAATGTGCAAAATGTCACGGAAGCTTATTATCTGTTCTTTTCTTTGAACAATCCCAGTATTACTTTCCTTTCTTTTTGGAGGGGGTTGAGGTTTGGTGGCTATTCAACTTAGTGCAAACTCAAGTCTTGTAAATAAAGATTCCTCATGAGACCTGCACTGAATCCAATGACTCATGATTAATCCATAAAACTGGCTATGTGCTAAGTACATTTTTCTTCTTATTTATTAAGTACCATGGATCAGGTGATTTGAAAGTCAAACTCCATACAGTGCTTTTACTTACACATGTATAACAGTTTACTATCAACACTTAAATTAGTTACAATCTTCCACTCAGTGTAACTTTTATTTATATACTAAAATAGAATAAATGACACTACCCAAATGGAAAGCAAGCTACCACAGAGTTACTCCGATGGTATTTGACCCACATTTCCCCTCTCTTACCATTTTCTTGTTTTTTTTTCTCTCTTATCGACTCTGAAGAAGAGTCCTAGATGTATAACAATAACTTTTATGCACATGCATTGGGTAGATGACTAGAATGTTTCTTGTCTGAACAGGCTGACACAAACAAAAGCACTTGATTAATTATCATTTATTTAGTAGAGAGGGATGATTTTGGATAAAGGACAGCAAGAACAAGATTATACTCTATTTTACTGCTTTAAAGTAACATCACACTATATAATAGATTGAAGACATTGTTCATCATGTGCCATTTCCACCATGCTAGCTTAGGTCTTGGGTAATGCATAACACAGGCATGGATATCCTCAAACTAATAAAAACGTGGTAGCTTTATTTCCTAGTTTCAGCATCTTGGCAGGAGACAAATGCTTACCACAACAGCAACTCCTGTTTCGCAGAATCTAGGAATGCAAATAAGTCTTAACAATTGCCCTTCCATTCCTGCATCAGTTAATAGTAAACTGAGTTTTACTGGCCAGGTATTGAAATAAGGATGCTACCTTTTTTAAGGTAATTTTCAATTGGTAAGTGCAAGTTTGGAGTAATTACCTTTTAATAAATGAGTTTCATATTTTTCCTGATTACCAACAAAGTAAACATGAGGACAACTATCAATTAGGAAGGGATCCCGATCCGTGAAAGGGTAACATCCTGTCAGATAACAACAGGCAGTAAACAACTGACATAAGCTAATAAACAGTTATATTATGTTAATTTAGCACACTAAAACAGTTATTGAATTCATTTTGAACTCAAGATCTGAAACATGTCAATCTCGTATTATTACTCAGGATCAATCTTGTATTATAAAATCACAGACTTCTTCCGTAAGTAAGTCCTTTTTTTTGAAGACTATATGATTCGATGATGTGCTCAGCCTGTCAAAATTTCCAGGCTAACATATAAAAATGACTAAATCATAAAGATGCAAATTGTACTAGTTTAAGAATGAAAATATAAGAACATATAAAAGTTTTACCAAGGGTATTAGGTGCTGTTGGTGCCAGATGCCTCCATCTTAATGTCCTTTCCAAAAAGTCAAGTTTATCCTTTGCCTCTGAATACTTAGCAAGATCATCTATGTTCTGACCTGATGTTCCAAGAAATCTAGAAAATAAAGAGCAGAATGACAGCATCAGTGTATATCTAATCAGGCTGAATACTCACAATCAGTAATATTGATGCATTACCTGATGTTGTCAAGCTCAAAGCAATGAGGATTAGTACAGGACCTAAAAGTGCTATAAGATGCTGACCCTGTTCAAAGGCTGAAAGAAGTAGGATATTATAAACCATACAAGTTCAGTTACAATGTACATACTCTCAACATATAAAACAAACCTGCTGGGGTAAGGAAAAATTTGCGGGGTCAGTAGATCCAGGCATGATATCGAACAGCAAACTTGCTGCAATCTGAAAATAGGTAAAATCAAATAAGCAACAAGGACAATATGGAAACTACAAGAAGCTTACCTTAAGTTGCTGATCATAAAAATGGTGAAAAGGGAAAAACCTGAGTCAAAAAGATATCCAGCTCCTTAATTGACTCTGACAACCTCGACTGGTCCTTTGAAGCTAAATTCTGCTTAAAAATCATCATCCAAATATCAGTTTAAGATGCCTTCAGGATTTTATAAAATATCACCTCTCAGTAATTATTATTTTTATTGTCTACACCAAATGGACCTACTACAACAGCAAGACCTTTGCCTGGAAATATTTAGTTAAATGGAAAGTTAGATTTTTTTTTTGGTTAGGGTGGGGAGGGAGGTGGAAACAGAATTTATGGTTGCTATTGTTTAATTAGAAAATTCAGGAAGGAGGTCAGTGCTATATCCACAATCCACAATGAGACTATTATCACTGTCAGACTACTCTGAATAGAGATCCTGATATGAAGCCAATGATTTTTCTTAATCAAGTACAAAAAGATCAAAACTTATAACAAAAAAGGACAATGTTGACAGGTTTGCCAAGAAAAAAAAAAGGAAAAATTTACCTGGCCACTAAGAAGTCCACGTGAAATTTCAAGAGAGTTCCCAGCACTCAGAAGATGAACTATCTCTACTGTGAGGCCTTGTTCCTATTCAATCAATATTATTAAGTACGCAAGCTGTAACAGTTCACAACATATACAGTAAAAAAGGCTTGAAAAAGGAATATAATAGAATTGGCAAGAACCTTCTCATCTCCCAGATGCCCTGTTATATGATCAACAAGAAGCTGAAATTGAAGGGGATTAGAAGATCTGCTTCCAATGCTAAGCCCAGAAACAAAAACAACATATTTGTCTTCTCCTGCCCACAGTCAAAATTTGAAGCCTTTGAGGCACTCTTTACGGACAGAGGAAGGCCAAATTTAAGACACAGCCTATGTCTACTGAGATAAAATCACAAGGCCTTGTATTAATGAGCCAAATTAAATTCAAATATTAAAGTTAAGAAAAGGTCCAATAATACATTATCAAGCTAATTTCTTCCCAACATTCCCAAAACTCAAACCCATTATTCTGATGTATAAATGGGGAAATCTGACAGGAAACAAGTGGCAGACATGATTCCTTTAACCCTTTACAACGAAAAGCCATAACAATAAACATGAGACAAAACAAGGTACAACTTGTAGCGATTACTTAGACATACTTAAAACATTTCATGTCCTGCAACATCATGGTTAAGACAGAGACAGAGATTGAGAGAGAAAAAGAGCTCTACTTGTCAACACTTACTGAAAATCACATCATGAATCAGCACAATTTTCTTCCTACCATTCCCAAGTTTCAAACCCATTATTCTGACATATAAATGGGGAAATCAGACAAGAAACAACCGGCGGATATGATTCCTTTTAACCCTTTCAAAGAGAACAACAAAGAGCCATAACAATAAACATGAGACAAAACCAGGTACAAATGTAGGGATTACCTAGACATACTTAAAACATCTCATGTCCTGAAAGATCATGGTTAATACAGATACAGAGATTGAGAGAGAAAGAGAGAAAGCTCTGCTTGTCAACACTTGATGACCAAAAATCACATCATAAATCAGCAGAATATTTCCAGCTTTTAAGGATGAATCCTTTCATGACCAATGTGTCACTCCATTTCCTCAATCAAAGTGACTACACCTATTATTCTATACATGGTGAATGATAACTTGCTCAAATAATTTCTCTATTTTAGTACAAACAAAGAAAAAATCAGTACACCAAGCCATCCATAATTTTCTTAGCAAATTAGATAGTAGTACTAATTTAAACAGGGATAACACTTTACTCAGACTATGTAAAATGAGGAATGACTATAGCCAACAGACAAGTAGCTCCTTTACAGGGTTCTAGTGCAGCTTTAAAATACTAAGAACACAACATTTGGGGAGAGTGGGGGCAGTCAGATCGTACTTGATTTGAGTGGTTGTTGGATCTGAGGTGGTAGGCCAGCTTCCAGAACATCTTCAACAAAGAAGTCTCCTGCACTGGTTTCCTTTCCATGCAATGCAACAACAACACCTATCAAATTTATTATGTAACTGCAAGTCAACATGCTTCATAAGAGTAATATTTGAACCCTTAAATTCCAGTAATTGAAGCCTTGATTATGCATAAGCACTAGGTTGTTGGAAATCACTCAATTACATGCATTTTCTAGATCTTATAAGTTTAAATTTAATAATAAGGAGAAATGGAAAGTTCATAAAATGGTGAGTAAAACTGAATGCTTTCAAGAGGACAAAAGGATGGAATGAGCCAAATAGTTCAAGCTCTTAACATGCCGATATGATGAAAAATTGATCATCGAGAAGCTGAAGAGCACATGAGTGCAATTAACAGTTTGATAATGCCTTAAAGTGCAGTTTATAAAAAGGGTTTTGAAGCAATTGATTGCAATAAATGCGCTCATTTCCAATGGATTAACAAAAACATGTCAATTGCAAATAGAAATTTCTATAATACTGTCAACTGATTGCAATACAGACCTGTCACATAAACAGAAGGTGAGAGTATAGTGCCGCTAATCTTAACTCTTCCGCTTTCATCTTCCAAAACCAAATAATCATCTTGATGCATAAAATTATTAGGTTTTACAAGAGGGGTAACAGATCTCAGTAAATTATAGAAAGTACCTTTGAAGTCAAATACATTGAATTTTCCATCTAAAGGTCAACATACAAAACGAAAAAAAATAAATTGCCTCCATTGACAACCATAATACCTCCTTAGAGTATTCATCAAGAATGCAAGGTTTGAGCTTCATATGCTTGTAAAGGGTCCCAACAATAATGCATTCTTTGCCTTCTTCAAGCTCTAAAACTGTACATAATGCCAAAAAAAGATACAATACAAGAGATTACTAATATATTCAAAACACCATTATCTTTTATCCACAAATATTTTGAGGACTGGCTTTGCCCTTGGTCTTCAAAACTCTAAATGAAAAAAGAAACCAATGGAGTCAACAGAATCCCAAATACACACAAATGGTATTAATAACAAACTCACTAAAAAGTATAAGCAAATAAAACCTAGAGCATTATCAAAATTCAAATTTCTCAAAATACAGGCTGTCACCTAGAAAATGCTTTTGAATGAGAAATCCACCATTAAAAAGTAGAAATACTCTATTTTCAGACCAGCCCCCTATGAGTATGCGTATCGGTAATAATGCAAGCATTTTGAATATAACCTTCCACTCGAATCACTCAAAACCTCCAAATGAATCTAAATAATCACAAACTAAGCTCACAACCAATTAAAAGCCAAAATCAAAACTTTTCTCATATTAGCTGCCAAAACCCTAAAACACTGCAAATTAAAAAAAAAAAAAGTCATCAACGACAATAGGAGGGAACAAACACTCCCAACCAATGACCTCGTCAAAGCTGCCAAATTCAAAACCCAAAACCCATAAGCAGAGTACATTAACTATAATTAATTAACCTCCGCCCCCCCCAAAAAAAACCCTAATTTTGACCCCAGAAAAATGGTAAAAATTAAAAGTTCAAGTACAAAAAGAAACTAAAAGAAAGGTCACCGGGGAGATGGGATTTCCAGTTGGGAACAAGAGAATAGAGCAAAGTTATCATAATGTGGAGACGAGCAAAGTAAATTTGACTGTACTGTTGGCCTCCATAAACTTCCTTCTGAATCTCGAAATTCTCATCCTACAACCCCCAAAAAAGGGCTTAACTTTCTTCAAAATGTGATGAGATTTAAGGATATTACAGTAAAAAAAGAGAGCTAAAAAGAATTGAAAGGCAGAAAATGGGGTAAAAGAAAAGAAAATAACTTACTAATGAGAGGTAAGTAGACTGTTTTCTCCGCGGCAGCTTTTGCGAGTCCACTTCCATGGCGGGAAAAATAGAGATGGAGACTGAAATTCCTTGGCTTCCCTTAGTGAAGAGATTTAATACGATAATTTTAAAAAATAAAAGATTAAAACTGATTCTTGTATAAAATATCACGAGGGGATGTAGCTCAAACGGTAGAGCGCTCGCTTTGCATGCGAGAGGTACGGGGTTCGATACCCCGCATCTCCATTTTCCATGATTCTTATTTTTTACATTACGTGGCATTTTTTTTTTGCAACAAATTATTTTTATTCCATTTTTTTCCTTTCCAGATATTCTCTGATTATTATTATCTTCTATAAAAAAAAATAAAGGCTCTATAATTAAATAGTAATGAATAATAATATAATTGCTACTGGAAAATAACCTTGAAATATCCAACTTTTCATTTTAAACAAAATTTGTTGAAAATTTATATATTTACGTACCTAAGAAAAAAACTATCCTTGTCTTTTTTTTTCTTCTACAGTTTGAAATTAATTTCATGCATAAAAAAAATAAATACAATATTTTTCATAAAAATAAAAAGATTAGCACCAGAGTTTTGCTATGTTTATTATATGTCAAAATTTTACCAATAAAATACATATAATTTTGAAATTTTCTTTTCATTGAAAGAGTGGTTTAATACCATTTAATCAATATAAACACGGGACTAATTAAAACATTAATTTCTGAATTAACTTGATTAAATCTTTAAGAGGAAAAAAATTTTCCGATATTTCAAACTCACCTGAATGCATCCAATTGTCCAAAAAAATTTACATAAATATTAATCTATTAAATTTATGTAATAAATGACTATTAATCTTTACTTTTCAAACATTTAACAGATCAGCATTTTAAATTCTTTAATTAGAATTAAAAATGATTTTGACATTTTCTGTTTTATATAACCAAAAGTCGGCAGCAGTCATAGTCATTAGTAGTCGCAGTTATTATTATTTCTTTCTTCGACAGAAATGTTTCCCGTTTGCCCTTTTTCTTTTTTTATTTTGATTTTGATTTTATTTTGAAACATAAAAAAGTTTCCGTTTCCTCCAACAGGTCATCAAATTTTTAATGTAAAAAGTCTCTCTTTTACAAAAAATAAATAAATAAATAAAGGGAAAGCCTTAACAAAAATTTCCGTTTATCAATGGCTGCTCTACAGGGATTGGTTCCTGCAATTTCAGCGATTCGCTCGAGCTTCTCTTCCTCGTCTTTGACAGGAGTTTCTTTCATTAGACTGCCGGAGTATGACCGGAGGAGATCCGGCCACGGGCGAAACCGTCGTAGAATGGCCTGTAGTGCAATGGTCCAGCAAGCAATGCTGGGAGGATCTCCGGCTACTTATGCTAAAGAGATGGAACGACTTTCTGCTAAGGAATCTCTGCTTCTTGCTGTGAGTTTCTCCTTTTTATTTGAATTTTTTTTTTTAATTTTGATTATTAATAATTTTTTATAGTTATAGAAATTGCCTAAGGAAGACAGTGATTTGAAATTTTTGAGGGCTTTCAAGCCAAATTTTGATAGGAAGAATCAAATTAAAAGTAATTGCCTTATTCTCACACTTGGCACTTTTTTTGAATAAGTCAAAGCTGTTTCAGTTTAGGTGCTTAGGTTCTGCCTGGGAATTGTCTTTTCTTGCTATGTGCTAAAACAGTTGGTAAAAAGTTTCATCTTTTCTATTTTCAGGACCTGTAATGTTAATCTTGTCTATAATAGTATAATAATTTGGTTTAGTCCTTCTGTTGAATGACTATAATAGTTACTAGAAAGGAGAAAATGAATCAGTGGGATAGTTTTGAAGTTACATATGGGGAAAATTGTAGCTATCATCTGAGACCTTTTTTAATTTAGTTTCATTTTCATCTATGACATTTTAATTTCAAAATCCTGACTTAATCCTGGGCTTTTTTAGAAGTGTATCAATGCTATCCTTTCTTCAATTAGGCACTAAGTTTTGATGGAAATGGTCACTTACGCAACATGTGGTGTGCCATGTGGCAAGTATGAGTTCGAAAGAAATAGGGTAACTTACACCCATTGTCCGTGATGTTTCCATATGATTTCATTGTCATTTATTGCTTTTCAACAACCTGGATCTTTTACACAACTTCTTATATATACAATAACCTGTCTGGCATGAACTCATGACATTGTGGTACAAGTTTAGAAGAAAATTAAATTTATAAAATTTGGGAAGGTATTTCTTGAAATTAGTTGATAGGCATTTGAGTGTTGTGAGAGAAAATAAGAACCATAAGTTGATTGAAAAAGAAAAAGAGGGAAAATGAAGTAAAATTGGGGATGCTCTAGTGCCAGCGGTGAAGTACTGGAGTCAACTTGCTGATGCCAGTGACTGGAATGGTTGATAAGGTGAAGTAGAGGGGTTTGTATTTGTGACAGTGCAGAGAAAGAGAGAAGAAATGCAAGAGAAGTGCAGAAAAAGGGAAAGAAAAAGAAAGGAAGAAGAAAGGAAAATGAAACATAAATAATGTGGCTGCCACATCAATGCTTCTTTGGGCATTTATATGAAAAGTGCCATCCTTTTTCCACGACAACCAAATGGTGGATAAGGCCAAAGCACTTATGAAAGGTCATGATGCATTATGTTAAAATTGATGATAATACAATTGCATAAAATGGTCACCTCATGGGTGCAATTCACCTTTCTTTCACTTCCCATACTTGTGGCTGACATGTTGCTTATGTGGCTGCCACATCAATGCTTATTTGGTATTTATATGAAAATCTCCATCCTTTTTCCAATGACCAAATGATGATGTCAAAGCACTTATGAAAGGTCATGATGCATTATGTTAAAATTGATGATAATAAAATTGCATAAAAAGGTAGTGGATCATGGGTGCAATTCTCCTATTTTTCACTTCGCATACTTTTTAGATGGAATGCTACTTTTGCTTATGTGACTATTTGTATAAACTTTCTGAAGTCTGACCAATGAAAGGATGAAATTGGCACACATATGACATGCCATGGAGTATTATGTTAAAATTGACAGTGGATGATAGGTGTAATTTGTTCTATCCAATGTATTTCTTTAATTTTCTCATTGGTCAATCTGCATATTGTCTAGCAGTTATCGTTCACTCAGAATGCAATACAATAATAAAATTTGTCCGATTTGTTTATGAAACAAATTCCTTATAGTTTATTGTTTTTATTCTGTGGTAATTGATTATTCTAACTTCAAGCCAGTATTTGAAGCTAGATACTTTCAATGAATTTATGTCACCTAAAGATTGAGTAATCTAACTTATCCGTTACTTCTTGGTGAGTGTTTGATGAAGTATACATGTATTTTTCTGCACCTTCACGCTTGAACTTTCATCTTTACTTTGTTAATGCTCTTTCAGTTTAAGGATGCTGGGGGTTTTGAGGCTCTCGTTACAGGAAAGACAACAGATATGCAACGAATTGATGTGAATGAGAGGATAACTGGTCTTGAGAGGCTCAATCTAACACCAAGGCCTACAACGTAGGTGCTTATGCAAAGAACGAATTTTGGCATGTTCATCTTTTCCATTAGACTTTTATTTGTTAATATAGCTTTCCAGGTCTCCCTTTCTAGAAGGTCGATGGAACTTTGAGTGGTTTGGGTTCAGAAGCCTAGGACTTTTTGCTGCTAGAATCATATTTGAGTGAGTTTCCTTTGATAGCTAATGATCTCCAATTTTTCTGAGTGACTGGCAGCTAATCTTCTTGGTGACCCCTTTGTACTTTGCAGGAGATTCCCTTCGACATTTGCAAATTTGTCAAAAATGGATTTGCTTCTTAAGGATGGATATGCAAAGGTTACAGCACACTTGAAACTGCTTAACTCGGTAAATGTTTCCTCAGCAACATTATATGCTCGCCTTCTCAAGTATCAGTATGGTCTTCCATATGAAGTGCTCAACCTTGAACTTTATATTGATGTTCAGCTATCATCTTCCTTTATTTAATCATGCATAGCACCATATTATTGCTAGCTTATGTAAGTCGGATGTGAATTAAATCAAATTGCTTTAAATTAATTCTTTTAAAAAGATGTTTTAGCCAACTACATGTACCATGTGGTCTCAAATCTTAGTAGTTTTCTGGACAACAACAGCTACAAAGTGCTACTAGTTATTAATTGTACTTGAGTATTAAGTAAAACATGAAAAATTTTGCTAATTTGTTGCCCAATGGAAGTGGTGTTGACCGTCATTTGCTTCAAAATGATATAATAAACCCACGTGCAGAAACTATGTAATATCCTGGACGTAATTAACTAGTTTATTTTTTTTCTTGACTATGGAAGTGGGTAAAGATTGTGTTTATCATTTTAACCAACCGAAGGAAATTGTCCTTAATTTTAACTAGATGGATGAACATCCTAATCCTTCATTGGTGTCATATTGGATTAAAGAGATGAAGTACTTTGAGATAATAGTATTTTTCTTCCACTTAAAAGTACTTGTATTAGCTATTTTGCCTGAGCTTGTCTGCTAGAAAAATTGGTCCTCACTCAACTTCATTATATATGGTTGAAATATTGCTGTTTAGAAAGGTGGGGTGGGCTTCTGTTAGTGTGAGATTTGGCACCATTAGTATTGGCACCACTAGTTAAAGGATTTTGGAATAACAATGTATATCAATGATTCCTCTTTAAAAAGTTCTCTTTTATTTCTGTTACTGTCAAATTTAAATAACTGGAGACGAATTTAGAATCATTGCCTACCTCTATTTCTTTGTTTCCTTTGAGCATTTCAAACTTGGTGCAATGGTAAGATTGCTCCATTAAGATTTGTAGATCACGAGTCGAAGATGTGGAAAGCAGGGTAAGCTTGGACCCTCCCTGGACATTATGCAAGCCTTTGTATTGGCTGCCCACTGAAATTCCTCTTCTAGTTTCTCATTTGTCTTCTATCATGTGCTTGTATTGCATACAACTTCACAATTCTTTAATTGAAAAGTGGAACAAGTGTTATTCCTCATTTAGCATTTCAGTTTTCTGTTTCTAAACTGCTACTTGAATTTTGATCAAGAGTTATGCTAGCTTTGATTAAAAAACTTTCTCAAGTATTAGAGTTAATTAAAATAGCCACTTTTTTCAACTTTTTCTAACTGTATTTTGTCTGAGTGCTGGGAAAGCTCTCCTTATTACACAATTTTCAAGTGATATAAGGCTATCTCTGGTGGAATGCAGATAGAAAGCAAATTTATTCTTTCCACCAGGGTATCTGTTCAGGGACCACTACGAATGAAAGAAGAATACGTTGAGGCGATACTTGAATCGCCAACTGTTGTTGAAGAAACAATACCAGAACAGTTGAAAAGTGTATATAGTCAGGCTCTTACTACTGCCCAGCAACTTCCAGTTCCTATTAGGGATGCAGTGGCCAGTGGACTGAGAGTCCCTCTGAGTAAGCATTTTGATATTTTCTAATTTTTCCCCTGATATCTCTAGCTGAGAGTAATATAGACCGTTAATGTACATAATTGCACAAGACCGAGCTGAAATGACCACAAAAAACCTAGTTGAAAATCCAATCTAGGATGGCATTATGAGAAACAGTATTCTTACTTATGTTCTTGTGGGTGAATATTGTAGCCCATGGCCATATGATCTTCATGGATGCTAGGTATTAATTTCACTTTTGGCACCTATGGGATTTCTCCTTTTGCAGACATTCACAGTAGTAGTAGCACTATCGACTTGCTTTGAAGTATCTAAAAAATATTGGAAATGACCATTCCTTTTGCCATTTTCTTATGATTCAGCTCCTATATTTGAATTGTAGATAGAAAGTTAATGTCTGGTGATTAAATAGCCTTTGAAGGTACTGACTAGAGTTGTTATTGTCATGATGCATTTTCTTTTGGTGGAGAAAGCTGTTGATTATTTGGAAATCCTTTTAGAGGTTGCTATATGAAATGGGATTCTTTCTTTTGAGAGCAATAAACATGGGCATTTAAAAATGCTGAACTGCATCTCAAGATGGCCAGTGTACTTCTTATTAGAGATTTGTCATGGATGTAGCCACCCTTTTTGTAAAACTCTAAAAAGGTTATTGGAAGATGGTTTGGCTCTGTTTCTGCAGCAGCATAAGGAGACCGGCTAAGCTGATAATGCTTACATGCTTATATGGCTTTATTGTGGATTTTCAAACGGAAATAGTAAATCCAATTGGTTAATTCGTATTTTGTTCCATGTAGTGGAAAAATATTACCAGCTAATTGTGATGGCAACTGTTCATTTAATAAACTTCTGTTAGATTAAAAAAAATGTAAGCTAAAAGAGTGGTTATATCATGAGTTATCATCTCTGTTCTTTTAAATTCCCTTGTATAATATGGAGTTGCCACCCCTCGATTTGGGAACCTTTGGATATTTGCCAGTCCAGCAGTTGAACTTTTGACTGGTTGGTGCCGGTAGGATTTTAGGAAAAGGGGTTGTTGTCTCAGGCAAGTCCATCTATTCTTAAGGGGAATGAATTGTTGGAGTTTACTTCTAGCCCGGTCAGTTGTTTGAGGAGATAGGAAGGTGGGCAAACACAACAAAATTAAAGATTCTCATAATAAATTGTCTTTCTGAATCTCAATATGTAGTTTGTTTCTCATCTGTTTTCTTTCCACTTCTGTAACATGTTTGTTTCTGGTTTCTGTTGTAAAATTAATGTATACAAATTTCAAAAGGTGATTGTTTAAATGCTTTTTCCTTTGAGGGACACTAGTTTTCAAATTTTGCAATTTACTAAGTCAAATAGAGGATGTTGTAAATTCATCCCTCCCCTCCTCCAAAGCATAGCAACCTGTTCCTCTATATACTTCAACAAATAGGCTACTCCTACTAATTGATAAAGTTATTACCTATGAACAAAGAGAAGAACCAATGCACTTGCAATGGAATCATTGCCTAAATTGATGGTAAAAAATCAGTTCCATGAATGGATTCTGTTCCAATTTTGTCATCACCCGTGACTTTGGAAGCAATTTGGCCAGTTGCCCCTTCCTGGATTATTAGTGTGTTAAGGGTAATATGGTACAGAGAAGGAAGCAATAAAGTTCATGATTAAGGGTAAATTACATAGCTTTTCTGTTTGATATTCAACTCTTTTATGAATCTGAGCTGAAGTTTCTTTGTGTTTCAAGGTGGGACATTCCAGAGACTGTTCATGATTTCTTATCTTGATGAAGAGATCCTTGTAAGTTTTATATCTGTAATTTGTTGTCCTTTTTCCTTTTGATTTTGGAATTATCTTTACACTTTTTGGCCGTTAGGTTGTTCTCTAGATAAATCATTGTTAAAGTTGACAATAACATAAGATATAATGAGTACATCACATAGATGTAATTAGCAAGTGATCCACTGACCAAAGGTTTGAAATGGTTATTACATGCCTTGAGAAAAATGGAATTTTACCATTGATTTCTTTTATTCTGAGAACTAATGAATCAAGTAGAGCAGAATGATTTCAAAAGAAAATGGATTTTTTGTTGTAACCCAAGTGTAGCATATCTGTGCTTTGGATTAGCTATATGATTTTCCTTTTGTATTTTAGTTTTTTCCATGGCCATCTGTTCTTATGATTTATTTCATTAGATTCATTCACTTCCCCACTGATCTTGGGTTCCTTTCGGTAAAGTTCATATGAACTATATCATTCCACTTAAAATATTTGTAGTCACTGTTTTTGTTCACACCTTAGCAAAAGGTCTCTCAATCTGTTGGACATTTTGATCGGTAAGCTGATAATTTTACAGCATCATAACCTTAACATTAGTTTGCTAAGCATCTGTCATCTGAGCTTAAGATACTAGACTGAGAAGGTTAAATTTGCCCAAGAACCTTAAATTTCCATTTCTTTTTGCCGTGTAGAAGCAATTCTTAAGATTAAGAGTTTGCTATAGATTTATGGTATTGACAATGAGGCTTCTGCTGTCAATAACTTTTGTATATGATGAATTGATGTTACTAGATATATACTGCTCAATGCGAGATCACATGATTTAAAATGGCAGTTAAACAAAAATCTGAGAAGGGGAAAGAGAGAAAAAAAAGGCTAAGACCTATTTCTTCTAGTTGGATAAAATTGTAGAATTAAAAATAACAATGAAAGCTAATGATGCATTCTGCTTTCCTTGATATCGAATCTGTAATGCAGAATTCATAGGTGCCCTAACTTTGCAGATGAATTTCCTGACTTGAATAAATGATCTATGGATCTTGAAATTTTTTAGCCCTAGAATGCAATAGGTGTAGCATAAATAATCACCACTTTCAGAGGTAACTGAGTGAATTGAATTTTGAATTCTTTCTGTTGCTTGTTGCAGATAATTAGAGATACTGCTGGAATACCTGAAGTTCTTACTAGGTTGGATGCAACCTCGTCTGGCATGGCGGAAACTAACCCAAACTATGGGAACTAGCATGTCATATACATGTCCTAGAACTGTGTCTTTGTTTTTATCTCTAGTAATTCAATCTCTTAATGTATTGTCATTCCTGTTTAACCGTGTTCGACATTCCTTTAAGTCAAATAGTGTATCAAATTCTTGAATTCCACAAGAAAATTCATACATTCAACTTATAATTCATAGTACAATTCATTTATTGTTAGGATCATCAGTCAAAATCCCAAGATCATCCTAAAATCGGTCCAAATCAATAGATCAAATTATAAATGGGTGAAATTGGATCATTGCTCACCTTTGTTATAATAAATTCTAAAACATTTTTGTAATATCACATAACTATTACAAGTTTTGAGAGAAGTTTTAATTTGGTCTTTATTGAAGTTTAATATTAATTTTGATTAATGTTATTATTACTTAATTAATAATTAGTAAACATTTGAAATAAAAATTTTACTTTTTTTCCTCATACAACTATAGTAGGAAAATTATATTTAGTTGGAGTTGTTTTTACTTAACTAATAAATCTCAAAGAAATCAAATGGATTTCATTGTCTTTATTACTATTTTTAAATACAATTTAATTAATTAATGTTTGAAAATATTTTACACGAACATAACATATTTATTATGAATTACAAAACATAACAAGATTAATTCATTAATATAATTAATCTGTTTAAATATGGTATCATTAACATGATTAAGCATAATTAAATATAAACTCGATAATATAAAATTTGAACTGGGTGTATGCTATTCTTATTGTGTTAATGGGTCGTTACCAAAATAATTTTAGTGGGATATTTTGGTAGTATTTGATAAAATAAAATACTACGTAAACAAAAAGATATGGCGACGAAGAAAGCCCTTTCACATTCTTTATAAAATTACATTATAATTAATTAAAGCTTAATAAATTTGGCCCTCTTATTTTTATCCTTCTATTTATATATATAATCATCTAACATATATATCACACATCTTGATTTTCAAGTTGGAGCATTAGATGAAACCAATCATCCTGAAGCCAAATATTTAGCAATTCTGAAAGTGATGTTTGGAGCTAGGTCATCTATCTGTTTCAATACTTAGAACCCCATTGGCCTCATCATCGCATAGAAAATGGAAAATCTATGTTTTTGTGTTTGTTCTTGACTTTGTTGCTATTTTATAAACATGGCAAGTGGCACACTTGGCTAAGGAGAGGTTTTTTTTTTGGGTACTAAAATAAGATCTAAAACAAGTGGTTTAAAGACAAAGCGCATGATCATATGGTAGTATTTTAATATTCAAACAATCAATTCATAAATTCAAAATTAAGAATTCCCTTTTTCATATTTCAAAAAAAAAAAAAATCCCTTTTTCATCACAATTTGTAGTTATAATCCATCGTTTTATTTTCGTCTCGAGATAAAAGAGAGATTGAAAACCCTAATTTTTGTTCTCTCCAAATATCATCAAAATACCTTAAATCTTTTTTTCATGTCCTTTTAAAGCTAAATATCCTAGCCTAATTCTTGATATACATCAACACAGTGATTTAGTATATCATTTACCCGTGATCCTTTTTTTTTTTTTTTGGAAAGAATTACATTGAAGAAAAAAAGAAAAAAAAAAAAACTTGTACGTAATAACAACCTAGAGTTCATACGGGATAAAAGTTAAGTTTTAATTTTTGATAATGTACATTAAAAAAACAACAAAAATAATTTTTGTGAAAAATATTCCGAAAATAATATCTTAAAAGCAACAAGTTGATGTAAATGGAATACTTTTAAAGTCGTTTAAAAAAGAATATTAAAGCAACACGTCCTTCTTCACATCCTTCCCACCACCATTCCATTGACATTCTTATCCAAGTCTATAGTCATCAATTAACTATAAAAGAGGCTGAAAAGCCAAGGGCTATTTTCTTCTTAAAACAATAGGGTAATGGTAATTTGCAAAGAAATTATATATTTTATAGATGTGTTTGGTGTATAAGATTATGATAAGATAAAATAAAATGATATTATAAATACAATTAAATTAAATAATATCATCTTATTTTTTTGTTTCATGTATGCAAGAATTAAAATAAAATAATTTATTTATTTGTCAACATGATTTTTTTTCAAATTTTATATAATTTAAATTATTAATGTAATTTTTAATGATATAATTAAACATATAAGTTTAATCTCCTGAATTAAAAATAATCATTTTCACTTGAGGAGAATTAAATCATTCTATGTTAAAAGGATGATTAATCATCCTTACAATCTTATTATTGTCTTTAGTTATAAACTAAATATGATATAAGATAATTATAATTTTATCATATTCATTATCTTACATATCAAACATAATTTATACTCGATAGTTTTAGATTATTAGCCGGTGGTTCATATCTCAATTTTCAAACTCCTTAGCTTTCCAATTTTTTATTAGCCCAATTGGTCGGTTCTATTCTATGAACCGTCCAAAGTAAATATTTAATATTGCAATTTGCTAATAAAGTTTACCAAAAATGTTGACTTAAATATTAGGTGTCTAAAGTCAAATATCAATGCTAACCTTTGCCTCCAATGTTGGGTTAATTTCTTTTAGCTTGGATAAGCACATGATTTTGGTCAAAATTTAAGCCTCAAATTTATTAAATGTCAACTCTTAAAAATAATTATACGAAACAATTAAATTTAAATTTAAATTTAATAAAATAATAATTTTAGTTTGATTTTATATATTTTCTTTGGGTGATTTCTATCTTAAGAAATCCTGTCCCTGTTGAAGAAGTAAATACAAGTTTACAACCAGACGCATGTTCTCTCTGTGTCCAGCACGTATAATTCAATTTACCCATATTCTCTGGATAATCAATCTGACAAAAAAGAAGAAAAAAACAAAATTAAGATCTTCCTTTACTGAACACTAACAACTGTTTTATTCTTCTGATCTTACCATAAATAAAAAGATTCATGGAATTTTGTCTTCTTTTCACCTGTCTACAAATATTCATCCATTATTCCTCTCTAATAATCTAAATTAAAATAAGCTTAGCAGGAACTAATTCAATTGGTAAGACTTTGGGTTTGATAGTGAGTGGTCTTTGCATATAATATCAAGTTTTATTAATAATTTCTTGTTGATGTTTATCTCAAATGAATTGCTTTCATAGGGTACAACATATCTTCTCTTAATTTAAGAGATAGAACATTATACTTTATCTATTCATAATTTTATGTAAAAGAAAATTTTAGATCACAAATTTTTGTTGCATAAAAATTGTAATTTTAAATCGAAATTTTTAGTTACAATTAAAGAGATTTTATTTGCACTTCATCTTAATTATTTCACTTGGAAAAATGTAAAAATAGGAAAAATCGCCTTATAATAGTTTTTTTTTTTTTTTAAAGGAATTTTACATCAAATTGGAGGGGAATAAGAAATTAAAAGTATACACAAGTTTTACATTCAAACTTGGTTAAATTTTTAGAAAACCTATAGCTTTACTATAAAGTGTTCAAATGGTTAAAAAAGGGTGAGGTTACATCAATTAACCATTATATAAGTTGCCATATTAAGTTAAAAAAAAAAAAAACTCATTATCAAATCAAAAGCTAGGTTTTCTCAAAATTGTGATGCTTATGAGATATGCATCAAAAGATTGCTTACTGCTAAGTGCTAACATCCTATTAGTGGGAGGCAACTTGAAGGGATATAAATTCATTTGTTATAGTAATTATTATAATATAAAGATCATAGCCTTGCAAGAGAAGAAAGACATTTATCAAAGCAAATAACATAATATTACTAACAATTGCGTTGATTATTGATAAAATATTATAGTATTAGTTTTAATTATCGGAATTCAAATCAACCAAAATAACATGATATAGTTTTTCTATTTCATGTTTGGTCTGCCAAACTGCTATTCTTCCCAAAGGTAAGAAGAAAACACCCATTTTAGATAAGAAAAAGGCGATTGCACAGTCCAAAGGAAAAGAAACAAAATCCTTCTTAATTAAATTAAAATGAATGTAATTTAGAAAAGAAAAGACATAAAACAATTATAAAATGAAGATGTTTTCGGTTGCTTCTATTACATCAAAATGGGGCATAAAGGAAATTTAAGAAAGAACAAATTTCTTTTGCAAAAGTAGAAATCTCAAAGTCACAGGAAATTAATTAAGTTAATCTCTTATATTTACATTAGAGATAATAAGATTAAAGAGAGAGATCAGACAAACAGATCCATAAAATTCAGTTAAAACTCTATCTAATAACGCCACCCAAAATCAGCATATTAATCTTCAATGATCAAACATTCAATTATAAAATTAAAAAAAAAAAAAAAACAAAGTAAAGAATCAATTTATGCAAGCTGAGCTTCTTCAAATCCATGCATGTGATGAGAAGCATCCAAAGGAAGCAAAGGAAATTCACCAAGCTCTTGAATAAAACCATCAAAATCTCCAAAACCACTTAAGAAACCACCTGAATTCTCATCAATATTAGTCCACATGCCTTCTTCTTCCTTAACCCTTTCTGATGTTTCCAAGCCTGGAAGAAACCCAGTTCTGAGCTCCATTTTCTTCGCCGCCATAGCTGCTACCACTGGCCTGTCACAAAAACTATGATCTTTTCTGGCAGTTCTCAGTTTCTTTTGGCAACCCTTTTCTTGAGATGGTTTCCCTGTGAGTCTTTGCACCAGTTCTCTGAAGTTTGCTGCGTCAGTCTTGATGATCTCTGGTGCAAATATGTGAATTATGCGTATCTTTGGCTTTGGCTTTGATATTGTTTGTGAATCCTTGTGAATGGACAGTGCTGCTGATGGGGTTGAAGGAGGCATTCTGGTTTGATTTCTGATCATCAAATTCTCCATGGAAAAATGTTTTGAAGACAAAGAAAGAAACAGAAAGAGGTGGGGGAGTTGGTGTATTTGTTTAGAGAAATGAAATTGGGGAGGCTTATATAGGGAGAGAAAGTTACTGGAAAGATTTTGTTTAAAGGTGAAAACTTCAATTCAAAAAAAAAAATTGAAAAACACAAGCTGTCTGTTGGGACTAAGGCCTGGACGAATCCTTGTCTGACAAAATGGAAGAGATTCATTAAAGTAATAGACAACTTAAATGGTCCCCCAATTCCCCTTGTTGGATTAACTTTTAAGAATTATTATAATTTGTTTTTTTTTTTTTTGCATCAAAATGTGCATTTTTCTTTACATATATAGAGAAGTTATTGAACATATTGTTTCTTATATCCTACTTGCAATGACCAAACCATCCTCCCTATTTTTTTTTTTTTAACATTTATATGCGTATTGGCTTGATTTAATATATAAAATTATATGTACAACGGTGTGGTTAATTTCCTCTACTTGTTGATATTAATATTCATGATACAAATTAGTAGATTATTCAATGGGAAATTAATTCTCTTTCTATTTTCTTAAAATTGGAATGTCAATTACTAGATTTGATTGATGAAATCATTAATTAGAAAAGAAATATATATAATTCATTTTTATTTTAAATCTAATTCAAGTTATAAAAATGAGATCTATTAAGACATAGATTTTAATTTCGAGCTATCATTCACTTCATCGTATATATTTTTCGCTTGCAAAATGAAGATGTTCAATTGCAAATCCTAAAACCTAGCTAAATCGATAGAAAAAAAATTTCTTTGATTCCATAGAAAGAGCAAAACTACATAGAATAAAACACACCCAAAAAAAAAAAAAAAACCTTCAAAATTAACAAAGTAAGGGGCGTTTTGGTCATGAAAGAGTAGGAAGAATATCTTACTTTTGCCAGTAAGTGATGATTCCAAAACTTAATACTTTACACACGAATCCGCGTAGTTGGAATAAAAACCAGCGTCATGCCATGCATAAACGACAGCCGTACATAATCCGCGTTTCACTCTCATATCTATTAATAGCAAAAATATTACTATATATATATATATATATATATATATATATACTTTTATCAATCAATTTTGAAAATGCTAGTGATCCCTTAATTTGTTTTTTCTTTTATAATCTTTGTGCCTTCTAATGATTGTAATTTTGTATATCCCTTTCATAATTTTTTATTCTTCAATTTTATGCTAATTAATGTTTGGCTCAAGTAATAAAAAATATATATTCTTTTCTTGATTGTGTGGGTTTAAATTCGGTAAAAAATTATGAGACAATAATTTTATATGAATTCATTAAATCTAACGTAAATAAATACATTGGAACTAATCCAAAGAGAAAATGCATTAGGAGGTTATGATTTTGTGACCCGATGATTTAAACTTTAAACTAGCGGAATCCGAAAGTTAGGAGGAAGTTATAATATATTCATCCTTTAGCAATTGAAAAAAAAAAATCCAAAACAAAGCTCAAAATGTATTAGGAATTTTTGGTAGTTTGGGCACATAATTAACAATTAATATCAATCATTTATCAAAAATTAAATTACTAACAATATCAATCATTTGGTAAAATTAATGCTTCCAACTATATCAAGTTGACTAAAAACTTTGGCAATGTTAAAAAATACTACAAATTTCAAGCTTCATGCCTTTTTTTTTTTTTTTTTATTTTGGGTCATTATGGATCTTAACTCATTTATTTTCAAGTTGATTTCAATAAATGAACTGAGTGCCAAAAGAAATAATAAGCTCTAATATAAATATATATATATGTATGTATGTATGTATGTATGTATATATATATATATATTATATTAAATTGCTTATATAAAAAGGATTTTATAATTATGTACAAAAAGAATGGGATTTTATTTGAAGGGTTATAAAGATATATAGCATTGGCTCAGGTACCCAGATAGATAAAGATTTCATAATTAAGAATCCTAAATTTAAATTGGAATCTATATATATTCCCATCTTCTTAATTAAAAAAAAAAATCAAACTTTAGGAGGCTCATGGCTATATTTTGGACAAGGGTAAATTGAAAAAAAAATGTCAAAATATTTAGCCTCATACTCAAACGAAAGATTCCAAAAATGTCACACATATTTAATTGAATACGAGTTAGTAAAAATGATGTTTTGGTTGCGTCTTGTTTGATTACCTCTTCAAACGACAGACAAAGTCTTGCATAGAAAATAAATTTATATTTGAATCTTGTTTAGGTTATTGTAATTTAAAAAATTATTTTATTTACTATCAGTAAAATTTTTAAATTTTATAAACAACGTTAATGAGATTCCACATATCCTTTAAGTTCTAATTTTTTTTTTTTTTAGTAACAAAAACATGAGAGGTTTTTGGGTATATATCTCACTTTTGATGTATTATTATATACAATTCACTTGATAAAATATATAATGCTTTCATTTGTCCCTATGCTTTCATCTTGTAGCTAATGAGAAAAACCATAGCCGGTATCAATACCCCTGCTTACTCATGGAGCTTTCCAAGACTAAATCAACAAAAACCCAAGTTTTCTTTAAACCCTAATTAAGTTAGCATTAGGGTTTTTGGCATTTTCTTTGTTTTTCCTTTGTTTTCTTTTGCTTTGTTCCTAGCTACAAAGCCTACAACAAATTATTTGCTGGGCATATATATATATATATATATATCCTATTTTTTTAATGCCATCATCTACAATAGTTTTTAATTTCTTTATTCTTTTCTTACAATAAATAATTAATTATTGAAAATTTATTAATATAATAAACATTACTATCCTTTTTTTTAATTACAAATTTATTAACCGATCTTGAAATGACATAATTTTTTCTAAAATGCAATATTAAATGCAAGAACAACTATATACTTTACATTAAATATCTAATAAAAACATAAAGATGCAAAAATATATTATTATTTATGGATATAAAAAATGGAAGGAAAAACTAATAGTTCCTAGAATCACAGGAAATGCAAGGGTGGAGAGCATGATAGCCGGCGAAGAGGATTTGTATAAAATCTTATACCCCCATTTTTGTACCAGAAATTTGGAGATATTATTTTAAAAATAGACGACATTTTTTTTTTCAAAAAGAAAAAAAAAAGGAGAGAGAAAGAGTAAGGATGGCCGTTGGATGTGCACGTGAAGACGGAGATTCGATGAGATCTGAGGGCCAGAGTTGTTTGCGTCACCAAAAGGCGAGCAGCTTCAGCAGTGCACACGAATCTCGTGCCGGCAAGGCCGGCTCAAACACGCCCCCCCCCCCCAAAAAAAAAATTACAAAAGCAAAATTTGCCAACTGTTCTCTGATTCCCACTCGTATAAAAAATTATTTATTATAATTCATGTTATATATTAACTAAAAATAGTTTTAAAATTTTTTAAATTTATACATAATTTTTATCAAAATTTTAATTTTTCGTATTATTTTTGAAATTTTAAAATTATCATAAATTTTTTAAATTCTTTTTTTTAATGGATTGTACCCAAAATCAAAACAAAAACCGTGTGAGCGAGGGGCCCACTGGTTGACGTGGTTCCCTGTTTCTTTCTTGGCTGGGTCAGCTCGCCTTAGCTGAGATGAATTAATCTTTGTTTCTGGAATGGGATACCTTTCAGTTTCAGCAAACGTGGCCTGAGGCTATATTTTTTGTACTACAACGTAACAATTATCCCACTGAACACGTCGTTTTTTAAATTATCAAATTTAATAATTATAATAAATATTATTTAAAAATTGGTAAGGAAGATGAAATAAATTGAAGAAATGTTAAACCATGGAAATAAGTTTTCATTGAAAATTTTTCGTATAAAAATCATTTAATTACATCATTCATAAATATTGATTAATTCTAACCCCCTGACTTAATAACCACGAACAATCTTCATTATTTTAATACAAGTTGATTCATTCATTGTAAATTTATTACTTAATCATATCTTTAAGTCATATGTAAGATTTGATTGTCAATTCATATGAATATATATATATATATGGAAGATTTTCATTGTTCTAAGTGAATATAGTAAAATTTCAATTGATAAAACAAAGAAATAGAATACAAATGTCTCGCTATTGGATCACCCATCGGAGGTCAGGATCACAATTTTTTTTATTTTAAAATAATATAAATTAAATAATTTTTTTTTATAAAAAATTTAAGATAAATAAGTTATTCAATCCTTCAAATTATGATAAAATATTTCGTATTCGATAACTTAAAATAAATAATTTAAAATTATATATTTAAAATTATTTTAATAAATAACTACTAACAAAACTCGAAAAATCAAATTTTCTTTATCAAATAAAACAAAATTTAAATAATTTGGCTACCCACTTATCGATTAAAGTACATGAGTTTTTATACTAATGGAAAGTGTCTGTATCTATCTTATTCGATGATTTGGATTTCGGTTTTTCTAATAAAAATAACTATTCAATAACGTATATAGTATATAATTTTTTATTATTTAAATCATAATATATAATAAAATTCATTAGTAAGTTTTGTAATTAATCAAAAAATTATTATGTTCTGCTTTTTGACTATTGTTATTTTTTAAATATTTCATTTATCTAGGAATTAAAAATAATTTATATACATACAAATTAGAAGCGACTTTTTCAAAATAATTTATACACATACAAATTAATTAGTGCACTAGTTCTAATTAGAAGCAGTCATTGCAACCTAATTTCCACAATCCTTTTCTCGAAAGAAAAATTATTACTACTTGATATGACATAATTTTTGACATGTTCAATTTCCTTTTAGTAAAAACTCAAATACTTGATGTAATTAATAACAGGATATATATTTGATATATTATTAGTATATAAAATTTATATATTATTAATTAATTATATATTATTTTCTCATTAATAAAATGAATCAAGTAAGATCAATTCATTAATAAATAAATTTTTTAAAATATATTAATTTATACTATATTTATTTATTAGAAAAAAATTATTTAATTTATTAATAATATATAAAATAATGTATCAAATATAAACTTGTTAACAATATATATCTAAACAACCACTCAATTCAAAGTCAAAGTCCTAATTGTTTTTTTTTTTTTTTTTTGGACAATGAAGTTCTGATAGTTAATCAAACAATACTCAAATTCAACATCATATGGACTGATTTGATTTTAGCAATAAAATTAGATATAATAAAGTTTTGACAACTTTAATTATAAAAAACAAAAAGAAAGTCTTGTAAATATATAGTTAATTACATGTAATTATATGACTATACTGGCGTACATCTTCTGTTTACACACCAGCTACCTACTCCATAAGAAAAGTCGTTTTAAATTATATATAATTGTGTTCATACTAGTTTTAGGTTATGGGATAATGGAATTGTTCTCATACCTGGGTTCTATTTTCCTCGAGATATTCATGAATTTGTAGAATAATCAAATCTATCTAGAACATTATTGCTGCTTATTAACTTTTCCACCAGTATTTTATATTTCATTTCTTATTCATCTTTGTATCTAATTTACCTAATGCAGAAAGTATGAAAGCAAGCAAGCAATTAATATGTTTTAAACAAGTTTAATTTCCCATATTGATGTATAGCTTGCAAATTAACTCATGGCCATGGGTGGAATTACACCTTAAATTAAATATTGAAGAGTCAAGGGTTACCTGCTCTCACATAAAATAGGTTTATAACGGAGAGGAGAGGACTATGAAGAGATGGCTAGGCAGTGTAAATTCATTGGTTTCATTCCTTTCAAATACAGACAGCTTGAAATGTGGAAAAAGAAAGGTGGCTGATCATGAAGTTTCCCAAATTCTATATATGGTAGTGCATGGTACTATGGCCAGGAATCCTAAATATAATAATATGAAAGGGAAAGCAATTATAACCATAATTTGTCCTTCATGTAAATCAAAGCATGGTCAAGGATGACAGCAAAGATTTTTGTTACGGCTTTTTAAATTTGTAATAGAATTACTTTCAATCCAGAAAGCATAATTGTTTACTGAAAATAGTGTCAATGAATATATAAAATTATTTTGTATTTCTTTAAAGGATGAATTTCGAAGTGCTAAAATCCTGTTCTGAAATCCAATTTTTGGGTACAAATAATTGTGTAATATTAATCATTGGGGTGTTTGAAGACTTATTAATATGCTAGTTATTACTTTTAATGAATTCATGTTGAATCTAAATAGAAACAAGTAAAGATTTTTGGGTTTAAAGCTTATTCAATCTTCACTGAAAATTAAGGAAATGATGGAAATTATTTGCATGTCTTATAATAAATATAATAATTCTTTAAAAAAATCGTTCAGTAAGGAAATTACCATATTCATTGTCAAAGCAGCATTTAATCTGAAGATATTTTCAAAAATAACATGTTATAAAAAATGCGAAAAGAAATGCTGAAACTCAAACGAAACATGAATAGTCCAAAGAGGCCCAGCTTAGCATGCTACATGCCATGGTAGTTTATGGTAGAATGTTGTGTAGGGTCATTTTGAAGCCGTCAGGGCCGCAGCCCATTTCAAGCAATATCAACATTTTCAATCAAAGCAACAACTGATCTTTGCAGCAAAAGACTGCGAATTTTCCTTCAATGGCATTCATAAAATACAGAACCCAGACTGCATCTCAAAGCTCCTCAAACAATAATTAGTGGTCAAACAAAATGATTGGAAAAATGAATGCCAAAAGCATGCAGACATATAACCAATAAGTACGAATCCTTAAACAACAAAACTAACACATTCCTACGTGCAATTTAAATGGTTAAATACTTAATTTGAGATCAAATGATTGTGGTTGTTTAATTTAAAACTAAACATATTATTTTGTATAAATAAAAATCAAATGTTATCTAAAATTTATAATTAAAAATATATTTAAATGAAAATTTATGCGTGTTTTTTATACGCTGTTTAGTTATGTCCCAAAACTCAAAAAAAAATAAAAATAAAAATCTATGCTTGTCTCCTACCCATAACACAACTTTTTTTTCTTCTTTCTTTCCAGATTTTTTCTTTTTGTCTTAATTTTAGATTTTTTTCTCTCGACTCTTATTTCTCTATCAAGCCCTCCATTGTTCTGTTCATGCATAGGGGCTATCTCTCTTTTTCATTCAACTCTTTTTTCTTTATTCAACTCCTCTATTTCATTATTTACGTTCTCTCTTTAACTGTAACTTCTTTTTTCCAAAAAACTAAAAATTTTAAACATTACCTTATTAAGCCGCTAGAAACTTATTCATGCTCAATCTTTGGTAAATTTGAAATTTTGGAAGAAACTTATATTAACAAACACCTAAACAATGAATCTTTTTTCTAATTTTTATTATTGAGAAGTTGGAGATGCAAGTTGGGTTAAGGCTGGGATTGATAGATTAGAGAATTTCATGGTCTGGTGGTGAGTAAACCATCCAACTTTGTTAGTTAAGATCTGGGATTTGGGTGTTTGGCTGTACTAGAGTTGGTATTTGGGAATTTATTGTAATCATCCATTTATGGCTGTACTGCAGGTTGTGTATCCAGTTATGAGGTTTTGAATTTCATGAGTATTATATTTTGAATTGGTGATTTTTTTTTTGTATAGATTAATATTGAATAATTGAAATTTTAATGATGGTGTAAAAAATACTACAACTTTGAATTTTTATTTTCTTATTTTTTAATTTTTAAACTATATTTAAAATAGTAAGAAAGAATGAAATGAATTTTTTATTTTTTAAAAAATAAATCTCATTTTTTGTATATTTTTAATTTTTTATTTAAAATGATACTTAATCACTAAAAAAACGACATATGACTACTTTTTTTATTTAATTATTATTTTTATTATAGTTAACGATCTGTACGCCATACGCATTGATTTTCATCTAAATATATCTTCATTTGTAAATTTTCGATAAATGATTCTTATTCATATATAATAAAACATCTAATCCTAAATTAAACAACCATATAAATATTTGATTCCAAATTAAGCATTTAACTAATTTAAATTTTATTTCTAAACCAAAAGACACCTTTGTCCTGGTCACCTTCATCTGGTTCAACGTAAATACATTCCTTCGCCTCCCTAAATATCGCCTTATACACTGGAGTACCATCAAACTGGTAATATTCTCCCAATATTGGCTTCATTGCATTTGTAGCCTCCATTGCATGATAGTGAGGTATGGTCGAAAACAAATGATGAGCCACATGAGTATCGGTGATGTTATGGAAAACCTTATTCAAAATTCCATAATCTCTGTCAACAGTTGTTAGAGCTCCCCTTAACCAGTCCCACTCTGAGGAATCATAATGTGGCAAAGATGGGTGAGTGTGCTGCAAGTATGTGATCGTGACAAGGAACGCATTAACCACCAACAATGGTACTCCGTAGACACTAACAACCCAAGCCAGCCCTTTTGCTAAGGCAAGACGATACAGCCCATAGGTGACAGCAAGAACACCAGCATCAGAGACGAAGACTTGTAGTCGTTCGCGATCATTAAAGATAGGGCCGTAAGGGTCATAGTGACAAGCAAATCGTTCATAAGGCCTGCCTGCTGCGTTGAATGCTAGGTAAAGAGGCCAGCCAAGAGTAAGCTGAATTGTAATTGAGAGGAATCGACCTGGTGGATTGTTAAGATATTTGGCCCACGATCTTAATGCGGTTTTTTGCTTGGGAACAAACACTTCATCCCGGTCAAGGGAACCAGTGTTAGAATGATGACGGCTATGGCTATATTTCCAAGAGAAGTATGGGACAAGCAAAGAAAAGTGGAGTACAAGACCAACAGTGTCATCAAGCCATTGATAATCACTGAAGGCATGGTGGCCACACTCATGTGCTATAACCCAAACACCAGTTAATACAGAGCCTTGCATGGCCCAATAAATCGTCCAGGCAACATAAGAGAGGGGCCGAGGAAACTGATGGATGTAATTGGTAGCTACATAATAGAAGAGAGAGGCCAAGATGACGTCATAAACAAAATAAGAGAATGAGCGAAGAAGAGACCGCTGGAAACAGTGAGGTGGGATGGCTTTCTTGACCTGACTGAGAGTGAATGGTGGTTTTGAGCAAGGAACTCTCTTCAGGGAGTCAGATTCTGACTTCCTTGCACTTGGGGGAACGGACATTCTGACACCTGCACCCATTGTTCCACACCCTGAAGAAGATAAAAGATGGCAAAAGGTTAAGACCAAACACAGGTTATCGAACAACAGATACAATTTATCTGCTTGTCTGATTCTTAAACCATCTGCAGAATATCACTAAACGGTTATCACTTATCAGCACAGACTTGCCCCTTTAACAAAAAAGAAAAGCAGCCATTAATTTTACATGTTAATACTTATTAAAATATCATTAAAAAGAAGATAAAATCTGTCGGGAAAATAGTGGACTGTACTTGTTAGGCAGATTTCATTTACGTAAAGGTTCATGTGTTAATATTTTCACTAAAATTATACTACAAATAATGCTGTCAATAATTGCAATATTGATAGTAATTGGGTGGGTGTCGACACGTAATTAAGTTTATCACATGAATGATTCATTAATTAAATCAAACACGTATCAGGAAACGGAGACTTATCGGAAATGGAGTAATCCCACTTCGTACCAAACCGGCAGGCTATTATAAAGTGACAATTGAGTGACTGACTGGCTCTGAGAATTAGGCGGACAACGACACAAACGACAAAACTTTAGAAAAGCAAGTGCTCATCACGAGATGCAACACTGTTATCATAAATCAGACAAAAATCAAACCGACCATCTCAAATAGTCGGTCACAGGTAAATTTATTAATTCGTATATTTATATAAGATAAAATATTCATAATTTATGTATTAATATTATATTTTATATAAAAATTATATATCATAATTTTTATGTATAAAAATATAAAATATAACTTTTTTGAGTTTATTAAAACAATATATAATATTTATTAAAATTTTAAATTTTATCACGTTTATATTTTTTTCATATAAGTTTCATCATATTAAATTTTAACTTATCAGATCTTATAAGGCAGTCACGCATCGCTTTCTTATCCAAACGGTATCACCTCTAGGCAAATTCGCTTAATCTCTCTAATTGGCTAGTAAACGCAGTGGATTTAGTCATAGATAAAAAAAAAAAACAAAATGATTAATATCACAAATAATTTTAAAATTATAATGAAATGTTAAATTTGATATATAAATTTTAAAAATATTTTATATGATATTTAATTTATCAACTTATTAATTAATGTAATATTTAAAAATTTTAAATATTATCATTTGAAATTAATAAAAATATATACATATTAATTAAAAATTTATAAAAAATATTTAAAATTTAAATATCATATTAAATATTTTATTATAATTTTATACTATTCATAATATTAAAAAAAATAAAATATTTATATTTTAAAAAGATCCGATGAATGAGGTGTTCAAATCCGAGTTAAATAAAAACCTCAGAAAAAAAAAAAAAAAAGCAAGAGATCTTAATCTCCATTATAAAGGAGGAAGGAATATAAAATTCAATCACTATCCAACTAAATCTAACCATCAAAACAAAACAGCAAAGGGGGCAACCAAAAAAGAAAAGGAAAAAGAATCTAATGGCAAGGAATAAATTGATGATAACGGAAAATCAACTGAAAAAAAAAAAAGAATGAAATCACCTTAAAATTGAGATTGAAAATCTTTCTTTCTCTTCGTAGCCTCTCTCTCTCTCTCTCTCCTTATCTATCTTTCTAAAATAAAGGAAGACGCTTTCTCGCTTGCTCGGCCTCTTCCCTTTTTTCTCGTGTGGCTGCGTAAACAGACAGCCCTTTTGTCGGAAGTGGAAGAGCAGAGCAGCGCTGAGATCTCTATTTAAGCTCTCAGCTTTCCCTCCTTGGAGTGGGACCCATCTCAGCATTTTCTCATACCAGATTTGGTTTGGACATTCCATATTTGCACGTGGTGTAATCTGGCAGTGTCTTTGACTGTTTCATCGTAAACGTCGGTTTTAATATATGGCAGACGTTGGGTTTAGGATGGTAATTTTATTCATATTTAATAAAAAATTAATTTTTTTTATTTGAGATAAAAATAGATATTATATTATAAATATGGGAGTAAAAATATGTATAATTTTAAATTTTTATAAAATATAAAAATAAAAATGAATAATATAACATTCACTTCATACTCATATCTTACATATATATATTTATATATTTAGTACATAATTTTTTATTAAATAATATAAATTATTATTTTAAAATAATTAAAAATTAATATATTTTTATAAAAAATATATATTAATATATTTTTATAAAAAATTATTTAAATATAAAATATAAAAATAAAAGCTAAAAAAATTTTAATTTTTAATTTTTTTTTTAAATTACAAGTATGAAAATTATCAAAACCTATTAAATACTTATGATAATAGAAATAGGGATTGGATATTGGTACGAAGATAAATATAATATAAAAATATGATAATAAAGATAAAAAATACCCTATCTTATTCATATCTTATTAATTGACATTGGGCAAATTACACTTTTTTTTTTAGAATTATAAAAAACATTTTCTATTTGCATTATATTTATCTATTTAATTTTAGGTTACACAAATGGATAGCACTTATATTTTACATTAACCCCTATTGAAGACGAAATTGATCTCAGCTCTTTGATATTTACAGCTATAAAAAAGTTTATGACCAATTAATTAAACTAATTAGTAGGCTTCTTAATTTGTGCTAGGAAGTAGGAACTATGCCTTTGACGACAAAAGAAACGATGGAATATTGAAAGCAAACACGGAAAAGCCATCAAAAACGTGATTTGATGATATGAAGTATCTGGAAGAACAAAACTTGACGAATTATAAAAAACAAAAAAAGAGAAAAATACGATTTTGTTCATTAATTATTCTAAATTCTTTCAATTTTTGCATAAAAATCATTTCCCTACTCCATCAAAATATGGATACATTCCGGTGAATTTTTACAATGTTGTTAATCAATTTTATAATAATTACTATTTTACCTACTCAATTATTTCAAATAGTCTAATTTTTCCTCCATGATTATAAGAAGCTAAAAGATCGATTACGACTAATTGAAGTCAAGTCATATTCTCAATAAGAGTTGGCTAAATTGATAAGAATAATTTATCTTGATGTAAAAATCTTAGGTTTTAGTTTAATCCATAATTTTTTATTGGGATAATCTCAAATATACGATCTCCAATCATTATTTTTAAATTATTAAATTTAACATATCTCATTTAAACTCTCAAATATGACAAATTTTGCCATAACTTAAAAGGACCGAATATTGTATCTACCTTTATATTTTTTGTACAAAAAGAATTCATGTGATATTGAAAAAGATATCATAACATTAATTTATTGTCTATTAGGAATGTAAACGAACAAAATTTTCAACGAATTACTCATGAATATGTTTAGTTTTTATTTATTTATGTTTATTTATTATGTTTAACAAATAATATTGAACAATATTTTTATATTCGTTTATTAAACGAACTAAATATGAACAAAGATTTATTTGATTTATTTATATTTATGAATAAATTTGTTTAAAATTTATTAATCTATTATTCATTTGTTATTTGTTTATAACAATACTGATATAATTACATTTTTATCTTTAACTCCAATCTTATTTTAAGGTTCATTTATATTTATTTAGGTTCGTTTATATTTGTTTAGAGTTTTGTTTGATTATGATTTGTTTATTGTTTATGAATATGTTTATTTATATATATTCATGAACATGTTTATCTAATATTCATAAATGAGTTTGTTTAACTTGATTGAATTGAACATAAATAATCTATTATTTAAATGAATCAAACATGAATAAATAGAGTAATTTTTTTACCGAACATAAATCAAATCTAAATACTTCTAAAAATAAATGAATAAATCAAACAAATTTAAATAAAAAGGGCTAAAGTAGAAACAGCATTCCTCTATGGGCAACTTGTAATCAAAATCAAATTATCTTTAAATTGGACTGATCTTTTATTAGTACTTAACGTGAAGGCTCAACAAGATTACTGTGCCAACAAATGATTGCTTGACGTGCATTTTTTAAATTTCCCTTCTTCTTCCAGTCGTGCCCCGTTGAGATGACTTCCATTTGTTTACTTTCTCTAAAAATGAAAAATTCTGAAAAAAAAGACAAAGTTTAGATAAAATAAAATCTTTATGTCACCATTTTTTTACCCCAATACAAATAAATCATGTGAATCTCATGGTAATAGGGTTTAATCACTTTGTTTGCTTTTCTTGAAGTCTCATTTGTTAATTTAGTATGACTTTCTAACTAAAATGTATCTTTCTTAGGTAATATTTTATTTTCATTTGCTGAAAATTCTTATTGCTTTTTAAAAAAATTATTTCAGCTCTAATTTTTTTGAAATATTTTAAATCAATTCATTTTTATCATCAATCATTAAAAATCAATTATGTCATAACGTCTAGATCCAGGGATCTATCGCTAGACATTGACTTTAGGGAGTCGCCACCAATCTTTTTTATCTAGGTGCGATTGGTCACCTAAAGAATCTGTCCTTTCAGGGAACACCTAAGTTTAAGGGTCCCTAAAAGAATAGGTTCAGGTCTACAAACCAGAACAGGGTTCGGGAGTTCGGTTACGTGTGAGGAAGGTTATAGCACCCTCACAACGCCCATCAAAAGATGGTACCAGCTTAAATTTGTGTTATCTGAAAGCCTTAAAATTTTACCAAGTAGTTAGTTGTTGAAAATTATTCTCAATTGACTCTAATACTTTTAGCAGAAAATTGAGAAAATTCCCTTACCTCAAGAGTATGCAAGAAAAACTACTGTTTCACTTACAGAGGCTCCGTCGTCGGATTATTTAAAAGAAAAAATAAAATCAAAATTAAGATAGAAAGGAAGGAAAGAATGATTTTTTTTTTGTAGAAAAAATTGATACTTTCAACTTTTCCCCAAAAATATTTTTTGGAAATTTCGATTTTCAAAGAAAATTGATACTTTCAACTTTTCCTCGAAAACCCTTTTTTTGAAAATTTATTTCTAAGGAAAATTGATACTTTCAACTTTTCCCCAAAAATATTTTTTTTTTTGAAATTTATTTCTGAGGAAAATTGATCCCCAAAAATATTTTTTGGAAATTTATTTCTAAGGAAAATTGATACTTTCAACTTTTTCCCAAAAATATTTTTTTTGGAAATTTATTTTTCTTTTAAGGAAAATTGATACTTTCAACTTTTCCCCAAAAATATTTTTTGGAAATTTCGATTTTCAAGGAAAATTGATACTTTCAACTTTTCCTCGAAAACCCTTTTTTTGAAAATTTATTTCTAAGAAAAATTGATACTTTCAACTTTTTCCTAAAAATATTTTTTTTTTGAAATTTATTTCTGAGGAAAATTGATACTTTCAACTTTTCCCCAAAAATATTTTTTGGAAATTTATTTCTAAGGAAAATTGATACTTTCAACTTTTCCCTAAAAATTTTTTTTTTTTTGAAATTTATTTCTGAAGAAAATTGATACTTTCAACTTTTCTCCAAAAATATTTTTTGGAAATTTATTTCTAAGGAAAATTGATACTTTCAACTTTTTCCCAAAACTATTTTTATTGGAAATTTATTTTTCTTTTAAGAAAAATTGATACTTTCAACTTTTCCCCAAAAATATTTTTTGGAAATTTATTTCTAAGGAAAATTGATACTTTCAACTTTTCCCTAAAAATATATTTTTTAGAATTTTTTTATTTTTATTTAAAGAAAATAAAATAATAAATAAATAAATAAAAAGAATATTACATAAACCTAATCTAATAAATAAAAAATAAAATAAACAAATAAACAAAGAAAAAAAAATTCAAAGAAAGAGAAAAAAAAAAAAAACCTGGAGCGGCTCGGATCGCGGCTCGGCTTGGCTCGGCTCAGGGAAGAGAAAACGGCTCGGGGGGAGCGGCTTGGCGGCTTGGCGCGGCTCGGCTCGGCTCGGAGGAGGGGCAGCACGCGCGGGTCAGGAAAGCTGGTCGACGCTCGGGTCGGGTCGGGTTCGAAAAAATGCGCGGATCCTCTGGTTACTTAAGGCCAAAACGACGTCATTTTGGGAGGGTATAAAAGGCAATCCCCTTCGTTTTTTCGGCAGACCGCTCCTTCCTCTCTCTCTCTTCTTCCTTTTTCCTCTCCCTTCTCTCTAAAAATTGAAGAACACCGGTGCCGGATTCTGGAAAATGTCGTCGGAATCTAAAAATTTCGTCGGAAGTTGGTCGGAAGATCGCCGGTTTCTGGGATTCTTCGTCGGAAACTGGGCTGGTTGTCGAAAACTTCAATGTTCATCGAAATTGTTGCCGGAAAATTCAAATTTCGCCAAAATTTTTGCTGGAATCTGGAAATTTCCCAGAAATTTCCAGAAAAATTTTTCGCCAAAAATCTCTAAAAATTTTTTTTCACTCCCAGAACACTCCTAAACTTTTCCTAGCTTCCTATACGCCTCATTTTCTCTCAAATCAGTAGCTTTGCTTACTGTTTTCTCTGTCTTTCATTCTGTTCCAGGGGGTGCTTTATATAGGGATTGATCAGGAGTTTCTGATCAATCCCAATTCTCCTTTGGACGGGAATTCAATCTTTGAATCCAGTCTGGACTCTTCTGATTGAATTCCCACTCCCAGTGGGATTCTTCAACTTTCAATCCTAGCCCTCCAAAATAAAAATAAAAATAATAAAAAAAAAACTAGATAATTATAGAAGATAAATCAACAGATATTATAGGATAAATAAAATAATAATAAAAATATATATATCAGATATATAATTAGATAAGTAAAAATACAAAAATGAATAAAATAAAAAATATAAAAAAAATATATATATACATGAATAATAAAATACACATAAATATTAACAAAAAAAAATAAATAAATATATACATATATTAATACATAATAATAATAATAAATAATACAATACATAAAATACAAAAGAAGAAGAAAAGAAAAAAAATACAAGATAAAATTGAATTGGGCTTACCCATTTGGGCCAGGCCCAATTGATCTGGGCCGGACCCAATTGGGTGTCTACAGCTGCCCCTCTTTGCACATTTTCTGTGAAACAGAAATTGCGCAAAGACGTAGACACCCAATCAAGACTCAACTCAACATTTTTTGGTTTTTTTGTTTTTTTTTGTTTTTTTTTTGTTTTTTTATTTTTTGCTTTTTTGTTTTTTTGTTTTTTTTGTTTTTTTTTTTACCAAAGCTCCTCTAAACAGAGGCACCACGACTTTTGAAAAGTAAATTGCTCCTCTAAACAGAGACACCGAACTTGAAAAGTAAATTGCTCCTCTAAACAGAGGCAACGAACTTGAAAAGTAAATTGCTCCTCTAAACAGAGGTACCACGACTTTGGAAAGTAAATTGCTCCTCTAAACAGAGGCAACAAACTTGAAAAGTAAATTGCTCCTCTAAACAAAGGCAACAAACTTGGAAAGTAAATTGCTCCTCTAAACAGAGGCACCACGACTTTGAAAAATAAATTGCTCCTCTAAACAGAGGCACCACGACTTTGAAAAATAAATTGCTCCTTGACAATCATGTCCAAAGGAGTTGAGAATTGTGTTTGAAGGAATTTCAGGAGATTATGCCCAAAGGTTTTATAAATCGATCCTGATACCAAAAGACATCCTACTTCAAGGATTAGGAACTTACCTGATAAGTTTTTTCTCAAACTTACAAAGTCTTTTCATATCTGTCTTCTCCATGTGGGATGTTGGAACACCCTTGCTTCTTGAATTTGTACACTATACTTTCCTGAAAGTAGTGTATGCTATGCAATGTGCATGATTTTCAATGCATGCTATGCAAATGTTGGCCAATTAATTCCTGTTCAATGTATGTACTCAAGTTTCTCAAGCTCTTTTCTTGGGCATCAAGCCCTTTGATTCCTCAAAGATTCAATGGCACTGTTCTCCTAAAATCAAACCAGTGTAGCTCTTAATTATTTCTTTCATTCATATTCTTCCTGTAACAAAAATCTCTTCCCAAATTCAATGTCCTAATCAGGAGCTGAATATCTCGATTCTGCCTTTATCACTCTTGATTTATTCAATGTAATGTAAAAATCTTTTTATGTTGTTATTCATTCATCAATCATTATTTTCAACTCAAAAAGGGAGAATGCATTTGCACATTCCCTCTATGATGGGGTATTAAGAAGAAAAATATATGAATGGTAGGGAAACAGTCATCAGAAAAAGGAGCAAAGAATGAAATAAAATGTTTCTTTATTAGCAAATGTCGGTAAACTTTGGCCAAGAAAGAATTACAAGGATAGGTATGGGAACAAAGCCCAAAATGAACAATAAGATAATCATGATAACACATCTAAAAGTTTTTTTCTGAAAACTCAACCCTCTGATGTATTTAACAACTTGGAACTCTTCTGAATTTGCTAACCTCCATATCAGCAGACTTTCAGATTCGATGCTGTATTCTCCTTATCTAAGCCGCCTTTTCAGGTTTTCAACTTAGACAAACCCCCTATGACTCAAACCGCCCTTTTGGGGTTTTCGCCTTGAGTCCTCATTGTTCACCTTTTTTCATCATTTTCATTTTTTCATTTTTTATTTTTTCATTTTTCTCATTTTTTCATTTTTCATTTTTCATTTTTTCATTTTTTCATTTTTCATTTTTTCATTTTTTCATTTTTTTTTCAAGCATAGTATTTCTTCACAGCATCAAAATTTACAGGATGGGGTAAATCATTTCCATCCATCTCAGTCAGTATCAACGTTCCACCCGAAAAGGCCCGTTTCACCACATACGGCCCTTCCCAATTCGGAGTCCATTTTTCTCTACTATCGTGCTGGATTGGAAGAATTCTTTTCAAAACTAACTCTCCTTCTCGAAAGCAACGAGGCCGAGTCTTCTTATCATGAGCCCTCATCATTCTTCTTTGGTATAACTGACCATGGCACAGTGCAGTCAATCTCTTCTCTTCTATGAAATTTAACTGCTCATAACGTTCACGAATCCATTCAGCTTCTTCTAACTCAACTTATTTCAAAACTCTCAAAGAGGGGATCTCTACTTCCACTGGTAGTACAGCTTCCATCCCATAAACCAAAGAAAATGGGATTACCCCAGTAGAGGTACGAACTGACATTCGATATGCATGCAATGCGAATGGTAACTTCTCATGCCAATCTTTGTAAGTCTCGATCATTTTTTCCAAAATCCTCTTTATGTTCTTATTGGCTGCCTCAACTGCCCCATTCATTTTTGGACGGTATGGTGCCGAGTTATGATGCTTGATCTTATATTGAGCACATATTTCTTGCATCATCTTGCTATTTAGATTCTTGGCATTGTCTGAAATGATTTTCTTCGAAAGTCCATATCTACAGATAATCTCTTTTTTTATAAACTTGCAAACCACGGAGTGTGTCACGTTTGCATATGAAGCTGCTTCTACCCATTTTGTGAAGTAATCTATCATCACAAAAATGAATCTGTGCCTGTTAGAAGCCTTTGGGGTGATTGGACCAATGACATCCATGCTTCACATTGAAAATGGCCATGGTGGTGCCATAACATGTAAAGCAGACGACGAAGCATGAATCTTATCAGCATATATCTGGCATTTATGGCATTTACGAGCATAATCAATGCAATCATTCTCCATCGTCAACCAGTAATATCCCGCTCTCATAATCTGTCTTGCCATCATATGTCCACTAGTATGTGCCCCACATATTCCATCATGCACCTCTTCAATAATTTTTTTCGTTTCAGTCTCATTTACACACCTCAATAGTACTTGATCCTTGCTTCTTTTGTAAAGGATATCCCCATCCAGGAAAAAGCTCATAGCCAATCTTCGGATGACCCTTTTATCATTTTCTGTTGCATGAACTGGATACTGCTGATCATTGACATACTGTAAGATGTCATAATACCAGGGTTTTCCATCTTCTTCCCCTTTTACATTAGAACAATACGTTGGTATATCCTTAACATCTAACTTTATGGGCTGAATGTCGGTGTCATCATTAATTCGAATCATTGCAGCCAGAGTAGCCAATGCATCAGCAATCACATTTTTTTCCCTAGGTAAGTGATCGAACTGGACATCTTCAAATTGTTTCGTCAACTCTAGAATATACTTATGATATGGAACGAGTTTTGAGTCTCTCGTCTCTCATTCTCCTTTCAACTGATATATAACTAGAGCTAAGTCTCCAAATACTTTCAGTGCTTTCACTCTTCTTTCTATAGCAGCTTGCAGGCCCATAACACATGCCTCATACTCAGCGATGTTATTTGTGCAATTAAAATTTAACCTTGCTGTTACAGGGTAGTACTGTTCTCCTGGAGAAATCAAAATTACCCCAATTCCATGCC